TCAGGCAGTAGGGTCAGTGCTAGGCATCATGGCCTGAAGAGGTAGAAGTTCAAACCAAGTACCAAGCTAACAACAAGAGCACTGCATCAGCCTGCAGCCCAGCACATGTGCACTGAGACCCCACCACTCAACCACCCACTTGCCCTGCTGATGGGTCTCTGGAGGCCAGTCACCTGCAGTGTGAGGCCTCTGCTCCCAAGGCAGGCATTAGAGTCAACATATCTGAATGTCTCCTCATTTTTGAAGGCTTCCACAAGAGGTGAACAAGCACAACAGGCCGCAAGCAAAGAGCAGGCTGATAGAGTGGGAGAGTCCTGACTCCTTCAGAGAGCCATGGAGATGCAGCATGGACAAGGAGATCAGTGAAGAGAAACAGTCAGGGCTTTCACAGAGACAGTGCTGGGTTTTATCCCACCTCATGCCTTAGGGGTATGGATTGGTGCATTACTTAACCTAGAATAAGAAGACCTAGCTGAGATAGAACATGCAAAGGACCTGCTTAGGGCCTGGCTCTCTAACAGTCAGTCTGTTAACAGTGGTGATAACTACTAGTTAAGGCCTGGAAAGGGTGGACTGAGTCTAGGGCATTCACTGGGACTGGAAAATTTGCTGCTCTCAGCAGGGGAAGGGAGATGGATTCAGAACTAGAGCACTGTATCTCAGGAGTGCAATAAAGCATATCTCACTGTCGGGGAAGCCACTGTGTCTGTGCTCACAGGCATCTAGACCTTAAAGAACGAGAGAACAGAATTGACTGAGGGACAGGACACAGGCATCTCCACAATTCAGGAGCAGCACAGCCCAGGGATTCTTTTCTGGTCTGTGTATTGTGTGCTCTATTTCAAGCTGGCTAACGTGTAGAAACCCATTCTGAGGTCTGAGGGCTGCCCAAACTCAGTGGGGAGTTGGGCAGTGGGCAGAGCCCTGGAGAGATATCATCCTCTACTGTGGGTTTGCTTCCACTCCCTCCTGGCACAGCACATTAGCTGTCACTGTGGGCTGGGCCAGATCATTGCCAAGGACTGACTTGTGCAGACCCCCTCAGGTGAGCTGGGTGACTTCCAAGGAAACTGCATCTCCCATCATGAAGACAGCACCAGTGATCTTGGGAGAGGGAGAAATTCTTGTGGGACTTACTGTCATGTTTTCCTGAATTTAGTACAGCTGCAGGAAGGATGAGATATTCAGGTCAAAAGAAGGTGCCAAGGAGGGCTGGGCAGGGGGTGGAGAAGATGGAAGCCCAGTGTTCTCAAGTCATTTCTTGTTAAGACATTAGCCAGCCTTTCTATATGCACACAGGGTGACCAGGAAGAAGAGGGACTAACTACAGGACCTAAGCTCAGCTCAGCATAGCTGGTACTCACCACCTCTTAGAGCAAACAAACCTTTTAATACTCATCACTGCACAGACGACTGCCAAGAAAGAAGTTAAGTGACAGACCCACGTCTGTGGGAATCGCTTCTGCCACAGGAATAGGGGATTTTCATATGCATTTATGCGGGGGTTTAGGATTAATATCTATTTTCACTACTATAATTAATGCTGTCTTTTTTTCTACTTTTATTACCTACACCTAATGCAGTGGTGACTCATAATAGTTGCTCAATAAATGTTCAAGAATGAATGAGTTTTTAAAAATACCCGTCAGTAAGCATTTCAGTAACTTTCCTGCAGTACATAGAAGCTGCCAGAAGATGGTGATAAATGCAGCAGAGAATTTCAAGCTTTAGAGATGATGGAAACAAATTATATAATGCTTCAACGAATATGGATTTAAGCTTATTTCCTCAGATAACACTTGATTAAGAGAACTCTTCAGATGTGGCAGAAATGGCCACACAGGTCTACAGTCAATCCTGCCTTTGCCTCAGAGAACAAGAACTTTTTTTTTTTGGTAGTACCAGTGTTTGAACTCAGGGCTTAGCACTCATGCCATGAGGTCTCACTTTTTGCTCAGATCAGCCTGGACCACGATTCTCCTATTTTCTGCTTTCCATCTTAGTTTGGGATGACAGGTGCACATCACAGCACCCAGCTATTGGGGACTTGAAAACTCTTGGCCTAGGACTGACCTTGAACCATGATCCTCCTGATCTCAGCCTCCCACACAGCTCTGATTACAGGCATGAGCCACAGGCCCCAATTAGACAACCTTGGAATCTTGGACAAATGTCTTGATCTTTCCAGCTTCTGATTCTCATCTACAAAATGGAATTTGTATTGTCAGGGTTTAATACAAGGATTAAATGAGATAACATGCATATATTTGTAAAGATATATATAATTTTTCAACTTCAACATTTTTTTTATCTATTATGCTGAAATATTTGTAGCTATACAAAAATTACTTCCGAGTCAATATTTAATATGAGGTGAAGCAAAATACATTGAATTTTAAAAAACAAATTGCTTTTGAGCAACAATGTGTGAAAAATGTTTTTACTTCTCAGCACTATTGTCCTCCTAGAGAAATGAGTTCAAGACCCTGATCTCTTCTGGAGAGATTGGATGGAGTATTGCTTCATCTTTCCATGATGATCCACCAAGAACTGTACTATTTCATTAAAAGAAGGAGAATTTCTTCTATTAAAAAATCTCAAAACACTCAGAACACAAAGGCATGAGTTTTCAAAGGAAACGACCCCTTCAGATATCTGAGGGCTGTTGAGTGCATTTTAGTTCTTCCGAAGTAAATGTGTGGGCTGTAACAGTCAGTAAATAGACCTTCTCCAAGGCACATGTAACTTTTATAGTTCAAAATTTGTGATCAATTTTTCTCTCAAGGAGTTTCAGGCCTGAATTAATTTTTAATATACTGACCTAAGGTGTTTGGCTATTTTTAGATAAAGCTGTCAAATAGCCCTTAACTTAAAAGTATGCCAGGAGAGGTAGGAAAGGGAAGCAGTGCTCTGCCAGAAACCTACAGGAATGAAGAAAAATGCCCAATGGTCTCTCTTCACCGCATATGGAAAAGCTGGTGGAAAAACTGCCCTTAAGGGACTAAGGGATCTTGGCTCTGTACCAAGACCAGATTCAGGTGCCAGCTCTACCCAGATCCTTGAACATGAGGCAGAAAAGCACATCAGCAGATAATAATCACCTAGAAAGGGACAAAAACCACCCTTGCAGAAGGCACAAGAAGAGCAAACTTGCTTCATTAGAGTGTTTCAAGTTCAAAATTGCTAAGTTACAAACTCTGCACTTGACATCCTGTCCTCAGGTTCAAGACCCAGATAAGGCTGGGGGATGGGGTGGAAATGGTGCTAAATGGGTCGAAGGGAAGAAAATATTTTCCTCCAGAGCCCCTTCTTGTGCCCCACCCTCTCACCCCCATTCATTTTCCGAGCCTTAGGAATGTTTTGCCCATCCCCCCATGTCTGACCCCACCCTATCCCTGCTCTAGCTTTTATCAGATAACAAACCATTGCAAATTTCAAACTGAGTTCTCCCCTGAACTGTGGGTACCCAGAACTGTGCAGTCCCAGAGGACAGGAACTTTAAGGGGTTGTCTCTGCATTTCCAAAGCCAAAGCCAGGGCTGGCATGAAAAAGGCCTCAGTGAATTTTGATGAGTAATGAAAAATGGAGGACAGCAGACGTGGACTGTGTTCAGGGAATGAGGAAACAGGAAGAAGTTTTGGTTCACAGCCGTGTAAAGACAGGTTGTTTGATGAAAAAGAAGAGGTTCACCAATGTTCATTTTCTGAGGCAATGAAATTTGCTTTACATTGCTAAATATTGGGCAATTTGCTGTCCAGCAGTGACAGGATCTGGAGGAGGCCTTCATGTCTGGGCAGCTGTGAGAGTCCAGCCGAAGCCGGCCTCTCCTGCCCCAGGAGCACTGGGCTCCTTTCTGCTGGAGCCTCGCACGAGAAGGCAAATTCATTCCTGGGGGACACTTCTACCGTGCGCTTCTGGGCGTGGGAGTGGGTAGCAAGGCTGAGCAGCTCGTAGAGCATAGGAAGAAAGATGCACCAATGGCCCCAAAGGGAGGAAGTCCAGGCACAAAGAGTCATCTGAACGGAAGTGGACGAGGGGTCCCTTCAGCTGCAAATCTGAGGAAAGAACAGGAAGGAGCAACCTCAGCCTTCCACAGTAGACTTGGGCCTGCCGGGTTCATGTATCCAGAACCAAAGGAGTATCTTCTCAGGTCCAAACAGCATGCAATTTTGTTTGTTTGCTTTTTTGTGGCTTTGAGGTTTGTTAGTGACCAGGACTACGTGCTGTTTGTGACAGATTTAAGCTCCTGTCCAAGGGGCACTGAGGCCACTGCAGACTGGACTGACTCTCTGAGGCCTTCTGTCCCCGTGGGTCTCCATATCCTCCTTCTGCTGCCATTCTCTGTGCCCACGCACCCTTGGTCACTGCTGGTTCTGGGAAGAAACCCTCTTTTTGTCTCTTGAAAATAAGCCCAGTCCTGTTCTATTTTTAATGAGTTTCAAATGTCTGTCTGCAAAAGAAAAGTCCCTGTAAAAAGAAGTCAGAAACCCGGGCATCTCGCTCAGGGCGGAGAGGAGTGTGGGCAGGGCAGGGAGCAGGATCAGGTCCCAGCAATCCCTCTCCAGCCCGCTGGGGGATGAAGTTGGATTTTCATAACTAGATGATGTCTTTGGGATCAAATGCCTGCCTTAGTCCTGTCCCTGAGGGAGAGTGACCAGAGGCTCCACAAATAAAAGCATCAGCTCTTGCTTATTCACTGATTCCATCTGCCTGAAACCACATGTCATCAGCCTCACCCACAGACAACTGTCAATGCTTCTGGGTGAGGACGCCTGGAGAGAAGGCCTCCCCTTCTGGACTTGCCCTTAAGCCTGGAGCCAAAGCACTTGCAGACAGGGGAGGTGGGTGCAGCCTCTGGCAGCCCACAGGAGCTGGGCTGCATGCTCTAGTAGGGCACGCTGGCCAGTGTCCTTCCTTCTCTCTAGGCTGGACCCTCGGTGCCGTGCATCAATCCCCTCCCTCCACCTGACCTGACCTGACTTGCATGTTCTCCTTTGCAGTTCTTTCCTTATGGAGATGCCTCTAAGTTTGCCCAGCACGCCTTCCGAACCTTCGACAAGAACGGGGATGGCACCATTGACTTCCGAGAGTTCATCTGCGCCCTGTCCATCACCTCCAGGGGCAGCTTTGAGCAGAAGCTGAACTGGGCCTTCAACATGTATGACCTGGATGGGGACGGCAAGATCACCCGGGTGGAGATGCTGGAGATCATTGAGGTGGGACTTGAGGCGGGGGACCCCAGGGCAAACAGGCAGCAGAAGGCCCCAAAAGTAGCCATGCTGGGCACATGCCTAACATTTGCCTCCTGTTGTCCATCAAAGCACAGCTCAAGGGGAAGTCACAGAGCCAAGCGCTAGGCCTTTCTGGTCAATTGAGTCAGCATTTTAACCAGTAACTCAGTCACTACAAGGCCTTTGATAAACATGAGACTAACTAGGTGCAAAAGGTGCCATCAGGGTCAGATTCTCAGGCCCTCCACCCTGCAGGACATGTTGTCCCCTTCCTCATACCAGCTTTTCCTGGTCATTAGATGAGCTAGTGGTTCAGTGGGGGGGCTTCCAGTTTCCCCTCATTCTATAACACACAAGGGTTTTTTTCAGTTGTGTTTGCAAGAACTTAGAATTCCTCTCCCCACTGCTCAGGCCTGAGCCTTCTCACCACTCTATGCCTGTTGCTTTTTCTGTATGTCACCCTTCTTGGATTTCCTATAATGCTGGCTCCCCTTTCCTTTTTAATCTCTACCTAGGATGCCCTCCGGTCCCCCTTACATCACACCTTCCAGGCAGGCCTTTCCAAATGTGTCCACTCCATCCCAACAACAATCTAATCCCTGACCAAGAAGGCTTGTCACGTCATATGTCACTGTTCCAGATTACCTTATGATAGTATATGTCATAGAACTTAGGCCCTGTGAGGATCAGGACACTGCTTGTTCACTGTTACATCCCCAGAGCCTAAAAACAGGCATGGAACTGGCAGACACTCACGGTTGATGATGTCTCTGTGACTTTTTAGACGGAATGCCTTAACATGTTGGCCCACTCCAGTGCCAGCCAATATGGCCTCAGTAGGGAAATGTAATACTTGCCTTAGACAAGAGTCAGGTATTCCATCCTGGAGCTAGGGTGGATCCCCATGTGAAAACTGGGGTTGATGGCAAAGAAAGCAGCCAAAACCCCCCTTTACCAACCTCCCCCTCACCCCTGACCCGGTGTCCACCAAGTTCCCCTCACTCCCTTCTTCTGTTCAGAGCATGAAGTCCTTCCTCCAGATGGTCCCTCACCACCACTGTCTTATTCTGCCAGCCTGCAACTTTTACTCACACATCCTCTCAGCATCTGAAGGTGCTTATTTTCCTCTTTTGGTTCCTTCCCAGTCTATCCTCAGTACCCACTCCTCTTCCAACATGCCTAGAAAACTACCCTCTTAGTTCTCTATATTCATTTCATTCAAATTTATCTTTCCAAACAGGTTATGAGAACGTCTACACCATAATAATTCTAAAACATATGACTTCATTTTCTCATCTTCCTCACTCTTTTATCTTTTCTTCATCTTCCACATTATACTGAGCTCTCTCCAAGGTCACTATGACCTTCTACAACTAGATGTTTCCAAATTTATTCTCCTCTTTGACTTCTTGCCAATCTTATACTCCTTCAAATTCTTTTCTTGAATCCTTGTCAATGTTCTTCAACCAAAGACCACCAAGAATATATCTGCAGTTGTAAAAGTTGAGTTTATCACTCCTTGCAGAGGGAGAATGGGAGGGGGTGAGAATTCAGTAAGAGGGTGTTGGGACTTAGGATGGGAGCTTTGGTGGGTTGATTTGGGCAGATCCAGAGAAGCAGGGGTTCACTATGGACTGCGTACAGTCAGAGAGTGGGGCTGCTTTTAGGATTGGGTACCTCAACAATCTCCTCTGAAGAGGGTATACTATAGTGCAAGACTGAAGTTATGATTAGTAAAGAAGAGACTGTCATTCATATTTAGCAGGGAACAGCAGTGCATGCTATTTTGTGGCTTGAACAATGTTTCCTCTGTGTTCAGACATGATTTCAGAATGATTTTGTTTTTGCCTTGTTCCATATCATGGTCACAGATGTTCCTGAAATTGGTCATATTTGACTGAAGAACATGAAGACCTGGCTATGTGGACTAGACCAGCCCACTGCAGTGCCACAGGGCAGTGACTCGTACCAGGCCACTCCTGGATGACAGTGGGCTTATGTTTCTCCATCTCAGGGTCCTCCTAGTTCTTCCACATCTCTCTCCTTCTCTTCTAGCTCTTCTTCCATCTCTTAAATTTGGGTATTCTCATTGGAGGCTTTACAGACTGATTTCTCACCTAGTTATAGGTTACTTTTTCTGCTTCTTGGTATGGCTAATCCTTTTTATTTGTTCTTGAATATTGTGAATGCCACCTGAAAAATCTCTGTGTTGTCTATATTTTTAGAAATGCTGAGATTTGTTAACATATGTATTAGTGTGATCTCATCAAGGTTTGTCTTCAAACTTTGTTAGGACAGGCCAGACTAGGCTTGCTTGAGAATTAGTTTCCCTATTAACCACTGTGACCATTCTAGGGTCTCTACTGATGATCTCATGTACTCATTGAGGTCTTTCTCTTCTGGCTGGTGGGAACCAATGTGGTGGGACTTATTTAGGCATTTACATGAGTGAAGACATGTCAGAGCACTCAGTGAAAGGGAAAGCAGAAAAGAGATTTCCAGAGGACTGAGCCCTGGGCTCCATTATTCTTTCAGGTTTGGGCTCTTATCACCTGTACCATTGCATATATTTCTGTCTCCAGGTGTCTCTCGTGTTCATGGTCATCAGACCAATGCTCTTAAAGCAATGTTCACATTATGGCATACCTGTCCTTTGGCAGCTTCTCATCCATTCCACCCAAAACTCTTTCAGAGCAATACTGTAGGCCCTGTGCACTGACATGATCTCTGCAGCCGATCTCACTGAGATCTGTGTTTGCATTACTCCTTGACTCCAGCCTGACTGGCCATCCCTGGCTCCTTACCCTTGCAAACTTAATTGGGTCTTTTCGTTCCTAATACTCTTGCTACTTGGAATGACCTTCATGGTTCTGTGTCCATCCAAATCCTCTCACCCCTCAAAGTATAGGTTATGTCACCTCATTCAAGATGCCCTCTTGGTCTACTTCACACCAGAGTTCTCACCCCAGTGTAGTCTCCTATAGCCTGTAGTTGACCACTTTCTAAGGGCCAGCTTCCCTGTAAGGAATCAGAGAGCCAGATATGAATGATCAAAGTGTCTGATCTCAAGGAGCCCACTGACCCAAGAGTGAGGGTCTGGAGAAGGGGGCTATGACAACAGAGTGAAGCAAGTGCTCATAATGAAGGGGATCAATGGAGGAAAGAAGAGTGAAGGGACAGTGTGTCTGACTTAAAGAGCTGAGTACAGGACAAATGGGTCCACAAGGTCCAATGAATGAGAAATGCTTAAGAATTATTTCTTCTTAGGAAAACACGTGCAATAACATATCCTGTCTGCAGAAAATTTCATGCTAAACATTTTGATACATTCTGGGAGTACCCAATGCAGTGTATGTCCTAGAGGCATCCTGTAGATTCATCTGAGGTATATTAGGATTTAGATCTCAGTCTGGCACACCCTCCATCCATTTGTATTGAGGTTGAGTGTATGAGTCTGCATCAGGAATGTCCTTTCTTGCTCATCACACTCACGGTCTAAATCGGAGGCCTGTATCTTGACAATGGTTAATAAGACTCTGATCCTGCCATTTCAGACTTGCCCACTGAGGTCAAGGATGGATTTCTTGTGCTTACATTTCTTATTACTCTGATTTATTAATAGTGCACTTGTCTTGCTGACATTCTTTGAGCCCCTTGCTTCATGTAAGGCCTTTTGACTTCACCTTTTAAAGGACAGAGTAAGTATGGCAGTTCACATATAGATGGCTCATGTGTCTCTTTTTAAATCCCAAGCATAAATCAGTCTCTGCTTTTCCCTCGAGAGCACTCACGTTACTGATCTACTCTGGACCCTATCAACCAATTGTCCACAAACGAAACTTCAGTAGTTCACCTCTCTTAAAGACAAATTCCTTAATGTTTCCACCATAGATCAACACAATCAAGCTACAAAAATGAACACACAAAAACATCTCAGTGGACATTTTAACTTGTTAAAATAATGCACTTTATATTGATTTATACTCCCCAATTGACAGTTTTAAAAAGAATGTTATTGAGTTATAACCTATAAATCATAAATTTACCCATTTTAAGTATTTAATAATGTTTTAAACTTAAAGAAGAGTGCAACCATCACCATGATGCAATTTCTAAGCATGTTTATTTTCCAGTAAGATCACTCATACTCATGTGCCTGTTTCCAATCTGATTCAAGCAATTACCACCCTACTTTGACTCTATGGATCTATCAAGAATTAATTATGGACAGTCACTTGACCTGAAGGATTGTAATCATCTCACTGTTTTTCTGACTTATCCTAGGGCTAATCCACATAACAAACTCCCTAAACTAATTTCTTTCAGAGCTGAATTTTCATGGTACACCTGGCTTGGCAATCTTAATTCCTTATTCCTTAGTTCCTTATCAATTAGGACCACAATTTGTTTTTTCCTAAATCTCTCTACTTACTATTTGTTGACTGTCATCTGCACCTCCAACTCAGAATATTTGAAACTGAACACACCCTGTCATTTTCTTCCTTGAACCTGTTCCTTCCTAATCCACGACTCTTCATCTCACCAGAGTGGCCTTTTCTAGCTGCTTCCTCTAGCCAAAAACACAGTAAGTGTCCAAAGTACTGTACTTAATTGGCCTCAAGATGCACAAGTTTGATTATTCTCATTGAAAATCACTTGAGTCTTTTGAAATAAATTTAAATTCCTTATCATCTGAGTGAGATTTTTGGTCTGCCTTTTGCTTCTTCACCAACAACTTACTTGGACCTTCCTCCTATTGCCTTTTCAAGTCACTAGCAAATTAAATGGATTTTTTCCATTCGTTCATTATTTATTGAAGACCTACTATGTGACATAGTGCCAAGCCCTGAAGATACAGGAATGAGAAAAACACATAATGCCCTGCTTCATAGAATGTACATGCTATAGGGAAGACAAAGGAGTTTGTACAATAATGTGTGAGATGTTTTGTGTTGGGGAAGGTGATGGGGGTTGCCATGGGAACTTGAAACACAGAAACAGAACCTCCTCTGGGGAAGGAGAAGCTAAGCCTTGGAGGATGAATAGGATCCAGTTAGGTAAAGGGGAGGCAAGAAAAGGTTTCAGCTCTCCTGGATTTCTGGTAGTAGATCTATGATGTTCTTTTCCCAAAGGCTATCTACAAAATGGTGGGCACTGTGATCATGATGAAAATGAATGAGGATGGCCTCACGCCTGAGCAGCGAGTAGACAAGATTTTCAGCAAGATGGATAAGAACAAAGATGACCAGATTACACTTGATGAATTCAAAGAAGCTGCAAAGAGCGACCCTTCCATTGTATTACTTCTGCAGTGCGACATTCAGAAATGAGCTGATGTCAATGCTATGGACTGCACAGAAGTCTTGATGTTCCATTCAGTCTGCAGCTATTCACATACACACACACACACACACACATACACACACATACACACAAATATTGCTTGGACTACCTATAAATGGACTTGCTTCTTGTGTTTAACACTTGTGTGCATGAGAATGTCATTTGCTAATGAATTTTAAAAGCATATATTATAAAACAAAACAACCTGCCACAATGTGATATGTGTAATATTTCATTAAAAAAGAAAACCTCCTCCAAAGCCTGGGCAGAAATGTGCTGCGAAGAGTTACATGATTTCTTGTACATGTTTTGCTGATGCTCGTGAATCCTTGATTACATGATGTTAGTAGCACTGAGACCACCCTCGGTAATGTAACTTAATTATGAGCTGCGTCACCATTCTCCTGTAAAATAGTACTAGACAGACACACAGTGGGGCAGGGGGCTTGGCCCCTGTGTTTGGTCCACACACAAGAGCTTGTAATATCAGTGAATATAAATGTACTACATTTGCATGCCTTTTGGGTTTGCCTTAATTCTTACCTCATTTGCATCCTATCAAAATCTGGAAAGCGCTGTTTTGAATGAATGCAGTGTAAAACTTAAAAATCCTACTAAATGACTCATTAAGTGTATCTGTCTATCTATATATACATATACACAAAGATATTATTTATTGAAAGTAAAAAATGATGGAAATGTATTGATTTCTGTTTGAGTTTTCAAAGGTTTCAAAAAAAGGTGGCAATAGATGTCCCAAATAAATTTATAACATTTTATTTATTCCCCTTAATCCTTATTTTATAATTTTAAAATTTAAAACAGATGTTCATAATAATCAAGGGACAGCTAGCAACAACTTACCACTATCAAACACGCACCTTTGAAGAATTAATGACAAAAAGAACAAATGAAACTTTTCATCCAGGCCCACTTCACCAAAGAAAGACAATCAATATGGCATGTAACATTTAAAGAAAACAGAATACTTGTTCATTCTGAAAAAAATGTTCATTATCTGACAATAAACTTTAACACACACATTTCAGTGTGACTTTGATGATAACAACATATTATGTTCTACACATTTCTGTGGAGGGAATCTTTAGTGGGCGACAAGTGTCCTCCAAGATAAGCTAGTAGGAAAGAAGACTTCTGCTGTCCAAAAAAAAGGCATGCTGGCTTTTATTTTAATAATGGGACAAAACTCTGACTCTTTTGACCTTGACGAAGGAAGGCAGGCAGATGAGATTCCATCAAAATTTCTAAAGCAGGTTGGAATTTTCAGAGTATTTCTGGAGGTTTTCTCTTTACATAGTCCTGTCCAATCACGTCTGCTCTGATGACACAAACATCCACATGTGCGCTGTGCACTAGCTGCATGTGGCTATTGTGCACTTGAAATATGGCTAGAGTGTTGGCTGAGGAACTGTTACATTTTAATTGTTTTAAATTAATTTGGTATGTAAAGCCAGCAGCTATTGTATCAGATTGTGCAGCATTCTATTCACTCATGCACTTTAATAGTTTAAAAAAACCAACTCTCTTAGCATCATTAAATAACAACAGTTAACTGTAAACAAGTAAACTTCACTACACTTAGGACAGCAGTGTACCTGAAGCATTGATAGAACCCAAATTCTGCCCTCAGAGGGAACAATTCCATATGCTAATAGAATGTCCTGGTAACCTTCACCCCAATGCACAGTAAGCCCAAAATGTAGGCAGGAAGAGATTCAGAAGGTCAAAGGCCCCCAACTTAGTGAGGACAGTGGATGAACTGGGAGGATCCTCTGATGTCACCTGCTAAATCAAGTTATGAGCAATCACTGATCACCTACAATGCATTTGGCCAACACTATTCTTACGTGGGTATGGAGATAGCCATTAACTATATGTACACACAAATGGTAAATTGAAAGAAGCATGAAGAAAAGCTCAGCAAGGTAAGAGGGAAGGAGAATAAGATATGGTGGTAGCTTTTAATAGTAGGGTGGTGAGGTGACATTTGAAGTAGGAAATTTGGGAAGGGAGGGAGGAAAGGGTGAAAGGTAGGAGGGAGGGAAGGCTAAAGGGAAGGAGGGAGGTTGGAAGAAAGGGAGGAAGGATGGAGAGGAGGGAGGGAGGGAGGTAAGGGATGGAGAAAGAGGAGGGAGAGAAAGAAGAGAAACAGTGGTTATCTGGAGCACTTACAAAACAAAACCCTCCAGCAGATTCACTTGTCCTTTTATCACTGAAATGTAGAATGTGGGCCAATGGTAAGTAAGTAGACTTACTGGCACAGTGATCCTGAAGAGAAGACAACAGTAATTAAGTCTACAGACATCTCTGACCTAGCATTCCTGTTCCTTGGTACACTGCTTCAAGAAACGCTCACATAGAGCTATACAGGGATGTCCCCAAGACATATGTGATGGCTGTTTGTGGTGTGGCTGTTGGAGGCAATCTAGTGGTTCATCACAAGGGGAGTAAGTAAAATATGGTGATGCCACTGCCTATCAGCTGGAAGCAACAGGCTGATAAGTACACCCAACATAACTTTTTAATGCTGAGTGGGAGAAAAGCAATAAAATCTATTGCACAGTATAGTGAAAAATACATTCTCACAAAAGAACTCCAAGGTCAAGCAAGAGGACAGGAAATGTCATAAACTACAACCATTAGGGACTGGTTCAGTTACCTTGCTCCGTAACAATCCACCCCAAATCAAATGCCTTAAAATAGAAACAATTATTTTCTTATGGTTTCCATGGGTCAGAGCTTGAGTTCAGCTGAATGATGCAGGCTTGGAGTCACTAGTCAGTTGGTGGCTTAGAGCAGAAATGGGCCTGGACCAGCTGGGGGCTGATTAGGGATCTCAATGCTTCTCCATATGGGCTAGTTTGTTTCCTCACAGCATGGCAGCCTTAGAGTGGCATACTACTTGCATAATGGTTCAGGGTCCCAGCACAAGAATCCTGCAAAACTGGAAGTTTCACCGTCTTTTCTGACTTAGCCTCAGAAATCAGAAGTATCACTTTAGCCAGGCACTGGTGGCTCATGCCTATAATCCTAACTACACAGGAGGCAGAGATTAGGAGGATTGTGGTTTGAAGCCAGCCTAGGGCAAAGAGTTTACAAGACCTTATCTGGAAAAAATCCATCACATAAGGAGGCTGGCCTGAGATACCCCTTTGACGATCAACTTAAATATTAATAATGAAAAACAGGACTGTAAAATAGGTACACATGTGTAGGGAGGGTACTAGCAGGAGTAGGGAGGGTGAATGAAGATTAAGATGACAGTATGGGGTAGACAGACTTCATATACCTATATGAAACGGAACTAAGAAATCACTTGCAATTGCTTGAAGTGGGGTGGGGAGGGGGTTGAGGGGAAGAGACAATGGGGACAAATGTAAATAATGTACATAAGTCTAATTGGAATTGTCAGTATGAATCCCCCCCGTAAAATGAAGATATCCTAATAAAAAGAGATAAAAATTTTAAAAAAAAGAGCCTGGCAGAGTGCCTCAAAGTGGTAAGAGTGCTTGCCCAACAAGATTGAGACCTTGAGTTCAAACCCCAAAGTCACAACAACAACAAAAAGAAGAATCTAGAAGGGAATTTGACTCTGTCTCTTTATGGGGTGCTTAAAATAGTCCCTAGCACATGGCAGGAACTTAACCATTTTTAAATAAATTTCTACATTTTTAAACTAGGGGGCGAGAGTCCTCTTAAATTTGCTATGATTAGTCAGTACATCCAGGCTACTTTTGTTCCTATGGATCAAACACACAAGTTAACAATGTGTTATAAGAAAATTTCATTTGCTGACTCAAAGAAACAAGTGATTTATACTCACATTATTACTTTGCCAATCCTTAAAGAATACAACCTGCTTCTGTTACATATTTTGATACAATCTGAACTCCAGGGCATTAAGCTTAAGTCAGGAAACATCAATAACCATTTGAACTTTTAGGATTGTAAATTTCAAATCAATTCTCCTGAAAAATTGAATTAGTCAAGGTAGAAGACATCTGTGCTAGTCAGCAACAAATAACTGATATAAATCAGCTTGAAAAGAGTAAGGTTTATTCTGGCTTTGTTTTATAGGTTCCAGACCATGATCTGTTTGGTCCTGTTGTTTTAGGCCTGTGGTGAGGTAGCACCTCATGGTAGGAAGGTGTGGTGGAAGAGGCCTGTTCACCTCATGGCCATGACAGCCTAGAAGCAAATGAGAAGACATTGGCAAGCCTCAATGACCTAACTTCCTTCCAGAAAGCCCCACCTCCTACACATTCCACTACCTCCTAATAGCACCACAGGCTGGCAACTATACCACATGGGACTGTGAGGGAAATTTCAGATCTTCAACAGGAGCTATGTAGGTTTGTAAAACAAAGCCATGAATCTAACCAGAATATTACTACCTTAGGACATTGTAAACACATTCAGTGGAACAACACAGCACTTCAGATCACCAGGCTACAGAGGGATACTTCTGGTTTAAGTGTAAACAGACCAGTGCAGTTTTACTACCAATACTGAAAAAGTAAAGCTTAGCAGATGCCAAATTATTCAAATTATGTTAACTTTTAAATCTTTATTTCTACATCCATTTTGTACTCAGGAGAAATTTTAATCAGACATTTGGGTCACTGTTTTCATTACAGAAATGTTTTCTGATCCAATTTATGAGCCTCATCTCATAGTTTGTTACACAGAATTTGAGCACTTTAGTCTCCATAGTCTAGACATTATAAAGGCATGCTCTCTGCCATAAATCAAAAGCAATAGAGAAATAAGCCTCAATTTTCAGTGTTGATTATTAATTTCGGTGACTGTATTATTTACATCTTAGATTATTACTAAAACACATCAGTAATGTACAAATTGAGAAGGGAGGACTTAAGATCTAAGGAAGCCTTTCTTGGTTTCGGAGACTTTTTTCTAGGGTTGAAGTCACCTGTGCAATGTACATAAATCACTGTTCATGAAGAGGCTCAAGTTAGTCACTACCACCTTCCCCAACTCACAAAAACCTGACCTTATTACATATAAATGCTAAGCTTTATTTTTAAGGTACACATATTTTAAAAGAGTAATTCCTTTTTATTATTTTAGTTTGACATTAGAACTTAGAATATTAGATGAAAATATTTTCACATATGGTAACTGAAACTCAAACTTTGAAGCCAAAGCAATGCATTTTTTTTTTTTTTTTTGGTGGGACTGGGATTTGAAGTCAGGACTTTGTGCTTGCAAAGCAGGTTTTCTACTTGAGCTACACCTCATGTCCATTTTGCTATGGTTATTTTGGAGACAGGGTCTTGTGAACTATTTACCCAGGCTGGTCTTGAACCTTAATCCTCCTGATCTTAGCCTCCCAAGTAGCTAGAATTATAGGCATGAGCCACCAGCAGCTGTCTTAAAGCAATGAATAATCTTCAGTTCATCAGGATGCTTGGAAACCTGAGGATTATTTTACCATTCTGTATTAAGAAGCATAACATTTAAAACTAATACTATATAAAGACCCTGAAATTCCTTACCAAATAAAAGGTAATGCATTTGGTAAATTCTACTTCATTTGTTATTTGAAAACATACATGTACATTAAAATAGTTTTGAGACAAATGGATTATAATGTAAAAATCAGATTTTTATGGTTATTGGGGAATGTTCAAAACATTCAGCAGTTCCCACTTCCTATAGGTTCTCAGATTAGAAAGCACGTTTTTGAATTGCTTGTGGCAAATGATTTCACTTGATGAAAATTAAACTCCCTCCCCTATCAAAACCAAAATTCAGTTTTTCTCAATGTCTGTAGAAGTGTCACGTTCCTAAAATATTGCTCTTCTTAAAATACTTCCTTTTCAATTTTATAAATATGTATTCCAACATTTATTGTGGATAACATAAAGAATACTTGTTGTTATCCATTTAAAAGAAAATTTAATACTGAGCCTAGTATCAAAGAGAGAATATAGGTAGTAGTCCTATTTGTTTTCATTTAAAAAGTGCATAAATACCAATTCTGACAATAAATTGATATTCTAAGAAGCCCACATTTCACAGCTCTAAAATCAGGATGAGTCTTGTAACTGATGCTAGGTTACCATTAAACGTGGCCTTTGGCTGATGCAGTCAATAGCTACTCTCATGCTCCATGAGGAGCCACCCTCCTTCCAGTTTTCCCAGCCCTTCTCCCAGCCTGGTCTAAACAGCTCTTCTGGTCTGTATCCTCTCAGCTGAGCCCAAACCAAGACAAGAAAGGAGCCATGAGAAAGCAAATGAATTGCTTTAAAACAAGCTCACATGCTGTAGGTCAAGATGAAAAACTGCATCATCATCTGGCTTAAATACTGACTACAGGCTCTTCCTTGGGTAGAGGACAGTTCCAGTGAGGAAAAAGCACTGTTGGAATCGGCAGCGCTTCATAAAATTGCCTTATAAATAGCATCTTAAATTTGATGAAGTACAATTAAACATTTCAGCCTAAATTTCTAGCTGCACCCTTAGGGCTAAAAATTACCCACAGGCAGAGATATTGTCCAATAGATTCACAGTCCTATGTAAGTCCCTCATAATTAACAAAAAGCAGACAGAGGTCCACTGTAAACTAGTGGACTCTTGCCCACCCTTGCCTCCCATCCTCTGCAGTAAGAAATCCTTCCCTTCATCTACATTTGATAATTGAACTACAGAACTTAATATATCAGAAAAGCAAAACTAAATATAATCGGGTGCTCAAAGTTTTATTTTAATTCTTACAAAATACTATAGAAATGAACCCAAACTAAACAGATATGTACATGTGCATACGTACAAAATTTTCCTTCTGAAAAAAAAAAAAAACTATAAAAATAGATGGTAAAAAAAAAACACCACCACAAACAAGCAATCAAACTTAAAAAGATTTAAAAGCAGTACTATGAAAATGGTTTTCATAAAGGAAAGTAATAGTAACTTTAAATTGCTGGTTGTAGCTGGTTTTCTAGGCTTATTTACACACTTTATGGTGGTTAGAAAGAGGAGTTTCTTTTATTTTACAGTATCTCCAGTCTCATTTTATTTCACCAGATAGTCCAGAATTTTTCTCCCCCTCACAAATCTTTCAACAGGAGGACATGGCATATTAAATTATCAACTTCGGTCATCATCTTCCTCTTGAGTCACAGGTTGGAAAGGCAATGTGGTTTGTCCTCTTTCAGGATCAGACATCCGAAGAATTCTAATCAATTTACTTGAAGGAAGTGAGCTAGAAGAAGCAAAATTAATTACTCAAATTTCCAGGAAAGTTTTCATCCTTTAAAAGAAATTCTAAGGGCTGGGATGTAGTTCAATGGTATAGTGCTTGCCTAGCACATACACACTCACAAGGCCCTGGGTTTGATCCCTAGCACTGTTCAAAAAAAAAAAAAAATTCTAAATGCAAATCTAATGGCTGTTATCTGCTAAGAGTAGGATACATTTAATATTAACAATTCTAGGGAGAAATGTAATTTGCTGTAAAGAAATGAGTTGTTTTCGTTAAAAAAAAAAAAAAAAAAAAGAACTTCCTGCTAAATACCACACATTTTTTTCAGTCTGGAGAGAAAAAAAAAAAGAGATTTATAAATGAATTATTTTAAACTCTTGTTCTTGTCTAGCCAGGAAGGAGTTACCTAAATATTCCTAATCACAAATTTAAATACCCATCTGATCATAGGACCACTTTAGAGACAGAATATCAATTCTCAATTGCCTGATATACTGTAGGTACCAAATAAAAGCTGATGGACTACAAAGTAGAGCTCTTTATTTACAAAGATTGGCATCTGTATGTCACCAAGAAGAGACAAGACTATGGAAATCACAAATTGTTTCTTTGTCCTACATAGAACTACTAAAATTACTTTGTATTAGTTGGTCATGAAAACCACAAAGGAAGATTCAAAATACAAATACAATAATTATATTCCAGTGAACTTGCCTCAGTCATGGAAGGAAGATGACAGAAACAAATCTTAAGTATCTAAAATTAAGATTATGGAGGATTTCTATCCCCTTTTATATGCTTGATCTATATGCACACATATAGATGTTTACAGAAAGACTTAATAAGTTACCTCATACTTTGAGGGGTAAGCAAGATAAATTGTCTAAAACGCTGGGAATCTGCCATCTTAAGTATCATGTCCATTGCAATTCTCCTATTGACCATATCCTGAAAACAAGGCATAAATTAGCACTGCATTGTACAACTGTATTTGTGCAAAAGCAACATTCTGCTAACTGTTACAAAAACCCTGGATTTGCATGAATTATTTTATCTATGATGTCAAGGAATCAGTCTATGGAAAGATAATGTATGAAACTATTACAGATAATAACTAAATAAATTTATCTTCCATATTATTTCTATAGTTAAGATATTCATATGTATGACCCCCCTCAAATACATACAGCAATTAAAAATAATAATTAAAAATAACACAAATGATACAAGTTATAGAATTAATCTAATTAGTTCAATAATGATTAATTACTCAGAGTAACTGCAGCAAAAATGTCTCATTTCAAATTTATCAATTTTTTTTCAAATTATCCCTCAATGATTAAAGGAGAGTGTTTTTAAAAGTATGGTACTCTTAGACCAGAGGTGTGGCTCAAGTGGTACAGCACCTGCTTTGCAACTGTAAGTCCTGAGTTCAAACCCCAGTCCCACCAAAAAAAAAAGTAGTGTTCATAGAAGGCTTTATACAGGCAGTAGAAGTATAAGCCAAGTACTGAAAGGTAAGCAGTTTGTTACATAATGAAAGAGGGCACACTAGACAGAGGTGTCATGTTTAGAAAATTACAAACAGCTTAGCACAGCTGAAAAAGATGGTAAAGACTAACTACATCATAAATGGTCTCAAAGTTAATGTACAAAATTAAATATTTATATATAAATATAATATATAATAATCGCTGTGAGGGGCTTTAATAGGTAAGTGACCAAAATCAGGTCTATTTTAGAAATATAAACCTGCCAGAAAGGTGGAGGACAGACTGAAGGAGCAATATCCCAAAAGTTTGGGAATCTGGACAAGAGGCTATCACAACAGATAACAGGTATGGAGAGTGAGAAGAGATAGCAGAGACACAGTGAGAAAAGAGAAGAGACTAGAGACGAGGGAGACTTCAAAAGAGAAACAGGCAAAGGTCAGATTTAGTGTGCAAATAAAAAGAATGTAAATCTCAGGTTTTGAAGCTAAATGACTAGGCAGGTAATGACAGTTTTGTCAATAATCAAGGTAAGGAATTTAGAGGGAAAAATAGGCTTTGAGAGGAAGACACATTCAGTTTCAAACACATTGAGTTTGAAATGCTGGCTATTTAACAGACTGCAAGAGAGACATCAGATGAAGGACCTGGGATCAGGCAGCAGCTTTGAGGACTGAGTATATGTAGGGAGTAGGCAGGGTATAGTGTGCAAGAAAATCAACAAGAGTGTAACAAGCAAACAAAGAAAACCACAAACACTTACAGGCTTCAGAATTAGGGGAGGCAGCCTAGCAGACTGAGGAAAGAAAGAACACAGGAAAACTAGTAGCAGGAGTATGAAAGCCGGTAAGACAACACATTCTAAGGGGCGGAGGATAGGTCTCTGGTGCTTAGTACTTCAACAAATCAAGTAAGACTTAGCTCATTTATGTTCTTTGCTAAAAGAATGTTGTAACATTCAAGTATTGCCTAGACCCAGACTATACTGCACTTAGGGACAGAAGAGTCCTAAGTGAAGCAATAAATAGGATGATCGATTGCTTGCTTATGAAAACTTACTATGTGCCTGCATTGCAATAAGTACATTACATACAGGACTTCACTTGAGCCTCACTATAACCCTATGAGGTAGGAAACAGACCCAAGACCCAAGAAGGATAAATACTCTGCCTAAAATCATTTCGATAATCAGTGGCAGAGCTAGGTCCAAAATCCTAGGCTTTTTAATCTCAAATCAAATAAATCAAATGTTCTTGCATTCTTATTTTATATATCTTGCTCCTTTGAAAAGCAGGGCTATGAAGGACAGGATAGTCAACATGGAAAAAAACCTTGGAAAAAAGCAAGGGTGGCAAACTGGTTACAATTCTGTGTTAAGGTGCAAGAGCTTGGGGCTGATGGAGTGGCTCAAGCATTAAGAGCACCTACCTAATGAGCACAAAGCCATGAGTTCAAAACCCAGTACTGCAACTCCTTATTCCCCCCACCCCCCCCCGCCCGGAAAAAAGACAAGATGAAAGAGCCTGAACACATTTCATTTCTGGGTTGGTGGAACTAAGCTAGGGGAGAGGCTGAAGAACAGAGAGACTATCAGACAGACAGGACATGCATGCTGAGACAGAAGAGATGAAATGTAAAAACAGGGTTTTGGCAGCAAGGGAGAAAACTCAAACTCTGGGATCTTGCTATCACTAATATCACAGACTGAAGTGTCAAACAGCAGATCTTTTCTGTTATAGGTAAACTAAAGTAAGACTTTGCTTCCTTTCAAAATATGTATTTCAAAGAAAATCAGAGAATTTAAAATTTAACAATACCATGTAGACATCAAATTCATCTAGGCATCTGAAAGGTGATTCAGCAATGGACCACAGGGAAAGGATGAAGCACACCGTGGAGAAAGAACGCTCACCGCCAGACAAGGCTCGCATGTCATTGAAGGAAGCTTTGTTTCCCTCGCCAGGCTGAACCTTGAAGAGAAGTGATGTGAAACAAGGAACAAAAACCACAGCAGAAGTCAGATTAAATTCTACAGAACAGGCAAAGAGAACGGCTTCATAGTAGCATAAGAAATGGGTACATAGTAAAAAATCAAACAAACAAAAAGCAGGGAGGGGTTAAAAACAGATTCATCATTTAGTAGTGTGAAAGAGTATTTACTACAAAACTGAGCCACACAGTGGTGTTTTATTTCAAGAAAATCAAATTAGAAACTCTTCCTCACTATAACTGGATCTAACAATCCAAAATTCCAAAGGTTTAATAAAGTGGCAAGATTAACTATGAATTATTTATCAGAATAAAGAATTTAAAATTGGCCCTGAAACTGTTACTGTCCAAACATTTGAAAATGCTGAAGTAATTTTTTGTTACTTGAATTACAGCGACACCTAGTGGTTACACAGCTTTAACAGTAAATACTGAATGTCAAAAGGACATACCAACTCAAAGATTCATAGTGGCCAAAGAGTAACAGCAGGAATGCACTGAAATACATTCTTCAAAAGTATTTTTTAAATCCTCTTTATTAACTAAGGGTCCATGGAAACAGTTAAAAAACTAATGAAATTAAAAATCTCTTTTGTACAACTTCCTAAGAAAGTAATATAAAGTAACATTAGCAGAGATTCTATTTCATTGAGACAGAATTCCAGGTACATGTGTGTAACAAGATGAAAAAACCAGCAGTGTTTTTTACATCAATAGCAGACACATATCACTCTCAAATGAGAATTCATTTATTTTCTAACGTCCTATGAGTCTTTAAAAAATTCTGAGTTTAAATATACACTGAGTATCTTTTTGAGACAGAATGCTCACAGGAAACCAGGAAAGAAAGGGGAGAGGAGAGGAAGTACTGAGGTTTGAACTCAGGGCTTCATGCTTACTAGGCAGGCACTCTATGTCTTCAACCATTCTTCCAGCACAAAAATAATCTTTTTGAGGACAAAAGAACTCAATTTTCTTGGTTTTATGCCTTAAGAGTGGAACTGCTTTCACAGAGAGACAGGTTTTCAAATTACTTCTATGAGCTCTAATTCCACATCCTCAGCCTTGTGCGTTCCAGTCATTCTAACGGGTATGATAGCAACCTACTGAGATACGTGATGACTAACAATCCCGAGACCTGTTCCATGTGCTTAATTTATGAGGTTTCTACTTAAGCCTTCTGACCACTTTTAAATGTATGTCTTTTTCTTAGTATTTATTATTTTTTTAAATGCTACATGAGTCCTCTGTTGTACCTATGAACAGAAAGTATCTTTTCCCAGTCTATAGTGTCCCTTATCACTCTTTCAATGTTAATTTTGTGACAGAAGTTCTTTATTTTAATAAAGTCTAAATTACCAATCTTGGTAATTAATTGTTTTTTAAAAACCTTAATAAAAGAATACAAAAATACGTGATTGTGAAGTAACATATAGTAACTATGTACATATTTATGGAGAACAGTGTGATATTTCTAGTCAGGGTAATTAAAATTTCCATGTCCTTATCACTTCTCTTACATTTGAAGCCTCTGAGTTCCTCTCTTCTAGTTCTTCAAAAAATATTTAATAGGCTGTTGTAAACTAGAGTGCTCACACTACGCTATGAAAAAACCAGGACTTAGGCCTTCAATATGTGTTCTGATACTCGTTATCCAACCTCCTTCTAGCCCTTCTCCTCCCTCCCTTCCCAGTAGTAACCATTACTCTATATTCAGATCAACTTTTTTGAGCTTCCACATGAGAACATGTGGTGTTTGTCTTTCTGTGTTTGTCTTATTTCACCTAACATAATGTCTCATCCACTTTACCACAAATGAGAGGATTTCAGTCTTTTTTATATTTCATCACACACACACACATTTTCTTTATCCACCCATCCATGGATTGAGTACTCTAAGTTGATTCTATGTCTTGGCTATTGAGAACAGTACTTCAATACAGGGGAATGTAGATATTTCTTTGATATGCCAATTTCATTTCCTTTGAGTATATACCCAGAAGTGGGATTTCTGGGTCATATGGTAGTTCTACTTTGAATTTTTTGAGGAATCTCCACACTGTTCTCCATAATGGCTATAATAATTTACATTCCTACCAACAGTGTACATGAAAAAACATTTAAGACATCAGTATAGGCAATGATTTTTTTTTTATAAGGCCCAAAAAACATAGGCAACAAAAGCAAAAATAAACAAATGGGGTTAAATCAAACTTAAGAAGCTTCTGTGCAGCAAAGGAGTCAACAAAGTGAAGAGACAACCTACAGAAGAGAAAATATTGCAAACGACTCACCTTACAATCTTTTAATATCCAGAATATGGAAAGAATTCAAACTCAACAAAAAATAAGTGATTCAATTTAAAAATGGACATTTCTCCAGTAAGTGAAGAAATATAAATGACCAACAAATATATGAAAAATGCTCCATATTAGCCATCAGCAAAATGCAAATCAAAACTACAAGGAGATTTCATCTCACCCCAGCTTGAATAGGTGTCAGAACGCAAAAAATAATAAAGCCTGGCTATAAGGATGTGGAAAAAAGGGAAGACATTCTTTTCTAGAAGTTTTAACGTTTAACATTTTACTGTAATCACTTTTTGTACTTTGTCAGAAAGAGTCAAGGTCTGCTATAAATTTTACCAAAACAACCCTCAACATCTCTCATCAGATGAGCAGCCCTTTCCCAGGGGCTTGTGCTCAACGGGAAGCCAGGTGCGCATGGCCTGCCTCGGGCTCTCCGTTGTTTTGTGCATCTGCTTTCTCTCCCTGGACCTCTCCCTGTCTTCATTGTGTACTTTTTTCTACTTGCTTTTATAATTGGCTTTTCTCTTTCTAGGTCCTGAGATAAAACTTAGATCATTAATGTCTGGCCTTCCTTTTACACTGATAAATGTATGCAAAGCTATAAATCCTATCTGAAAAATCCTATGTTGTTTCCTACAAGTTTTGATATGTCATATTTTTATTGTTGCTTAATTCTAAATTATCTTCTAATTCCCACGTGATTTCTTTTGACTCATGGATCACTTAGAAACGTGTTGAATAATTTTATAATATTTAGGAAATTTTAAGTTACCTTTTTGCTATTCTTAATTTCATTCAACTTTGTATATATTATGTATGACTTCAACCTTTTGAAATTTACTGAGATTTAGATTATGGCCAAGAAAATTGTCCATTTTGCTAAATGTTCCACATGTACTTTAAAACAATCTATAATTTATGGTATCTTGGTACAGACTTCTATAGCTATGCCAATTAGGTCAATTTGGTTAACTGTATAATTTTAAATATATACATATAATATATATATATATTTTTTTCCTGATGGGACTGGGGTTTGAACTCAGGGCTTTGCACTTGCAAAGCAGGCGCTCTATCACTTGAGCCACACCTTCATTTTGCTCTGGTTATTTTAGAAATGGGGTCCGGCAAACTATTCTCCCAGGCTAGCCTTGAACCACAGTCCTCTTAATCTCAGCCTCCCAAGTAACTAGTATCACAGGCGTGAGGGAGCCACCGGCACCTGACTCAATCTAAATTTGATAACTCTTCTACTTTGCCTTTTAGCTTTCTCAACTTTATGTATTTTGAAACTATATAAATAAAAATATTTTGAAAAAAGATGTTTTGAAATAATGCTCATCACTACCAAATGCTCCTTTTGTCTCTAGTGACACTCCGCATGTAAACCTTGTTTTGTTATTAATATAATTTTACCAGCTTGTTTAGGCTGATGTTTGCATGCCGTTATCCTTTTCTTTTTCCTCTCTTATTTTACATTTATTTTTAGGCCATTTACCTCACCATTTATGTTCTGTTCCGTTTCTCCTTCCTTTTTCCCCTTAACTTAACTGAGCTTTTTTCTTTTTCATTCCTTTTATTTGGTTTCTATCACACATGCTTTACAAAAGCTTCTAGTGCTCTAGAAAATGCAATACATATCTCTGATGTACAAGTTTATCTTAAATTAGTATTACTTCATGAATCTCAAAAGAACCTTACAATAGTTTAATTCCACATACGTCTATCTCCTTGTTATGCTACTGTCCTGTATTTTGCTTTTAAATCTTACAAATCCCTTAAGACACTACTATTGTTATTTCAGACAACCAAAGCTACTTTATTTTCACTCATATTCAACATTTGGTCTCTATTCTTCTGGAAGTTCCATGTTTGCATCTAGGATTGCTTTTTTTGCACCTAATGGCATTCTTTAGTACTTTTTGTGGACCAAATGTACTGAGGGAGAATTTTTTTCAGCTTTTGTTTGTCTGAAAACTAAGATGTTTTATTTTCTTTTTTTGAAAGATAGTTTTTAATTATAGAAATCTAGACAGGAGGAGTCTTTTTAAAAAACAAAAAATCCTTTAGCACTTCGGTCTGTCAGAAGAGGTTCAACGTCCACAATTTCTGCTGAAAAGTATGCCTTAAACTGGACGCAGCACAGCATGCCAATAGACAGCTACCTACTCTGGGGGCTCAGGGAGAGTCACCTGAGTTCAAATTTGAGTCCCATCTCAAAAGCAAAACCAAAACTAGCTGTGCCCCCTAGCCCACCCAAAAAAAGAAAAACAAAATTGTGTCCCTTCCATTTTTATTGTCACTCCTTTTAATATTATCACTTAGTTTCCAGTTAATTGACTACATTGTATTTTGATGTGGTGTTCTTCGCATTTATCTCATGTGGCATTTGTTGGTAATTCTGAATGTTATGAAAATTCCCAACCATTATCTCTTCAAATGTCCTTTGCTCATTCTTTTTTCTTTCCCCAACAGTGTTGAACCTGATTGTATCCCTCATCTCTCTTAAGCTCTGTTCAATGTTTTCTCTTGTTTTTATGCTGCTCATTTTAGGTATTTCTTTTTGAACTGCTTTGAGTTCTGCTAATTTTCATTTTCTGTATTTTTCTGTTTTACAATATCTATTGATTCTTCTTCTAGATTCCAATACTATATTGAAATTCTGTATCTTTTTTTGTCTATTTTGTTTATGGTTAAAATGTCAGTCTGCTTTTTTTTTGTAACTATCTGTGGTTCTGGTTCTGTTTTCTCCTTTTTCTTTAAATTATCAGTCACATTTCCATGCTTCTTCAATTTTCTGGTGATTTTAACAATTTAGAAGAATAAATAAAACAACCAGCAATTTATTTATTTAGTTATCTGTGGTACTGGGAGTTGAACTCAGGGTCCTGTGTTTGCTAGGCAGGTGCTTGCTGTACCATTTGAGCCATGCCCCCATCCCTTTTTTTGCTTTGGTTATTTTTGAGATTCTCACTTTATGCCTGGGCCATTCTGGACCGTGATCCTGCTTACATATAGCTGGAATGATAGGCACGTGTCACCATGCTCAACTTTTTATTGGTTGAGATGGGAATACCTCAAGCTTTTTGTGTGGGCTGGCCTCAAACCCACATAATCTTCAAGATCTTAGCCATCCCAGTAGCTAGGATTACAGATGTGAGCTACTGTGCCCAGCTACAAACAAATTTACAATTTGACTAAGGTTTTAGGAAATGTGTAATCTATGAAAACACAATTTAAGATAAAGAACACATTCATTATTTCCAAATGCTTCCTTATGCTCCTTTGTAATCTGCTTCCAGTTTCCACTAAGCTATCTGAATGTCTTTACACAGTGTCCAACTTTTTTTTTCAGTACTTCTTTTTAGATTTTTTAGTACATGGGTCTTGTGCAAATTTTGTCAGATTTCTAAGTACTCTATATTTTAATGCTCTTATAAATGGTATTTTTAATCTTTTAATTTTTGATCATTTGTTGCCAGTATGTAGAAATATAATTCATGGCAGGGCACAACAGCTCAGGCCTGTAATCCCAGCTTTTCAGGAGTCAAAGATCATTAAGTATCATGGTTGAAAGCCAGCCTGGGCAAAAAAAGTTATTAGCAAGAGCCCATCTTGACAAACAAGCTGGACATAGTGGTGCACACCTGTAATCCCAACTATGCATGGAGGTATCAGTAGCAAGATCACTGTCTAAGGCTGGCTCCAGGCAAAAGCAAGACTCTGTATGAAAAATAAGCTAAAGTAAAAAGTGCCTGCCTAGCAAGCACAAGGTCCTAAGTTCAAAACCCCATTATCACCCAAAACCAAGAAAGAGAATTCATTTTTGCATACTGATTATGCCTGTAACCTTCCTTGTTGCACTTATGAGCTCTCTTTGCGCATTCCATACAGATGACCATGTTAATTGTCAATAAACAAAACATGACCTTTTCCAATGTATACCTTTAGTTCTTTTTCTTGATTTTGGCTAGAACCACTAGCACGATGCTGAATAGAAAAGGTGAGCATGCCCGATTTTTAAGTGTAGGATTAGGCACTCAGTCTTTTCTACCTTATGCTTGATATTTTATATAGATGAACAAGAGGCTCCAGGTGATACAATATTCTACCAAGGGGGTGGGGTGGAGGCAACTTTTCCTTCCACTATTAGGTCAGAGATACGATAAGGCTGACAGTCAATCTGGAAGAAAGCAGGGCTGGAGGTGAGTTGCAATTTTAGTAAGACTTAGTGAGCCAACCATACATAAACCCAGTACTCAGGAATTAACCAAATGAATTATTACTCATGTGCCTAGTACTTCCTAAGTTATCTACTTGTCTCACCAGCCCGCTATAATCACAAAAATTTCAGAATCCTCCAGCAAAGAAAATATACAGCAATTGTCAGCTTACTCTGGACAAGCTCTCCCACTTCTTCGAATCTCAATTCAGGTAGTTACTGTTGCTTCCCCAGCTTTCCAATATCTTTAAAAGTAGAATTTTTATAATTTCCATGGCTTTTTTTTTGTAGTTTGCAGTAAAAACCACGGGCTATCAGGACATACTGCCTCTCAACCCGCAAGCACAATTCCTCCCAGTACTTTCCAATCTTCATCTTTAATCATGAGGTGTTAAAAAGTAAATGGCAGGGGAAGAGAAGTTAGCAATGACTTACTGGTGATAATTCAAACAAAGAGAGGGTAAAAATTTATTTCCTAATTTGTTTAAAGTGCACAGGTTCCAAATAACAAAGGTGTTTCAAGCATCTAACATTTACTCTAAGTATTAAGTGGAAGGATAAAATTTAGGGTACCAAGAGTAGCAATTATTTGAAAAAATTTTCACAGATTATTTTAAAGTGGGTAGTTGTTCTTGACCTGACTACAATTTTTAATGCCATACCTACATTCCTTTTAAAGCATAAGACTGCATCCACAGCCAAAGAACCTACAAAATTGAATGTGGCAGCTTTGCTTCTTCAAAAGAGGCCAGAGCTAAGGGCAACTTTGGAACTGAGCAGCATGAAGACAGTTATGTGGGACAATGAACTAGAGACCATGGGCTTTCCAAAGTACCCACATAATATGGCATGAATTTCTAAAAGGAATCACTGGAGTGAAGGACAAGGCAGATAGTTGCCACTGAAAATAAAATTCCTAATTGCTTCTTAAGAAAATAATGTGGTTGTCTGGGGAAGAAAAATAAAATAAAATAAAATAAAGCTAGCAGCTTTATTCAGTAAGATCAATTTAATGTTCAACAAAATCTACCCTTAACTTAGAATTAAGTTTTTTCATTTTCTAAAGGTAGCTGGTTAAAGCTTATCAATGTTTCATCAAAAAAAAGAAACAGCTACTTTTCCTAATGACCAAGATGTACACAATCAAGATACTTACTGATATGCTAAGAGTTTCACTCTTGTGGTCAAAATTCATTTTTCCACAATAGGCCCTCTGAGATAGTAAGTTGTCAAAATATAATTTGCATCGTAACGTCAAACACCTTGAAATAAAGAAATTAGGCACATTAAAAAGACAGATGTAGAACTACATTTTAATACAGTATAAACACAACAAAATGTTGACACTGGTTTTGTGTTTAATAGGTAGGCTTAAGGTAAATTTTTCTCTGTTTGTACATTCACTTGTGTTCCCCTGCCCCAGATTTTAACTAGTTCATTTACTTTTCTAATAAACATCTATAAAATGAACAAAGGTGTCAACCATCCATTTAATGTACCCCATTACACCAGTCAGTACTTATGAATGTATTCATCATTCAACTAATTTATATAAGGTATTATTACCCTAATACATAAGCCATAAATCTTGTCTTTAAAATGATTAAACACTAGAGGCCTTAGATAAATGGATAAACTGCCTATTCATTTGCTGTCTTCTCTCAACTTCAGAGTAGCAAAAAGGATAAGGGCAATCTCTTCATCACTATAATGCCTTGTACATGGCTTGACACAATGCCAACAAATCACTCCTTCTCTATAAATTAGATGACACAGTACTAAGGAAGAACTTTTTCTTCTTCCTCAATTTTTTATTGACTTAAGTGCCTTTCCCCATCAGGATACTGGTAGAGATTCTTATTTTACTACTGGGTCCATTTTTATCTTATCCATACCATCAGTGTTATTCTTATTTATTGTGATCCTCAAATTATCCCAGGTTTTGCCAATGAAAGCCCTTCAAGCTCACTCCTATGTCCTTTAATCATCACTCCACATTTTTCTTTTCTTTCTTTGTTTTATGAGCAACACTTTTCTCCTTTTTGGAATAGCAAGAGGCTCGTTCACCTGTACCCTCCCTGCCCAGGTTTAAATCAGCTATTTCTACAGGAGACCTTGGTTTCTTTTAGGTGGAATGGTATTCAGAAAATATATTTTTCTTAACATCTTTACTTAATAATAAGTCTAAGGCTTATTTCTTCAGAGTAACTATGATTTTAGTCTTTTCCTTCCTATTTTCCCCCACAAACTGCATTAACTTCCCACATTAGGAAGTACTAACAGCCTAGGTCTCCTTTTGCTGTCATAGTGACCTCTGCTTTCTGGTTTTGAGAATTCCCTGCTAACTTTTCTTTCTGTCTATACTGCTTCCATTCAGGAGATGTATAACAGAGACTACTGTCTTTAACTGGGAAGGTTCTCTGGAGTAGAGAGATGGATGATTTTTAAAAGTTAATCATTCTTATTCACTTCCTAAGACTGGGCAAATAATATAAAACACGTCAGCAAGTGGTAAAGCCTCAAGTCAAGATGATAAACCATACCTGTACAAAAAACAATTTAAATACCAATTGTTAGGTAATGATACAAAAGTGAATGCTACTGTATCTGGAAAACACGCATGGAGTAACAGGAACTGGTTTTATCTTCTGCCCCAAACCTGACAAAATATATGCAACAACAAAAACATACAATATGTCATAGTATTTTTAAATGTTTACCTTCTAAATTGTTGATATGTCTTGTACCTATGGGTCATTATTTCTTCTAGTAATTTAATAAACCTTCTTAAAGTCCTTACTTTGTTATCAAGATCAAGATATGATTCTCTTGCTTCCTGGTACTGCCTATTTTATGAACAAAATATTAAGTAAATAAATGTCATTCATGCACACAAAAAAGTAAAATTCCAAATATATTTAACAGGGGAGGAAAGGGAAGTCAGGAAGGGGTGTAGGGGCCTAGTGGCAGTTGATTCAATAAATTTCCAGTCAAAATACGTTCCCAGAATGAGAGAATGTTGCAAAATGAGATAATGCTGCACTGAATGGGAAGAAACCAACTCCGTGTGAGAGACAAGGAAAAGAAAGTACATGGGCAAGTGCCTATGGGGGGCCCAGAGGTGGCAGGTTTTAAGAGAATACTAGAAAACACACACCTTTTAAAAGTGAAAGGGGCAACAGCAGGAGAAAAGTTTCCCTTAGTGACAGATGCCAATGAAGGGACAGAGGAACACAAGATAAGCAGTAGAACCCTTCTATCCCAAACAAGATAAAGTCAAAGAGACAGAGAAGGCATGGCTATTCAAAATTGTCATTATAGAAGCCAACAGCCTCATACTACAGTGTAGAAGAGAGATTCTGATGAAATATGAAAGGCAACCCTGGCCCAGGCTTCTAAAGCGACCCCTCCAATCCTTCTTCAAATAACAATCCAGGAAAAGGTTTGAGCACAGCATCCACAAAAAGGTATTTATGGGATAAAGATGAAAGGGCATAGCAAAACTCTTCTACAAAGAACATATTAGAACAATGTTGCCACAAAGTAGATGCAAACTATAATTGAACAGTATTAGTTCAAACAAAAACATGAAACAAGTGCTACCAAGAAGGAATACCTTAAAGCAGAAATAAAATAACTCAATGAATAGATAATAAAAATGATAACCAGACAGTAGGAGGAAGGAAACTGAAACCAAGGTGTAGGATTAGACAAAAAGAAAAGAGGGAAAGGGAGAGGGAGAGTAAGGAAGGGCAAGAAGGAGGGAAGGAGGAAGGGAGAGAGAGAGAGAAAGCGAGCAAGAGAGAGCGTGAGCCAATATGAAGACAAAATAGACAAAATGGGAAGATGCACAGGGTAACAGAAACACTGAAAACACATTAATGGAAATCCAGAACAGAAATGAGAGAAGAAAAAAAAACATAAAATGATTCAATAAAATGATAAATGTGTATGTATAACAAGGAAAAACCAGAACATATTTCTATAAGCCATATTTTTTTTTATGTGGTGCTGGGCATTAAATCCAGGCCCTGCCCACGCTAGACAAGCACTCATTGTTAAAGGAACACAGGAGCTGGGTGCCAGTGGCTCACGGCTGTTAATCATAGCTACTCAGAAGGCAGAGATCAAGAGACCACAGTTTGAAGCCAGACAGTGTGAAAAGTTCACCAAGCTCCTATTTCAAAAAACCCTTCACAAAAAAGAGCTGGTGGAGTGGCTCAAGGCAAAGTCCCTGACCTCATGGCCCTTTGAAAAAAATAAGAACCATTCCTCATACCACACACCAGAATAAACTCCAAGCAGATGAGAGATATAAGATTCCACCTCACCTCTGTTAGAATAGCCACCATCAAAAACACCACCACCAACATGTATTGGTTAGGATATGGGGAAAAAGGAACCCTGGTACACTGCTGGTGGGAATGCAAGCTGGTGCAACCACTCTGGAAAAAAATTTGGAGGCTTCTTAAAAATCTAAACATAGACCTGCCATATGATCCAGCAATCCCACTCCTGGGGATATACCCAAAGGAATGCAACACAGGTTACTCCTGAGGCACCTGCACACCCATGTTTATTGCAGTGCTATTCACAATAGCAAAGTTACAGAAATAACCAAGATGCCCCACTACTGATGAATGGATCAAGAACATGTGGTACTTGTACACAATGGAATTTTACTCAGCCATTAAAAAGAATGAAATTTTATCATTTGCAGGTAAATGGATGGAACTGGAGAACACCATTCTGAGGGAGGTTAGCCAGGCTCAGAAGACCAAAAATCGTATGTTCTCCCTCATATGTGGACTTTAGATCTAGGGCAAATGCAGCAATGTGGTTGAACTTGGATCACATGACAAGGGGAGAGCACATACGGGACATATAGGAATAGGCAGAAGACCCAAAATGTGAAAGCATTTGATGTCCCCACTCCAGAGGAACTAATACAGGAACCTTAAACTGACAGAAGTCAACATGAGAAGGGGATCAATAACCAGTGTAAAGATCAGTTAGAGATGAATCAACCTGGGTTGTAACACATGTGTACATAAAAGTAATGCTAGGAATATTTCTGTATAGCTACCCTTAACTCAACTAGCAAAAACACTTTGTCTTCCTTATTATGCTTATGTCTTTTCTTCAACAAAATTAGAGATAAGGGCAGAACAGGTTCTGCCTGGAAGTGGAGGGGGGAGGAAGGGGGTAGAGGGGGACAGGGGGAAGAAATGACTCAAACAATGTATGTATATGTGAATAAATGAATTAAAAATATAAAATAAAAAAATAAAAGCTTTGTTTAACCTATATATTCTAATTGAGGGCATTTGTTGGCCTCAGGCTGGTAATCATAGGTTAAAAAAAAAACCCATATCAATATTTAAAATTCAAAAGAACAATGAATTAAGGAGAAAATTTGCAACATGACTAGTATCTCTCACACTTTTTAAAATTAAAATTTAAGGAAAAAAGATCAAAATACTATAGGTAAATGGTTTAAAAAGGAATATAAATGTTTATAAATAGATAATGCAAACTATAAAAGTAGCTCTAAATACATGAAAAAAATTTTACTTACAATGATGGAATACGGTCAAAACTACATTAATATATCATCTCAGCCATTACACAGGCACAATATTAAAAAACATAACTATACTATAACTATATCTCAAAGAATGTTGGAGTAAATGCAAAAATAAATAACCCTGTATAGAGAGGATTTAGAAGTATCTTAACAACTTTGCATTTACGCTCCAATATTGTGGAAATTTCCTATGAAGGCAAATACAAACGTCCAAAAATATGCATGTATACACACACAGAGTAATTCATTACAGCATTATCTGTAACTGCAAAATCCTAGAAATGACTTAAATGCACAATTTGGAATTACTGAATTAACTATGGCACAGAAGAACATGTGTGTGTATAAGCACACAGCACAATGAAGCTGTGGAAAGAACAAGATCAACAAACTGATATTAATGATTTTCAGTACATATTAAGTGATACAAGCAAGGCAGTTAGCTATATTTTTTTTGAAAACAGAGAAACCAAGGTAAAAAGGAAACACATATGGACCTGTTTATTTTCACATGGTTAACAAAAATAGAAAAATGGCATTTATAAGGGGAAGTTGGGAGGGAAATGGGGAAAAGGAGTAAGAGAGAGGATACTTTTTCGAGTTTTGGGAAAGTGGTGCTAATTTCTATATATTCCCTCCAAATGAAATTAAATAACATGGATGGGTAGAATCTAAAATTGAATGCAAGTAAGAACCAATGAAAGCATTTTAATTTTAAGTTAATAACTACTAGAGAAGTGAAAAAAAACTAATCCAAATAATTTTGGAATACAGTGAATTTACTGATTATTAGGGAAAAATTATTGCCAACACATCTTGACTGCTTTTTAGATTTGGTTTTATATAAGTGTATGGTGGGACCAGATAAAAGTCAACACTACTCAAGTCAGGTTCCTGCTGTAAAGGAAGACAGAACAGGGAGCAGCCCAATTTTGTCAGTACCACTGCCCACTAAAAGGAACCAGGGCTCTTGGAGAAATAAATGATTTCAAGGTTGGGTCAGGGGAGGTAAAAAAATGTGTTTGTAGTGTCTTCTCAAAAAGCAAAAAAAAAGCTTTAAAAAAACAATAAAAAATAATAAATGGAGAATGTTAAAAACACACAGGATAAAGAACCTCTACTTGACCAAAGTGTAACAATTCAAACATCAATAAATACTGGAAATGAATGTAGTCGATTCATAAAGTGGGAATCCATAAAGTATATATGGATAATAGGCAGGTGCATCAACAAATAGCTATATAGGGGAGGATGATGACTCTTCCTTACAAATGACTGATAAACATGAAGGAGGCAATGAAATAGGAAAAATCACCATTTTTGCAACCAGCATAGTAAACACTGGTTCAGGCAAGAAATCATCAGCACATGGTGAATCTAGGGCTGGAAATGTGATGAAAAGCAGGATATCAACAGTGCAGTGAAGTGTCTCTCTACAGAATGCTTTATAAGTTGCAAGGGAAAGAACAGTGAAACATTCAATGTAGAAAACCAAACAATACTTTTACTGGATGGTCAAAATTAACATCACCAGCAAAGGTGAGAGATATATATAACTCTGGATGTGACAATCAGAGGACATACAATGATGTATTGTAAGATCCTGGTCAAGAATGCATAATGTGAATCTACTTATGAGCAAATATCACGTAAACCCCAAAAAGCATTCTGTAAAATAACATGGCAAGCAAATGAAATATGTGATCCAAGACTGTATCATAAATAGTAGGAAAGTCACTGAGAAGTGACACTGGAATTTTATCAATGTTAAATTTCTTGCATTTCATATAACTATATTGTGGTTATATAAGAGAATATTCTTGTTCTTAAAATGTATGCCAATATACTATGAGGTAAACAGTCATGATACAGGCAATATACTCTCAAATGGTATAGGAAACATTTTTTAAAATATGAGTTTGAATGTGTCCATATACACACACTAAATACAGGCTTTTACTAATACATGTACCTTTACAATTTTCAATACTTACAACAATGTAAGTTATGTTTATATCAGCTGAATATTGGCAATTTTGTTCTCAATACATTATTAATTCTGAGTGGGAAAATTTGCTAAGACTGAAATTTTGTTTGGGGTCAAACTGTTTCTCAATTCTTATTATTATAATTATTATTTATATAGTATTTATGTTATTTATATTTTATAACTGAAAACTAAAAGTAGTATCTGTGTGATTAGAAGAGCATAGAATTAAAATAGCTTTTGTATAGTAAAAATGTACTTTTTGCTAATATTACTAATTTATTAAATTAACATTATAAAGCCACAATAATTGAAAGTACTTTTAGAATAACTCCATGTAAGTCTATTAATATCACAAAGCAAAAAATTTAAAAAATTGGTATACTACAGGTGCATGAATAATATAATGTATATGAAAATATATTAAAGAATATCTAAAAAAAATCAAAAGTATAATAAGATTGGAAGAAAAATGGGTAGATTCTTTTATAATTTAGGAGTAGAGAACACTTTTGTGTTTTAAAAGCTTAGATATACAAACAAAACATTGACTATATAAAATTTCTGCACAGCAAATACACTCAAACTATTAAAAATGACAAACTGAAAATAGTTCTCACATCTTACCAAAAAAAGCTAATGTCTTTCAATATGAGGAATTTAGAAATGTAAGAAAAAGTAACAGAAAAATGGAAAAGTACGAGAAAAGTTCACAGATAAAAATGTACAAATAAATGAACCATAAAACAGAAAACCAAGGTATTCAACCTTATTCAGTAATAAAAGAAATGCAAATTTAACTTGCACTGAAAGGTATTCTTTCCTTTTGAAAACTATCCATCGGCAAAAAGAATCTAAAAATGATCACACATCGTTTTGTCTGTGGGAAAATGGGTACTTTAGTACATTACTGAGGAGAGTGCAAAATAAGTGTAACTCCTTGTATACAATGGAATTTTACTCAGCCATAGAGAACAATGAAATTTTGTTGTCTGCAGGTAAATGAATGGAACTGGAGATCATCATCTTAAGTGAAGTTAGTCAGGGTCAGAAAGTCAAAGGCCAGATGTTTTCTCTCCTATGTGGAATACAGGCCCAATACAAATATAAGCAATATCATGAAAAACAGGACACGCTAAAGGGAGGTCATATATAAAAGAGGGAGGGTAAAAGAAGAAAGTTAAAAAGATGAATACAGTTGATGTACTTTCTACACAAGAATGAATATAGAATTTTTAAGACCTGTTGGAATCACCATAAGAAGGTAGAAAGGAAAAAAAACCAGAGATGAACCAATTCCCGTTATAATACATATATACATACATACATACGTGGAAATGTCACAGTGAAACTCCCTGCATAGCTATCTTATACAACAAAAATGTCTTTTTTCAAAAACAGAGAATAGGAAGGAAAAATAGGTCCTGTCTGGGGGCTGGCATCAGTGGGAGGGGGGAGGATATAAGAAAATGGGGTAGGAGGGTTAATATGTGGAAATACTGTGTACACATGTGTATATATATGGAAAAATGAGACCTGCTGAAACTATCTGAGGAATGGGGGAAGTGGGAAGGATAAAGGAGAATGGTGGAGGGGGTGAATTCAACTATAATAAATATTGTAAGAACTTTGGTAAATGTCACAGTGTACCCCCAGTACAACAATATAACAAAAAATTTAAAAATTAAATGAAAAACATGTAAGTGTAAATCCTACAAAGGTGAATCTAGTCATATCTGTAAAACAGATCCATAAAACAGCTTATGCAGTGTACTATTTTGTGTATCTGCAAGGATGAAACATAATATATATTCATATTACCTTGCATTTGCATATATAAAACATGGAAAGCATACTTACTAAATGTCATAAAAACAAAGAAAAGTGACGAAGATGATGAAAACAGAGATGAGGTAAAACTTTTCATGGTCTACCCTTTTACACTGTTAAGCTTCCTTTAATCATGCCATATTCTACACATAGCAAAATCTCATTATAACCCACAAATTATGATTTGTCAATCAAAAATATGAATACATTTTTAAAAATTTAAATTTTTTAAAAGAAACCTTCACTTACTATTATTTCTTCCTGTTGTGTTCCATTGTTTTTGTAAATAAAACAGATCATGCCCGTTTTCAAGGTCTTTTTTTAACATGAAAGTTCACTGTTTAACAGCCATAATTTTCTACTACAAGTTAACCGTTCTCCAATACCTATACACTATTTCTAATTTTTCAGTGTTACAAATAATGCTGCAATAAACCTTTAGTACAAACTTTTTCTCATTTTGGATTAAGTTACAGCAACAAAATTACTTGGGCAAGTGAAATTTCAACAAATATTTGACACATACTACTCAACTGCATTTCGGAAAGACTTTATTAACAATAATTAATACACTATGATTCCTGTATATTCTGCTTACTGTGAATTATCTCACTTAATCTTCCTATCGGCCCCATAAGGTATTATACTCATTCTGTAAATGATGAAACTAAGGCTCAAGGAGATTAGATAATTGCCAAAGTCACATAAGTAGGTAGAACTGCAACTTAAATGGACATACTCTTTCTTTATAACCTGTGCTCTAATTCTATTAGCGATTTAATTATTTGCCAGTAATATAAAAAAATCCATTTCACTAAAACCTCACTAATTCAGTATTGTGGGGTTTTTTTTTTTTTTTGCTTAAATCTTATTTGATGCATTTGAAAAATGACTTTTAATTGTTTTTGAGTTGCATTTCTTTCTTTTTGTTGGACTGGAGTTTGAAACCAATGCTCAGGACTCCAAAGCAAGTATTTTACCACTTGAGCCACACCCCTAGTCTGTTTTGCTCTGGTTATTTTGGAGATAGGGGTGCGGGGGTCTCACAAACTATTTGCCTGGGCTGGTCTTGAACCAAGATCCTCCCAATCTCAGCCTCCTAAGTAGCTAGGATTATTGGGTGTGAGCTACCAGCATCCAGCTTTGATTTGCACTTCTTGATTATTTGTGAAGTGAATACATGAATCTTACAGATATAAAAAGGCACTTCTGTTAAAATGTCATTCCACAACTTAATTACTGAGAAGAGAAAAAGATTATTATTAATATACATTTAAAAGACTAATTCTGCTCTACTATAGTAAACTTCATCCTAATTAAAGGTTTTTAGGACTTGATAATACACATGGATAATAAAGTAGAAAAGGTACCAACCACTTACCTCATTATTTCCTCTCGATCTCCATGACTAGCATGTTCTGCCTGTATCTTTTGTCTTAATCGATTAATTTCTTTATCTAGAATTGATGCAGATTTCTTTACTTCTATCCGCTCTGGACAGATCTGTCGTGCTTGTGACATTTTCTCCTAAGAAAACAGATGTTTAATATCTTTAAAGCTCTTCTTTCATATTACAATTCATTAGACAACTTGTGCCAAAATATGCAAAGAAAAATTCTGAACTTAGGTTTAAGACATGTATTTTACTTATATTTAGTATTTAAGCTTTATACAAAGGACACAAAGTCATTACATATCTTAAAGAGAGAAATTATATTATTATGCACAACTTCAATAAACTGCAATATTACCACAACTTCCTAGTGAAACAAACTGAAAACAGTGGTCACAAAAAGTTGGGACCAGGACACTGAGGTTAGACACAGCTTTCTGTGATACTTTGGGATGGTTCCTGAACAAAACTGGCAATAAAAATACAAACAAACCCTCATGTTTGGAAATGATGAAAAAAAAAAAAAAAGAATTTTCACATATAGTACTTATTTTATATTCACAACCTTCTTCTGTCCTGTTTTTAAGTCATAAAAAAGTGAGGAAATAGATTTCGGAGTTTAACTCACTTTCCTCAAGATATATAAAAGCAATTTGGCATCTATCTCTTCCAGTTACAAGATTGCCTTTGATTTACTCTTTAAGAACAGAGTTACTGCTTAGTTATTAACAAGCGTGGTTGGCAGGAGCTCAGATCCAGCCCAGCCCAGCCCAGCTACTCGGAGGAAGGGTGCCTTTTTCTGACACAAAGTGGCTATCTATTTGCCAAGCTAGACACATAAAGTGTCATGCAAACCACTGGAGAGTGCCATTTTGTCAATCACTGAGAAACAGTCTCTAGTCTGGCCTAGTTAGGTCTTCACACTTTGAGCGACCCTAAGTCTCTTCTTTTGTTGATTCACCTGTTTCTAGAAACACGACATTAGAGAAAGTATGGTTTAATAATTATGACTAAGGTTGTAAACAAAATAACTTGAAAGAACAAAAGTGGTGGATAACCTCTAGCTCCTTTTCTTTCATGTCTAGTTCTCGTTTCTTTTTATTTAAGGTATTCAAGTGTTCCTTCTGTTTTTCTTCATAATGCCGCTTCCCTCGTTTTTGGTTATCCACTTCAGAATCAGCAAGGTTTAATTCATCCTGTTTGAATAAAGCCAAAATAATCTATGAAGAAAGGATCGCTTAAAAAAAAACCCTTTCATTCCAGATATAAAATTAACAACTCAAGGGCTTGGGGGCATGCTCAAGTATACAATGCCTACCAACAAAGTACAAATTCCTGAGTTCAAACCCTTGTACCACACCAAAAAAAGAAAAAAATTAACTCAATGGTAGGTAGGATTATACTGCCTGGATAGGCAAGTGTTATATAGTTTAGCTTCATATGTGATTGAGCAAAAGTTAAAATTCTTATATGAAGTCTCCATTTATATGGTGCTTTCCACTATTTTGGTAAATAAGGGAGTTTCCAGGGAACCCACATTAGCCTTAAGAAATTTAAACAGTGCAAGTGTTAAACCCAACAATCGCCGCTTATCCACATGAGATGCATTGTAAGAATCCACAGACAGTACCAAATCTTACATGTACTATTTTCTACCTGTACATACATACCTAAACATACCTATGATAATTTAGTTAATACATTAGGCAGAGTAAGTACATTATTAACAATATACTGTAAAAAATGTTCACATTTTTGGACTGTGGTTGACCACATGTAAAGAACAGAAGAGAGTGCAACTGGATAATGGAGAATTTAAATTTATACAATTCTAAAAACTGTACAAACTACAGTATTAAAAAACAAAATGGTGGTTGCTCAATGACATGGGGCAGGGAGTAAGAAGGGAAAGATTAAAAAGGGACAAGAAAAACTTAAGGGTATGAAGAATTATGCTCTTTTTTCTGATTTTGGGATAATTTCAAAGATTTGTACTTGACAAAGCATATCAAATTGCACACTTATCTATGTGTATTTACTGTATATCAATTATCTCAATAAATCTGCTTAAAAAAATTAAAAAGGCTCCCGGCACAAGAATCACCAAATTAAGTTTTAGTCAGTTTATTCATTTATTTTTTTGATTCTAGCATGGTCATATATACTATGATTATCAAGTTTAGCTTCAAGAAAGAGAAACACACACCACAAAGTACGTAGAGAAATCCAGAAAGAAAAATAACTTATGAAATGACTAAAAACTGAAAATACTAACCTTATGTAACAGGATTTACAGGATCTCATGACAATTAAATGCAAGTTACCCATACTGACAAAAAATAAGTAATACATATGGTAGAAGTTTGATAATATATAACTTTCATAAGAGAGTTCTGGCAAAAACAAAAGAATTATTACAGGAAAACATAGATAAACTATTTCTTTTCTTCAAACAGAATAAAAAATGGTATGACTCATGATGAGGGAAGAGAATAAAAGTGGTAAATAATTTATGGAACAGAATGGGTAATCACCAAGTTTATAATCATTTTTTAGTAGAAAATTTCAAAATAAATAGACCAACTTTCCTTTAGGGAACAATTCAGCATATTATGAAACCAAAGCAATAATTAACACCATGTACATGTACATACATACCTAAACATACCTGTGATAATTTTTCTCTGAGAAACCTTAAAAAGGAAACTATGGAACTTACAAAACAGTAAGAAAGAACTGCTACATTTATTACTAAAAAAATCATTAAAAATTTTATTCTCTGTAGAAAGCTAAATAAGTAATTTAAAAAACTCAGCAACATTAGGTAAGTAGCTACAGTATGAATTGTCACTTGCTTCATGTAAACTTATGAGGTTTTGAAAAACTTTGAAATACTGGAATTTTCAAAAGCATAGTGACCTTTGATCCATATACACTTTGTCCACATCAGAAAATGAAAGGACCTCTTATTACTTAGAAGGACCATCCATCTTTTAGGCTTGATGTGAGTCTTATTCTCTGTCCAATAAATTTAATTTATAACAAAAGCATTAAGCTTGCAAGTATAATTCAATATAAACTATTCAAACTGAAAAACATTTCTTATGCAAGATTTCAACGACTATGTATTTAAGCAGAACACGCCACAACCTTGCCACCTCCAGCACAAGCAGGATGAAAGTCCCAATGGAAAACAGATTACATCTGGAAGCTGCTAATGTATCATCACAATGGCAGATTCCTAGGAATTACTGTCAGCTAAATTCTCTTGATCCTATTGTTACTGACAGCTAGTGTGACATGACACCAAGAAGGAAAAGCCTCCTGGTTACTGGCTGACTACATGTAGGCTCACTAAAAGACCTACCCCCGACCTTTCAGTGATTTTCAGCCAAGACTAAGTCAAGAATTCTTATTGCCTTCTGCCCACAGTCTCTGCATTTGAAATTTTTTATGGACTCACAAATTCAGGAGCTGCTTTAGCCTAGAGATCCTTAAAAGAAGAGAATAGTGGTGTAGCTTAGTGGTACAGTGCTTGTCTAGCAAGCATGAAATCCTGGGTTTGATCCTTAGCACCACCAAAAACAAAAACAAAACAAACAAACAAAAAAAACAAAACAAAATATAGCTTACTCTTCATCATTTCTTATGATTTAAGTTTCCTAGGATAGTTTACATGCTATTCTTTCTTTTTCTATATTGTTTTAGCACATTTTGTTATTTTGATTTAAGTAACATTGTTCAATTCTTTACCCATGAAAGATATTTTATATATTATCTTTTATTATAATTTCAGTATTATAATTCTCAAGTTTTAAATTCTACTTTGCCTATTCCTGAATTTTTTAATGTTTATTTCATTATTTTAAAATACTAATTATGAAAGAACTAGAAATCATGTTAAGTGAAATAAGTCATAGACCAAGAAAGACAAATATCACATGTTCTCTCTCATACATAAAATCTAGACCTTAAAAAAATATGACAAGAATGTATAGTAGGAGAACTATTTGGGGTAAAAACCAGCAGAAGAGTGGAGGGTGAAAGGAGAGGGGGAGGAGGAGTGAATATGACCCAAGTACTCCATACACATGTATGGAAATACAATAAAGAAACCCTTTTGTTTTAAAAAGAGGGGGAGATGAGAATAAGAAAGAGTAACGGGGGGGGGGGGGGGGGGGATGCATTTGATCAAAGTACATTTACATACATGTATGAAAATATGAAACCCTTTTGCATAAATATGTCTTTAATATTTTTCCTTTCTAGCTTAATATTTAATTTTTATAATCCCTTTACTTATCAGTGAACTGTCTTATAAATAAATTTGAAGTTATGAAAATAATTCAACTCTTCATTAAAATGGTAAAATAACTAAGCTATCAAACAAGATAGGAAATTTACCCAATTTGTGAAATAATTTTACTTTCCTAAATCTATCCTCAAAAAGCACATGCTAGTAAGTCAACTGAATTCACCCTGGAATGTAAATGAGGTGCACGCTGATGAACAGGAGGTACAGAGCACTTGACCTCAAGATGACTTTTATAGCAAATACTCTTGAGTTACTCAAGGAAAGCCGGGATAAAAGAATAGCAGGCAGAAACAGAATAGATGTGCAAAATGTCCCTACTGGTGTAGGCATGGGGTCGGGGAATTCCAGAACAAAGAGGCAACAAAAGCTGTAATCTTTTGGGGAAAAACAGGACAGCCAGTGGCTTTTTTTTTCTACAAGGCAAGAACAGAAGTCTTTACTAATTGACTTAATGATGAAAATTTGGTATGTACCATTCTTTATATTCCACTTTATATGGCTATATATATTTAACCAATAATTCCTTTCAGGCAACATCCAAAAAGTACTTTGGATATAAAACTCAAACATCAAAAGGCACAGAAAGGAGAGTAACAATGATCTATACCTTAAGCGGATCTGCCAGCTCTGACAGCTGATTAATTTTTAATTTCATTGCATCATACTTGTTTTCTGCTTCTATTTTCAGACTTTTAAGATGCTCCATGTTTTCTTTTTGGTGCTCCATATTTTTCTCAACCATTTTCATTTTGATTTTATTTTCTTCAGCTTCATCTTCCTGATAATATTCAAAGAACATATAACTAAGTAAAATACTTATCAAATAGAAAAAAATAAAAACAATTCTTAGAGGAGAAAGTACAGGCTATATGCAAAACAGATCTAACAAACACAAAAGACATTAGAATTTTCATAGCCTTGAAAAGTTCAAAAGAAAGGATGATATTTAGCTGACAAGTTAAAATATATTCTGCTCGAGGTTACAATCAGAAGTAACTTATTCTATCTACTCACATTTATCAAAATACTTAGTGCATATAAGTACATACTTTGTCAAATGTTTTAGATGTTAAGTTAAAAAGTAATTTAATACACAATTCATTGCCTTTAAGAAATGTGGTTTATCAATAAACAGAATTAAAGAAGAAAAATAGAAAGTGTTGACTAGTAGCAAACCTGAGCCTTCTCACTAGAGTAAAGCTTTGACAGCATAAGCATGTAAGTTGTGGCAAAATTCATTCGTATGGAGAAGACAAAATCAATTTTGTATGCATGTGGCATACAGGAAACATCAGAAATGTGAGGGCTATAGCCCAGGGAGTTTCTACCATAGCTACAGCAATCATAGAGAACAGCTGCAATGAAAAGGATGTTTGTAAAAGAGCGAGACTTGAGGGCCATCAATCAAAGGAACAGTTTTACCCTTTAAATTACACTTAAGTCGAAGAAAAGCTTTTTACCAAAGTTGCAATATCTACAGACTGGTGTTCTTCTATATTCTCAAGTTCCCGAATTTCAGAAATATTTTTTCTAATTTTCATCTGAAAGTAAAGTATTTAGAATTTAATAACATAAAAATAAATAAAAAACAAAAACCTTAGAAAGAAAGTATTAATCCACGAAGCTTTTCTACATTTCATGATACAGGATTTCAGTTTACAAAAGAACATTATTAACCCAACAGTTCTCAAAGTAAGATCTAAGTAACACCTGGGGGTTCCTAAGACTCTTTCAGGAAGAAATGATTTTCATAAAATCACTAAGACAGAATTCACCATTTTACTAGCATTTTCCCACAACTGTACAGGTGATTTACAACTATACCTAATGCAGTACCACAATGGACTAAATGCAAAAGCTGGTATAACTCTGACCAATTTTATTAAACCACACATTAGGAATTACAAAAATATAAAAATTCCAATCCCAATAATTCAGGAGGATGTTTAGTTCCAGGCCAGCCAGCGTCCACAGTGACCTGTACCTCAAACAAAATAAAACAAAGAAAAACCCTAATCTCATTAAATCCCTAATTTTCATATTATCATTTAAAAAAATTAATATTCTTAGCTTTTCTAAGCTAAGAATTTACACTGATCTAAGCCAAAAGGCTAAGAAGGAAAAATTCTGTTTTAAATTTTAAAGATGTAAATATTGACAGTTATAAGCTATAGACGAAAGCTGCTCTTAAAAGTGTAAAGGGACATGAGGCCACAATGTTTATGCACTGCTAGAAGTGAATGACAAGATTTAAAAGTGCTCCTGAAAACATTAATTTCATTCTTCTTTATGGTTGCATAATATCCCATTGAATATATCCACCCCAAAATGGATGTAACTGGGGATCAAGATAAATCAAACTTAGAAAGACAAACATGAATGTTTCAGCTCATACATGGAATCTAGACATAATAGTAACAATGACAATAATATGACGATAATGTAAAAGGGAGTATTTGAGAGAGAGCAGTAAAAGAGGGAAGGGGAAAGGAGAGGATGACGGGGGTGAGTAGGATCAAACTACATTATAGGTATGCAAGTAGCATAATGAAACTCAGAACTATTTTTAAGAAAGGGGGGCATGGGAGTAATAGAGGGAGTGAGTGTGATCAACACACATTTATGGAAGTAACACACTGCAACACCTTTGCACAGTGAATGTACACGAGTGACCTCAGGGCTGCAGTGTGGTAGGCCAGCTCTACTGCCTGAGCCACTTACAGAACTTTTTGCTTAGGTTATTTTTGAGATTTTTTTTTTTCATGGTTAATGTCCAAGGCCAGCCTGGACCAAGATTCTTCTATTTATGAGTCCTTGTAGCTGGGATAACAGACATACCACCAGGCCCAGCTTAATGATTGAGATGGGGTCTCACTTTTTCCCAGGCTGGCCTTGAACAAGGTCATCCTCATCTCTGCTTTCTGAGTAGCTGGGATTATAGAAATGAGTCACTGTGCCCATCAAAAAAAAATTTTTTAAATCAACCTTGAAGTGGTAAGTTGAGAAAAACAAGATGCTTATTATTTTTTTACCTTTAATTCTTTATAATGTAGTTGACACCTTTTAAGAAGGTCTTCGTTGTGCTTAATATCCTTGTCAAGGGCAGACAAATGCTGCTGAAGATTTAGTATCTGAGCCTTCTTATTTTCAACTTCATTCTCCAGATCACTTGATGGAGAGGACAAAAATGAATAAATAAGTGTATTCTCAATGTTACAATACTTTATACCTTTACAAAGAAAAGCTGCTTATAATAACTTTAGAAAATCCTATTCCATTAAAGCAGTTCTACAGTCCTACCAAATTACTGATAGCATGAAATTACAGAAATGTCCCAAAACACCTTCTAAGTTAGAGTTTTACTGATTTCATTAACAAGTATTTATGGTGTGACTTCCATGTGCCAGGCATTCTGCATAGCGGCAGATAGAAGTAGGAACAGAATTAAGACAAAATCCTTTCAAAAGAACAGTATCAGAGTAAACTGAAACATTAATATTACACGTCCACAGAACTACCGGATCACAAGAGTGCATCTGAGAGAAGAAACAGAACATATTTTCTAAAGTTTTCATCAGCTGGGCCAACTACATGAGAAGATGGGAAGAAATGCACACGAGCAGACAGTGATGAAAACAAGACTTAAAAGCTCAACATTCCTTGGTGAAAAATGCTAAGAATGTGTGGGGCATGAAGGGGAAGAGAAGGACAAGGAAGAGATGGAGAAGACAGATGGCAGACCCCACAACCAGAAAGGCTCTCCTTGCAACACTGTCAGTGCCTTCAGAAGCCATCTTTTCCTTGCTTACTGGGTCCAAGCTCCTGTCCTGCAAAGATACATGCTTTGATGGAAAAGAACCGCCTTTGTAGTTAGTAACAAACAACTTTGCCCTGGTCTAAGGTGTCCACCATATTTCACTCAGATATGTATTTTTCCACACTGTAGTATCTCTGAAATAGGATACCATTTTCCAGTCCATGTTTCAAAATTAGCAGCATTTCATTTCCTTTTTGGTGACACATAATAGTACATAAAATAAATAGTGGTACATACAATAACTGCTACCTTGCTAGAATTTTCCATTTTAAAAAAGCTCAATAAATGTTAGTTGAGTGATAAATAAAAAAAATGGAGAAAGGTATAGTTCTGCCATTTCAGACAGAAATGAGGCCAGATGTTAAAACCTAATATGGTTCCTCATTAAATATTTGGCAAATATTTAATAACTATTTACTTTATCATAGATGTCTATACCTTTATTAACAAACAGTAACTTTGCCAAAATACAATTTACTAAGTAAACAAACCTGGAAATTTAGAACCTATACCAACTATATTTTGCAAATTCATTTTTTGTTATGTAAGACTAATTTTTTTTTGGGGGGGGGCGTGGTACTGGGGATTGCTCTACCACTTGAACATAATTTTTACCCATTATGAATGTGTTCCTCCTAAGTTCTCAATTAACTTTTACACAGAGAAAGAACACTTGCTATCTAATGAGATATATGAAGCCTGAACTACTAAGTATGTGTTTGTTTATGTATGACGAACGAGCTCTCCAACAGCACGCTCCTCACTCTCATCCCACACTGTGCTCTGTCTCCACGGCACAGCCACCCGAGCACAAACAACTATACTTTCTCCATTATTTTCATTAATTTATCACTTGGCTAACATTTATTGGACTTTATGTCATGTGTAGTCTATCTCTCCCTCTTATATTAAGTGTCTGGAGTTTTAGGGAATCATTAAATGTTGTTACTTGAAGAAATGAATGAAAGAATAAAATATAAAAAGTATACTTCAAAGCAGTATATAAAATGTTATACTGTTTTGGCGATTCAAAACTGTACAGGTAATTTTTTATAAGCTGCATTATTAATTATTTGGAGAGTCTGCTTACACATTTTGTGTACTTTCATAACTGGTAACTTCATTGGGATAATAAACAAAAGCAAGGACCACAACTTCAAATATGCTGGTCGTTCAATTTTATGTATTGCTAAGTGTCCCTAAACTTCCCATTATCCACTATAGCTATTTTATGCTGCTTTATAATCACATGAAAATGACCAATATTATTTGAAAATAAGAATTATCTTTCAACAAAATTCTCATTTCCTCTGTATACACAAGTCATTTAGAATACTTATACTTTTGCTCAACTTTATTTATCTATTTATTTATTTGTGCAGTAGTGGGGTTTTAACTCTGCATCTTGCATTTACCAGGTAGGAACTTTACCACTTGAGACAAGCTCCCAATCCTTTTCACTTTGTTATTTTCCAAATACGGCAGCTCATTTATGCCTGGGCAGGCCTGAACCACAATCCTCCTACTTATGCTTCCTGTATAGCTGAGATAACAGGTGTGTGAACTTTTTGTCCAGGCTGGTCTATAACCGGATCCTCACAATCTCCACCTCCTGAGTAGCTAGGATTACAGTATGAACCACCAGACCTGGCATAGATAATTTCTTTTACTTAAGTTCTATTTAGCATTTCTAAATCATTAATTCAAGTCCAACCCACCAATTCACCAAATGAATTAATTCAGTTGAGAAAGCATGATTCTACCGCACCAAAAATGCTTTTTGCAGGCTCTTAAGACTCACTACACGCATTACTATGTTTTTTAACTTCTTAGTTTGCCTCCTTTAGCATCTCTATTTTCCTAGGCATATGTTTTAATTGTGTCAACTGATTTTCTTTCTTGAACAGTACAACTGAAGAGTACCAGTCAGAGACATTATGAGGAGTTTAAGCCAGATTGTAGACCAGAGCACTAGATCCTGAGAAAAGCAGCGAAATTCAACAGCAGGCACCGAAATGAATGCAGCTCATTCACATTCTGAGTGAAGGTCTTTTTCTCCTTGTGGACAGGTAACAATGTGCAGACAAGACAGTGAAGGGAGCTCATTTTTCGTACTCAGTCCTGAATATTGTCATTAAAGGTAATGATGGAAAATATCAGAACCCCACAACCAGCTGAGCAACTTTGTAAGACCAAACATTGAGATAAATTATAGTTCATCAGTTAAAAAAAAGAAAACAAAAACAAACACCAAGAGTTATAGCAAAGAAACTAAACCCCAAAGGAAGTAGTGGGAATAAAATAGTAAAGCTAAACTTGACTCCAACCTTATTTCAGAATCCACATCTCTGCTTAGGAACTTAGGTCTTGTATTTTCAGATGAATAATAACGTCCTGCAAAAACTTGATCACCATCAGCAGTAAAAGCTTCTCTACAATTTTTAGGTGGCTTTTGGGACTGCATTACTGCACGAGCTACAGAATTATTCTAAAAGAACAGAAGGGGAAATGCATTTTTAAAACAATGCCAAAGTACTTCCAATGGACACAATTTCAAAATGTTACCTGTCATTATTTTAAGACAATTCAAGTGTTCATATTTAAACAGTCAAGTCAAACACCCCCCACCCAAAAAATAATAATGATATCCACCCGCGAAATTATTTCACAAAGAATAGGTCAAACTTATAAAGTTCCCTGGGACAGAAAACACAAACCAACCAGATCTATATTATCCTACAGATTTTCCTATGAGGTAAGAGTGTAATGGTGAAACTCATTAATAATTCTACAATAGGAACAGCAATAGGAATTTGTTAAGGCATCTTCAGTTCTGAACATTGAAAACTGATGTAAAATACAGCAAGCCTGTGGGTCGTACTTTGATCAGCAGCACCGTCTCTATGCTCCTCATGTCGATCAGGCTATTTGCAACAACTGCATTATCGATTTCTAAAGCTGTCAGAACTGTGGGGTACTCTGGATGGTGAGCAGCTCTAGGAGACAAGAGGACCACATACCACACTTTAAGCATAAAGTCACACATAACTATAAACATATGAACGCAAAGCATACACACAAAAGCGTGTGTGCGTATATATGAATGGGTGAGTAAATTATAAATTAGACAATATAAAATATCTGGTAATATTTGGAAACACATCTGTAATAGGTTTATTGACTTAACCAATGTTTATCTAATGTTCTGTGGTAGTTAATATTCTAAGCATATGACAAATACCAGCTCATTTAATCCTCGTAATAACCATGAGGCAGATATTATTCCTTTATTTTTTTTCTGATGAAGATGATTCAGAAAGTTTAATAAATTCCTTAATAATAAAGCTAATTTAGTGAAGACAGAATTTTAAAAGACAACAGATTTAGAACTCACATTCTTACACCTGTTTGCTTATTATAATTAAAGTTATAATTTCCTAAAATCATATACTGTAACTATACATAAACATAAAAGTCGATTGTTTAAAACACATTTTAAATAGCTAAATAATTTTCTCACTGATATGAGAGGAAAAAAAAAAACTGAACTAAAGGTTACTATCAATGAGAGGAAGAAACAGAAAAGATATTCTTAGCTGGGCATGGTGGTATATGCCTGTAATCCCAGAACTCAGGAGGCTGAAGCAGGAGGATTGTGAGTTTGAGGCCACTCTGCGCTACACAGCAACACCCTGCCTAAACTGGGGTTGGGGGGAAGAGAGAAAAAGCAAAATTCTTACTAACTGAAATTGAAATTTGGGCTCCTTAAAGAGCTGTTCCATCTTTCAGTTTAAAATGTAGACATCAAAGTTGCTACCCCAGCTCTAAAGAATACAAACTAAGAATAGTAAGTAGAAAAGCAGTGAATGGTCAAGGGGGAAACGGTGTGGCATTTTGTGTTTTCTTACTCCTAGAATTCCAAAACAAGAAAGCTGCCATTGCATAGGTCTTATATCTATTCATGCATTAACTCAACAGGAATTTACTAAGCACCTACTATGTGTCAGGTGCTGTCCCAGAGGATGGAGAGAGCAGTAAAGAAAATGGACTACATGCTTTTCCTTACAGAGCTTATATTTTAATGAAGGGGAAAAGAGACTAAAGTAAAAAAGGTCAGCAAAAGCCTCACTAATGTGACACTAGGCAGATCCCCTAGGAAATGGGAGATTCAAGTGGAAGAGAGATTACAAGGACCCAGGGGGGGCAGCAGAGAATCCAGGTGGCCAGTGTGCTGTAGTGGACTGATCAGTGAAATAAATGTTAAGAAGATAGATCATGCAAGCTCTAGAGGTCACAGACAAGCCCACGATAAAGAAGAAGATGGGAAAGTTGAGGGTGCTCTGGAATGACAGGACCCAATTTTACCTGACTCTGTGCGGGCAGCTGTCCTCAAACTGTGGTATCAGGGATCCAGATGCAGAAGGTCAGCCTATCCATAACAACACTCAAATGAAACATGAAGATGGCTTGAATGAGAATGGAAGCCAGGTTCAGATATTGGTTGTATTTCATATATTTATGGGCTGGCCTCGAACTGCAATCTTCCTGATCTCAGTCTCCAAGTAGCTCAGATTACAGGGTTGGGCCATTGGTGCCCAGCTTTGGATGTTTTTAAAATATAGGATGTGAGGGGGAAGAGAAGTCAAGCATGACTGAGATGTTTGGCAACTGAAAAACGAATGTGGAGGGGATGATAGAAGGTGCAGGTTTTAAGGTAGAAATCAGGACTTTGGCTTACAGACATGTTAAATCTGGAATCTAACATGTCTAGACATCTAAGTGGAATATATATATATATATATATATATATATATATATATATATATATATATATATATACAGTATATTAAATTCTAGAGTTCAGAGGAAAGAGTCAAGAAAGACATAGTTTGGTAATCACCAGTGTATGACATGCATCTGAAGTAATGAAACTCAGTGAGTTTACCCAGGGAGCACCTACACACTGAGAAGAGGTCAGGAGCATCAATAATAGTCAGAGGTGAGGAGGAAGAAGACAGACACTGAAAAAGAACACCTGAGAAATTAGGAAAATCAGAAGAGAATGGTTTAGGAGCTGAGTGAAAACATGTTTCAGGAAGAATGAAATGATCAATGGAGTTGAATACTATCAGTAAATCAACTTAGTGAACAATGAGTACTAAGTACTGAATTAAGTGACACAAAAAACATTGATGCCTGGACAAGAGGTTGATTTGGAAGGTAGCGAAAAGCCAGACTGGAATAGGCTTAAAAAGAGGGGGAAGAGAAAAACTGGAGACACAGACAAGTCTTTTGAAGAGTTTCTCCTTTGGGGAAAACAGAAATGAGATAGTTAACAGCTAAGTAGTTTCCTTAGGATACTGTTCAAGTGGAAGTAAAAACAGGACAGCAAAGAATGGTGGGCAGTGCTTTAGAAATATCAAGCAGTGTCAGTAAAACAAAATAAGGAATGAGGAAATAGGGGAATGAGAAAAGGAGTCCAAGAGGGAAAGAGGGGGTATGAGATTCTAGTGAAACACAGACTTGGCCAGTTGTTCAGCACAAGTTTCTATGCTAGGAAGGAGTAAGCATTTCTAAGCAGACACATATCATCAATTAAGGTGGAGCTGCTAATAGTTTGCTCTAAAGTGCCAAGTCATAACCACCCTTTCCTTTTCTATACTTTCCTGGGATTTAATTCATATTGACTTATAATTAATCACACTACTATTAACTGTAGATTGAAAGACATTATAAAATTAATCTAAAGGAACTAAAATAGAAATATTAGCAATGAGCAGTCAGTGATGGAAGACAAGGAGACAAGGAAAGGTTAACATGAAACAGGTTCAAAAAAACAGTATTAAGTAGGAAGCCTAAAGAAGACACAGTGGGCAAAGGAAGTTACACATAAAATTCAGGGAAGCAAAATGAGCCTCACTGGTAAGAGGAGTTATAGGACAAAATGAATCACTTAAAACACGCACACACAGTATACATGATACCTAAAGGAAATACATCACAAATTTAAAATACAGGAAAAACATGCTTAAAATCTGGCACATTTTTAATGCTGCAAATACAAAAAATATGTAAAGAAAGAAGTGACAAAAAAAACCCAAAAAAAACAAAAACAGGTGTGGGGAGCATTATAATAGAAGGTGAGGAGATGAGAAAAAGCCCATAAATTAGGCTAAGAAGCATCTAAAAGGTAGAAATGAAAAGCAGACGGTATCATAATAACAAAAGGGGTACAAAGTTTTAAGGGAGGTAGGTATATTTAATAATATCTAATGCCTAGGACAAAGCAAACTCATATAAAAATATACCTATTTCACTTGGAATTGGCAATAAAGAAATAACTGAAAAATATGAGTATTTTCAGCAACAGTTTGTCAAAGATTGCAAGGTACCCTAAGAAGAGTTTGATCTAGTGCATTTATAGCGAAGAGGAAGGAGTTAATAGAAAAGTTTAAGTTTAAGACAGATTTTTAAAAAGTGGCTCATGCATCAGACAAGAAGTCAGAGCACAGCAGAACAGTCTTAAGACAGAAAGAACATGTGTTCTGTTGAAATGGGGCAAGACCAAAAATACAGACACTGTTATGAGGGAAAGTGTAACAGCAGGAAGAGCAGTTCAACACCTTCTACTTCTTCTGAAGAGAAGTAACACGGACATTTTTATTAAGAAAAAAAAAAAGGAAATTACATTTCCTGACTATCCTCCTGGAAGCTAGGCACATGCCTAGGTAGGTACTTTGCCATGGCAATTTAAGGAGGCTTAACTGAATGAAATGGGTCCTAAGTATCTGATGCATTCTGACATTATTAATAGTATTTTATTATTCTTTTGCATTAAAATACTATGTCCCATTTTATAATTTATCATTTGAACCAAATTTTCACATACTCAAAAACTACACCTTCAATGTTTAAGATAGTTAAAAGTTGAAAGAATATTAAACACATTCAAGACTCTTATTACTACCCTGTCAGAAGGACTAGAATTTGCCTTCTACTACTACTGCAACAACTCTGTGCTTCAGCAGCCTATTTTCAAAGCTAAACTCGGACTTTGCCATCACTTGGACCTGTAGGTTCCTACCTTCAGGTAGGAATGCCTGTTAAACCTGCTCTCTGACTTAATGAAAACTAACCTAAACATTTCCTTCCAAGCCTCACTTTCTGTGGGCTCCTCTTTCAACAACTTCAATTGTTCCCCATTTCTTCTCCATCTCTCATATCCACCTCCTCTAAAAATGTGTTACAATATTAATCTAACAGGACATTCTCCAATGACATTTATAAATAACCAAACATTATTAGTGAAAAAACCTACAGCCACTATACCTAGCTATTGGTTGAGATGAGGGAATCTCACTAACTTTTTACCCAGGATATCCTGAAATAATGATCCTCCTGACCTCAGCCTCCCAAGCACCTAAGATTAAATGCATGTTGCCCAGCAGTTTTATTGATTTCATCCTAAATATCTTTTAATCTATTCCTTTCTATCAAAACTGAAAATGTTATTATCTGTGCAATAACTTACAATGTTATGTCTATCTTTTATATACAATTCTATTTGCCAGGAAAACAACCTTTTGTCTCAATAAACATCACTTAAAAGACTCATTATTTATTATCTCTTCTTTGAATTCCCCCAACTCACCTGACATGTGATTTAATGACTCCCTCATCTGAACTATATTTGCATCTTATAATGCAATCTTGTCAATGACCACAAAGAAAAGGCAATTAGTTGTACATAAATTCTCAAATATGAAGGACACAGCATTTGACTTAATTTTTTAAAAAAGTAAAAATAGAAGTTTTGGTTTTTATGTCTTTGAGATGGCGTCTCATTATATTATTCAGGCTGGGCTTTAACCCCTGGGCTCTGGAGAACTTCCTGTCTTAGCCTTCTGAGTATTTGAGACTACAAGGCTCCCGCCACTGCACCTGGCTCACATACATCTATTTTTAAAGTAAACTGATGGGCAAACAGTTACTAAAGAAGAGTTTGTGTATTGTTTCCTGAGAAGGGCTGTTAGGGTCATTAAAGAAAATAGCAGTGTTCATGGATTCTGTGAAACACCTTGAGAGTTTAATAATGAGTTCCAGATCCTCCTTTAAGACCTCTCTCTTACTTTGGTTGGTCTGCATCATTCCCTCATCAGCATACTTTCTATGCCATACTACATGTTTCCTTTAGCTGTCTCCCAAAATAGACCTCATGGGAAAACTAAAGGTTATTAAGTAAGAATCTCCTATGTGTTCATGTTTCTCCAATGCCTACAACTGAGGCTTACACTGAAAAGACACTGGCTTGGTGAAATTTTACAAATCAGTACTAAAGATATGGTCAAAATCAAAAGCATTTAACTCTTTCCAGTCTTGCATGTGACTAACCAAAACCAGAAACAGTATTTAATTTGATTACCTGTGTCTTACATCATACATCTCACTCCGAAATTCAGAAACTATTATCTGTGGCCTAGAGGTCCCTGGTGGATAAAACCTTTTCATCAGTGCCTGAAGTACTCTTTCATCAGCATGATTATGGCAACAATAGGCTTGTAGAAGTCCTTTTAAGCAAGATTCAATAGCCAAAGCAAGTTCGGGGTCTCGGAGATGAATGCAAGCTCCTAAAAATGATAGAAAATTATAGAAGCATTCATAAATACTTACTTTTGGAATATTAGTAATTCTTTTAATAGTTCATAAATGATTTAATATTTCCATATTAAAGCAGCTTAAATGACACTACAGATCTTATTTTAACTGAAGGAAAATCCCTGACTACTTATTGGACACACAGAGAAGAAAATGCCAAATCCTGTGAAAAATATCACCCCATTCTAAAAAACACCAATGACTTTTCCATGTATGCACTATTTCAGCTTTTCAATGGTGTTTTGAAATCAAAAGATTTATAGATTCTTTATTTTCTCTAAAACTGAGTAATACTGGGATTTTAGATTTAAGAATGGGTGGAAAAAAGCCTCATCCAATGAAATGGAAACTGATATATATAGGTTCATATCATTTAAATGAAGTGACACTACTGCCACAGTTAAATACACTAGCTTACTAGTAAATAGTATTTACAATGATAGCATCACAGAGGTAACGCCCTGAAAACCCGACTAACTGAAAAGATCTCTAAATCCCATACATGAATGAAAATAAATAACCATAGACTTAATCAATTGGAAGAACTAGAAATCATGCCATTCAACCTAAACAGAAACTAAAAAAATAAGTCATTTTAAAGGCTACACAAAACTCAAGGGTTTATTCACTACATCTTCACATCAATGGAAGTAAGCAACATATTCAAATCAATTCATTCACTTACTCATTCAGGAAAAAACAGCTAAATTATTCAACTGTATAACCACTTTTCCTAAGTTTTCTTTCTTTGATTTTTCTCTAGGCTTTAAAATTTTAAGTGCGATTTTGTCATTATTTAAAAAAATGTTCACATACAACTACAGAAGTGGATTCAACTGACACCTTCTTAAAAATAAGAACATATGGTTGTTATAACCTTTCTAAATGACAAATACCTAAAGGGCCTACAGGCTTATGGGTAAAATATCCCCGTCTGTAGGCATCATCTATTGCTTCCAGAAGAGCTGGAACATGAGGCCCAAATCTTTTTATTCGATCAGTTCTACTATCTTTCAATTCTTTAAGTTGTCTCTGATTATAGTTCAGTACATGCTTCACATCTAATTCTTCTCTCCTAAAAAAGTAAAAGTAGAAAAACAAAACAGGAATGTGATACTTATACAAAAAATTCAGCCATTGCCCATAATACCTACATGCTAATAAATGGCCCAGCTAATCAGAATTCTTTATTTGAAAATAACTGTCACCAGACAAAAATAGTTAGCAGTCCTCAAAGCTTGCATGAAAAAAGTGATAGAACAGTAATGAACTGGAATCTCAGAAATCTTCTAAATGAGCAAGAAAAGTGGTTTTAAAAGACCATTTATTTGCATAAGAAACAAACAAAAACATGTTTTCTCTTCATATAAATAGCAATACTATATGATGTTTAACAAAGTTGAAAAAAAAATTACTTTAAGGATTTTGAACTTACTTAATTCTGGCATATTCTTCTTTGTACTTTTCTATGGCTTGCTGAAACTGTTCAATTTCTTCATTGACTGAATTTTCCTGATCCTGTAAGGACTTTACTCTCTCTTTCAACCAACATATTTTTTTTTGTCTTTCCAACCGCTCAGGTTCCAAAGATTGATCAGTACTAGTAGTAAATAACACAAAGTAAAAAAGAATGTTGAGTAACAAAAATCCAACACTAAAAAAGCATAAGCCAATGTAGCAAAAATTTCATTAACACTGAAGACAATCCACTGTACCTAGATTACTTTATTACAAAATGAGGCCATCATGAAAACTGCCGAGAATCATACCTTTTCTTTAGTTCTTCAATTCTTTTACAAAGCTGCTCATCATCTTTCTTTAATGCTTTGTACTCATTTAGGGAGCGGTTATATAAAACCTAACAAAAAATTACACATACTGTAAAAATATATACTGTTCAAGTCCACTTCTGCCAAATTTCTAAATCAGCAGCTGAATTATGTGCAGAAATTCATTTTTAAATATCTAAGTTTTTACTATGGAGTTTTTAATAATTCAGGAAAAAACTTCTCACCTCAGCTTCATTATAGGTCTTTTTCTTTGCAGTGAGATCTACTTTCAATGCCAAACATTCTGGTGCTCGTGCATTTGTCTCTTGAATAATCTTTTCTAGCTTATCTTGAATGTCTTTGTATTTGTTTTCTGCATCATTAAGTCTGACCTTTAAGAAAACAGCATTGTTGGAGTATATTTTTCTTCAATAAGGAAATAAAATCTTTTAAATAATTATAATTCCTGTCCAATTAACAAATTTAACTTTACTCTGCTAGATAAGCAAACTACTTATATAAAAATACTAAGATACAATTTAATTTTGATCCATATTTAATTAAATAACAAATGTGTTATCCTCTGAAGTTACAAAGATATAACAGTTGTCATTAAATATGACAATTAAAAGGAGATGAATTTAGCAGAGAAACACATACAAACGGATGATATAGTCTGAAGACAGTAATGTCTAGGTGGGGCATATCTATTTATAATTGTGGGTGGAGCACATCTATTTATAATTGTGGGAGCATAGAGAAGGAAACTATAAATCTGCAAGAAAAAGTGATGAGTGCTTTCAAAGATGAATCAGCATGTGAGCTGACACTTGAAAGAGTAATCAAAGTGTACCAAGAGACAACTTGCGGAAAGGTGTTAGAAGCAGATGGAGTAGTACGTACAAAGGTTATTGGTATTTAAAGAATTAAAAGTATTGCTGGAGATTAAATTAAGAGCACAGGGTAGGAAATGAGATAATGGGTGGAAGAATCTTGCATTCCATAATAAACAGCTTACAACTTAATCCTCCACATTATAGAGGGAGACAAGATATGACCACATTTGCATGCTAGATCACTCAAGAATCACTATGGTAGGCAGGTTGGAGGCAAAATTAAAGGAATAAGTTTGAGTACGATAGTAATAAAACAATGCAGAAATCTTAAGGGACCAAAATGGGGCACCAACAATAGGGATGCATTAGAAAGGACAAAAATGAGAACTATTTGATCAGGAGCCAGCAAATTTCCTCTCTAAAGAGCCAGGTAGTCTGTAGTCCAGGCACTTCCTCCTTTACTTCCATATGGAGGACTTTGGTGACTTTCTTGAATTTTAGGTAGAGGACTTTCTACAGAACTTTTAAACCTCAGGTTAAAATTTACCTTAACAAACCTAACAATAGGTGGTCCACTACATAAAATTCTCTGACAGGAAATCTGGGTTCTGGGTCCCAAAACTCGACCCCTTAAATGTCCTTCAGACCTTGTTTTCAGTTCTGAATTCTCAAGCTTCTTGATACTTGGCTTCAGTGCTATTCAAATTGACAATTATCTTAGTACCCCTGTATTTCTCAGGTCTTTTGTGTTTCAACTCCTTAATAAACCCAAGAGTAAAAAGCTTCATATTCTAGTATCTCTAATCAGTAAAAAGTTCCATTGTCCATGTGCCTAAGAAGTCAGCAATTTCAGGCTCAGATAAGCTCATTACAACAAAACATAGTACTGAAAGATAACTAAACAAAAGCCCATGGAAAAAGCAAAGCTCTGGTTCAACAGAGTAGTAAATTCAAATGCAGGTAAATATATAGCTGAAATTGCCATTCTTGTAGGTCATAAATAGTCTAACACCAGCAATTTCATGACTAACCTACAACATCTACATAAAAATAAACAGTAACTACCTGTTGTTCTTCCATTTTCCTGTCAAGTCTAGCAGCACGATCTTCTCCGATTTTGATATTATCTCTGATAGCATTCAGTTGTTTCTCAATTTCATTGACCTAAAATGAAATTATATAGCAAATCATTAAGATTAACAGTGATCAAATATATTCTGAATGTTACAAATATATGTGACCAAGTAACTAAGAAAAAATTACCACTGCCCAAGCCATCTCATGCTTCAAATACTCTAAATTAGTCTTCATTGTACTTAAACCAGCAATACTTTGAAAACGTTCCTCTTTCTCCAAACACTGGCGTTTTAGTTCAATAAGTCGCTTTAAAGGAAAAAAAGGATATATTTCTTATTAACACTGGTTAAAAACATACTTTGCAAATGTATTTCTTTTGAAAACAATGCCTAAAACATTTTGAAGTACAGTAATTTTGTTAATTTCCTCACTATAAAAATGGTCAAATACACTTGACTAAAAACAAAGGAATTAATATTCAAGGTCATACAAGCCCCAAAACTCACTTTCCCATTTTCCCTCTTTAGTCAGAACCTGAAAGACACACAAGCCTCTTCTTCCAGACAAAGCAGTAGTATTCCAAAGTAGTAATACACATTCCAAAGATAATGGAAACATCAGAAGGAATTTATTACCCAATTTTTCATGTCTAAGTTCTCTTTCAGTAACAAAGAAAAACACCAAACAAACACAAGCATCATGTCATTAGAACAGCTTATGAAGTAGCTTCTAGGTTTTACTCTGTACACCTGGAAAGAAAGGCTCTCCCCTTCATTTCTACTTTCTATACTCAACCAGGGCCTAAACACTGTACACATTACTCTAGTTTCCCAATGCAATATCCTTTCCCTCTCTCCAGGATTATTTCAAATCTGAATGGACTGTCTCTCTACTCCCTCATCATTTTCCTTCACTGACTTCAGAGGACATAGAAATTATCAGTCAGAAACTTCTCCAACTTCTAACAATCTACCAGTCTAAAGTAGTTCTCTACTTACTGCTGCAAAGCACAGGTGGCCTCATTTTATATATTAGTCCAGTCTCCATCCCCAACTTCATGTTGGACCCTACCCTTCTTCATTACCATGATTTAGTCTTTGCTCACTTATCTTTCTGACTCATGAACAAAACCACTATTACCATCCATCCCTCCACACTACCTCCTCTGAAAATTCTTTCCTTTCCAACCAAGTTTCATGAAAATTATTCCTATCTCCTCCATTTCCTCACATTTTCCAGCCCCACAAATCTGACTCCTGTTTTCCCCACCACTGAAATCTTGTCACAGTCTAGCAAAGCATAACGCTAATAAGTACATGGTGGGATTTTAATATTTGTTAATATGGTGACTTTTACTTTCTCTCCTCCACATACTATTTATTAAAAGATTTAGTTATTTATACCTAACAATTTATTTGTGAGAATGAGCATTCAATCAATTAGAAAAATTTTTTCTTTTTGGAGGTAACAAACTTTAAACTGAGCCACCTCCCCCCGGCCCCCGCTTCTTATTAAGTGCAATTATGCATCAGGAACTCTTCTGCACATGGGGAAGTGTTTCTTAAACTTCATAACCAAAATATCTCGTTGAGGACAAAGTACAGCATGGAAAAAGTGGCTATTTAACCTCAACTGGACTAAAGAAGGAAATTTCTTCAAAGCTCTGATTTTTATTTTAAATAATAAATATAACATATACTATGTTATAGAGTAAATGTGCAGGGCTGAGGGTGTGGCTCAGTGGAAGAGTGCCTACCTAAGCAAATGTGCAAGCACTTCTTGTCTGTAATGACAACATATATCTCGAGAAAACATACTCTGTTAACTTTATGGCTTCGCATTGTTCCATACACACCACCACACAGTGCAAGTGTGAAGGGACAGTATGGGGAATGAACACACCAATCCCTGAGTTTTCACCTAATGAGCTACACGATGATAGGCCTAACTTTAAAAATATACAAAAACTTGAATTAAAAAGGCCAAGGTGACCTAATGAGTTTTACAATCACTATTACCATTAAATCCAAAAAGAACAGGCTAAAAAGTTGCTAAAGACTCAACTGGTCTTTAAAACTAAACAAAACAGTAAGATACAGAATCACGTAAAACTGGCAAGATTTAATGTACTGGATGAAGAGCACAATGTAAGCTTTATTATTCTGAAGTCTTGATTATCTGAAAGAAAGCTGGGTCTTCAGGAACTTGAAAAATAGACTATCATAAGAAAATGTAGCAGATGCAGAAACCATGGTTGGTAGGAGTGATTTAAAATTCAAGCAATTTGCATGGCTACCAAGTTGGTAAATACTGATGTGACAGCAGCTACCAAGTTATCAGGTGCTTAAAGAAAGTTAACATTTTACAAATGTAATGAGTCATCTATTACATGTAATTAGAAGGGGCACATTATGTTTAATATTGGTTTGAGGCTTGTGCTTATTAACCCAATAAAATAAATGCTCTATGTTTTCAAACTATTTATACTGAAAATTAGTGATACCATAGTGTGGAACCGATTACTCATATTATCAAGGGAAAAGTAAGATATAGCCTTGTCATCTAGTTAATAGTAGAGGAAGTTAAGACAATAACTCATTATTTCAAAACAAAAAAGGCTAATAAATGTCCTGAATTAAAGACTAAATTTCATATGCTTCAGAGTGTTATTAAATAAAACATTAGTTTTATATAGTTATAAGTCTATACAGAGCAGTGTGTGTGTGTGTGTGTGTGTGTGTGTGTGTGTGTGTGTACATGTATATGGACTCAAGGACCTTCAAGCACTCTACTACTTGAGCCACACCCCCAATCCTTTTTAACTTTGTTTTTCAGATAGGATCTTTCACTAACTTTACACAGGCTGCATCCAGCCTCTTGCCTTTTATCTCCACCTCCCAAGTAGCTTGGAACACAGATGAGTGTCATAATGCCCCAGCTTGTTGAGATAGGGTCTCCCTGACTTTTGCTAGGGCTGATCTCAAACAGCTATACTCCTGTATCTGTGCTGGGATTACAGGCATTTGCCACCATGCCCAGCTCAGAGGAATGTAATTTTATGATACCATTACCTTAAGTACACTCAAATAAATACAATGATATGACAGTATTATCTATGATAGCAATTCCTACTACAGGAATGTGGCTAATCTCAAAAAGATTTACACTATTTACAAACCTCTTCTCCTTGATTTATCTGCTCCTTTGTTCTTTCTTTTGTTTCCATAATGTATGAATAATCTTCCTTCATCTGTTCAAGTTGGGTTGCTTTCATGAAGAACTTTATCATCAAAAAGAAAAATACAATTAGGAGTTCATAAGCTTTCATGGAACCATAAAAAATAAAGAGAAATTTGGTCCCTGAAAACTTTTAGACCAATTATGTAAAAAAACATTAAAAACAAACAGGTACACAAGCAAAAATAACACATTTTATTTCAAACTCAAATTTAGTCAACCTGCTATATTCGTACCTACATGTTCATTTGCAAGAGATCTAATACCCCACAAAAGAAACTTTTTGGAGTGATAGTAATACGATTTTGAAAGTTCCTTTTTATAAATTCTTCCACCCTTTAAGCAAAAGTGACAGATAACATTCTTATCTTTGACAGCAGTGCATCTTAAATACTAAAACTAGTGCTGGGAACATGGTTCAGTCAGTACAGTGCCTGCCTAGAAAATATCAAAACTTATTCAAAAGGCTATAGCATAAGTTTTGATAGTTGTCAAATAGTTTGTTAGTTTTAAGTATTATTTTAAAACTTACAAATTTTTATGTAGTGTGGCCAATTATTTTCTATTTCCATAAACATTACTTTTAAAAAACAATCTGTTCATTCAGAATTAAAAGCCAAGAAAGTAAAAACAAAGACTTACCAAGAAAATCATACTCACATCATATTTAAGTTAGTACTACAGTATTAAATAGATGGTTTAAGAAAAAAAAAAAAGAAATCTCAGTGTCTACTACATGAGCAGGAATAAAGTCTGTTATTTGTCTGGATGTATTTTGTGGAGGTGGCTTTGCATTGACTTCAGCAACCCTTACTTTGTATTTGTCTCCCTCATTTTTAGACTGCAAGAACTGTTTGCTCATCTCTTGTGTTAAAACAGAAACCGGATTATCGACCTGAAACAAATACAAAAGGGTCAGTTTTGACTATTTCCCTTTAATGCCTTAAAGATAGACTGAAATATACATTACACGTGACCTAGGGCACCATCAAGAAGGTTAAGCACTAGTCAAAGGCTACAGAAATAGGATAAAAGTACAAAGAAAAATATTAGAAATTCTTAGGGAAATGTTTCAGTATTTCATTATAACAAGATATTGTTAATGTTCTGCCATTGCAGGGAGATGTAAGCTTAGCAGCCCTTGGAAGTGCTCTTTTAGAAGCACTTTTCATGTACAGTTGGAAAAGCTTCATAACTTGCCCAAGGCTACCTAGAGTGCAAGATAGCTGACACCCATGTTGGGTCTTTTCCCATGCTGATGTCCTATAAGTCTAGTAACATAAGAGTAATAATCTATATGAAAGTGAAAAACCTTCCAATAGAGCTCTATTAAATCAAAGGTGATACATTATACATTAAAAATTCATATTGAGGCGAGGCATGGTAGTTGAGGCCTATAATCCCGGCCACCTGGGAGGCAGAGATAAGAGTACAGTGGGGTTTGAGGCCATCGCAGGCAAAAAACTGAGACCCAATCTTAGAAAACAAGCTGGACATAGTGGTGCATGCCTGTAATGCCAGTTAATTGGAGGCAGAGGTAGGAGTATCACAGTCCTAGTCAAAAACACAAGACCCTATCTGAAAAATAAAGTACAGCAAAAAGGAGTAAGGTGTGGCTCAAGTGGTACAGCACTTGCCTACCAAGGGAAAGGCCTGAGTTCAAACCCCAGTACCACCAAAAAAAAAAAAAAGTTGAATTGATAAATTTTAGGAACCTCACTAAAAATAGTTAAAGAGTTTTAGCACACATTCTTCTCATGGTCAGTCAATTTACTCGTAGATGGTCACTTTAACTGATTATATGCCACTTGTGAACCCACACCAAAAAAATAACCAGTAGCACTAATTAATCTGAAAATCAAATTTAGCAATTACCTGGATATTAAAGTGATCAAGAATTGCAATCAGCTCTTCCTTCCTGGTAGAAACCACAGTGCCTAGTTAAAAGAAACATAAAATGAACAGACTGCTTCTAAGGCAATAATACAGGAACAAATGTACAATTATCTATAAAATATAAATGCTAAGTACTTTTCATGTGTCAACAAGAAAGGTATCACTAAATTTGCATGGTCTGAATGAATTAGGGTGGTATCCTAGTTATAGCCCAAGGACTTGAGAAAGAAAAAGTGCTACATGCAGTAACAGTGCTTATTTGTAGCGGAACATTTTGCTTTGGCCCTTACTTATCTCTTTTCAGTAACTCTAAACACTTACCTCCTCCTTTATGTTGTTTTCTACCTTTTGCTATCTTAATCTATAGAAACCATATGGGGAAAGCAGGTCTATAGTTGAAAACAAAATGTCACAGCCTGTTTTAAACTGATCTCAGTTCTGCTAACTACAGACTGTAACCAGAATGCCCATGGTAACAACCACATATATGCACTTTTTACAGCATTTGTGTAGATATGTGCAACCAATCACGAAAGGTTTCAAAAAACTGAGAAAAAGTATCCTTTCAATGAATATTAGCACAATCATTTCACTGTTTTAAAGTATTTAGTAATAGCTTGTATGCAATGAAGGGAAAATCAATGCAAACCTGTTTCACTTTTGAGTTTGTAAGATCGACTTCCATCCATGCTGATATGTTGCTGTACAACTATGGAGTCACCATACACGTTTGCTCTATAGGCATCATCTCCTCTGTTCCGTAATGTTATTGAGATATCTGCTGAGCTAAAGCAATGAGATTAAGCTACCTTCATGTCTGTCAAGGCACAGTGCAACTGTAACACTAGATTACAACAATTTTCAAAACTTTCAAATAATCTAGCTATTTAACAGTGTGATGACCACTTTGCTAGGAATACTGTTAAAGATACTGTGCCTGACAAAAAAACAGAAGAGTCATAAGAAGTAATAGACTTATCTATGCATAATAGCAATATCACACTTGCACAAAAACATTAAGTTTGGGTTGTTTCATATCATGAGATAAGCAACACATTTTCCTATGAGGACTGTATACAACATTACACTGTCTAATGACTATACTACATAATAAAGCACTGTGCTAACAGTAGGCCTTCAAGAATGATAAATTAAGATTCAGAGTAAAGTAACTTTTCTACGATTTTAATTTAAAGGAGACAATTTAAGTTTTTCAATTACTTGGCAATTAAAAAAACCAAAGTATGTGATATCAAGAAATATAAACCGAGGAGAATAGAGGGAAATGGAGAAAGGCTGATCAACAAGTACTAAAGGTTAAATAGGAACAAGAAGTTTTGGTGTGCTTTTTCCTTAGAGTAGGGTGATGACAGATGACAATGATTTACAATACATTTCAAAAGGCTAGAATTAAGTATTTTGACAGTTTTCTCCATAAAGAAATGATAAATGTTGAGAAAGATGTGTTTAACCTCATTTAAGCATTAAACAATGTAATCCATGCCAAAGCACTACATGATAACCCACTAGTATGTACAGTTATTTTTATGTATCAGTTTTTAAAAAGTTAAAAACATATGAACCAAAGCTAAAAATTTCTTAAAGCTTTTTAAGCATTACAAAAGAATTATTTTAAAATAGTAAGATGCAGTTAAACACACATGAATGTTAAGGGTACAAATCTGCCAGATAGACCCTGTTGTATTTTTTAAACTTCTGAAGGTACTTATATTCTAAGGTATTTATAGCTATACATATTTTAATATACACATAAAAAAATCAATCTTTATTTGCCTACTCCAATTTCTATTACAATAAGACTTGGCAGAAAAATAAAATGTTGATGAAAAACATTAATAAATACTTATAATTTCCTGACACATAACAACAGACAATATTTTCTGATTCACATGGACATCTGCCAAAGTGCTCGCGTCCTCTTGCACAAGACTGTTCTAATTGGCAATTGAAGGAAAACTTGCTTCAATAAATTTGTAAACATTCTCCAAAACTTCCCGCTAACAGGAAATGTAGGAAAAACATATTCGAGCTGAACTTCACTATAAACCACAGCTTTGACAGTAACCTGTGAAGTACTTGCTCTGCTCTTGCTCTCTTGCCCTCTTCTTTGATAGTGCCTTGCAGAAATAAAGAGCTTAGGAATCCTATCAGTCCACGGTCCCTCCTCCAGGAGCTGGGCTAGATATAGAACTCAGCACTCAGCAATCAGATTCTCTTCTTTTAAAATTCAAATTAAGAAATGCTGGCAAAAATCCAAAAAAAAAAAAGCCTAGAGTCTAACACTGTAGTAATGTTAATTGTGAAAGATGGCTAAATGTAGCTTAGTTATGTAAGATTATCAACATTAACGAAAGCTGGGTGAAGGATATATAGGAAACTCTGTACTGTCTTTGCAACGCTTCTGTAAATCTAAAATTATTTCAAAGTAAGTTTTTTCCTTTAAATTCGAATTTAGAGATGACCAAGTGAAAAGATACTGATCTCTTAGAGCTAAAAAGTTATGAGGTCTCTGGAAGCAGAGAGACTAATTTGGAGAATTATACTCTGATGAGAAAATGTCTGCAGAGAAAAGCAGAGCACAGAACAGATAACTTCTTGGGAAACCAACCCAGACAGAATGCAGGAAAGAACCAGAGATACTAACAGCAAAACAGAGAACACATGATCACTTCCTTTACATAAACACATAGTAAAACATAAATGCATGAAGGCACAGAACACACAAACTCCAGAGACAGTGAAAAAGAGAAACAGTCAGATAACTATACACCTGTCATAAAAAGAGGAGGGAAAAGCACACACACCAAAGTACAGCCAACTAAGGAAGGTGGTTAAGAAGTGGTATCGGGGAAGAGTTGCGAAACAGACACAAGGAATGGAGGATGACACAGAGGCCCAGAGACGAAGACACACAGAGATGGTTGGACACAAAAAAAGAAAAGACCCAGAGACAGCAGACAGTTGGTTCCTCAGGTTTGGTCTCTCATGAGATCCAGCTGTGCTTCTTCCCTGTAGCTTCTTGGATATAGATCCCTGTATTTACATAACTATCCCTTTCTGTAGCTACCATAAGTAAACTGATTCTCTTTAATAAAATAATCTAATGAAAAGATTAATTTCTGAAAAATTTTAACTATTAGGATTTTTAAACATTTCCCAAGTTGATTCTAATGCAAGGTTAAGAACTACTAAGTAAAATATGATAGGGGAAGGAGAGCTAGCTTGTGATAAGCAGCAAACCACTATTTAACTTCATTAACTAGTATGATTACTTAGAACTAAATTAATGTAACTCATGAAAACAGTTTAAAAATAAAATGGCTATATATATTTGCTCTCTGCATTAACACCACTTGATTAGGAAACATCTATTTTACTATCTTTATTCCTAGTTAGTCTTTGCATTTGAGAGCTATCTTTAGTATAGTGAGAACCCTGGTGGCCCTGATATCATGTTGCTGCATAAGTTTAATTAAATATACAGAAAATTCTATGAAAAAGTAACATTTATGAAGTAACCCTCATAACTGTACACACACTTAAGTGAAAAGAGAGATTATCAGTTAGAGTTCTTTCAGAATGACAAAATAAACAAGAAGTGCCACAGAGAAGATCTGGCTTTCTTCTCAACTCTGGAGAAACTTCTCTACACAGAGGTAGCTGGGAGTAGCAAATGCTGATGACAAACAGGGAACAAGGAAAAAGTCATGTAAAAACATAATATATCTGCTCCTTCTCTGAGTAGCCAGCTCCTTACAATACAATCTATATCCCTGATTAATAAATCAGGAACACAAAACAGGACAGTGAGCTTTCATCCTTCCATAATCTTCTTACCACAGCTAATTTCAAAAATTGGACTACGTAAATACTAATAAAAGACCACCAAGGCTAGTATTAAGAACACTAAGAATGGAAGAGAGAACTGAACATGTTGAAAGAGAATTAAAAAACAAGGTGCACAACCCCTTGTGACACTAAGGAACACTTTCATCTGAGGAGATACACTAGGAAAATTCACTTACTCACTCATTCACTGCCTTCATGCCACTGAGCTCCAGGCAAAGTGTCAGATTCAAGGCACAGTTCTCTGGCATTTCCTAACAATGTTAGACAGCCATATCCAAGAGGAGGTAAAATGCCCCACAAAAAGGAACTCTCAGCCCAAGGGTCTCAATGGGGAGCACAACACTTGATAAGGCGGGAGTACGACATCACCAAGCTTGTGTCAGACTGAGAGGCTGCAGGCAATGTTGGACAGCTATGCAGATTTTTAGATGTGGAACACAGTAAGGATAAAACTGAAAACCTCAACGAGCCCATTCTGCAAAAAAGTGACAAACAGAATCAGAGACTACGACATAAGGGAAATTTTATAGATACCAAATGCTGCAAAGAGGGAGGGTAGTAAGAGGAATAGTAGTGGGGTTTGAAAAGCTCTGCTTTTAGATCCTTTAGACAAGGTCAGTAAAAAGGAGACCTAGCTGAGATTAGAAGTTTTGCTGTTACCAATTCTGCTTTAAAATATATTAATATTCCTTTATATGGGCAGCCATATCCTTGAAAAATCAGTGATTTGTGTAAGTTAATATTTTTTCTTTTAAACAATATTCAGAATAAGCCTCAGAAAGAAGTTTCTGTTTCGATCCAATTACTTCCTAAATGGGGGGAGGGGTGGGAATTATTTAACTGAGACAAAACAGTTCATGATACATTTTAAAAATTTTCTTCCTGAAATTGTGTTTGAAAGATCAGTGCGCTATTTGGCCAAGTAAACTAAGTGATTGCTTGAGTAAGTAAGAAACGAAAAGTTAAGTATAATGAATTGAAACAGAGTAGGGACCATTGATTTAAAAGTGTTGAAAAAACTAATTATTTATTTCAGACATAATTTATTTGGGGAAGGAGGGAGCCAGAAGGCTCTGCTGGACTGGGATCCAAATGGGATAAGTAGAAACAGAAACTATGCTGGAAAATTGTAATCAAATAGTTCTCTTCCAAGGGAAAAGAGCACAGAAAAAGATTTTCTACGATTTTCTCATATCAATTTGGAATCCCAGCTTAAGGTTAAGATCCTAAAGGCTTCTAAGCAACAGATAAGAAGCTAGGGGGAATGGAAGGAAGGTGAGAAAGGCAGAGGGGGTGAGAAAGGGAGAAGGGGAGGGAAAGTGAGAGGAGGGAAAAGAGACAATAAGGTGGAGGAGAGAGAGATCAAACTGGGAGAGAGGTGATAGGCAAAAAGGCAACAAGTCCACAATGATGCAAACTGGACAATTAACACAGCTATATGAAGGTTGGCAACCTATGACAAAAAGAAATAGAAATGTAAAGCCAAGACAGTAACATGCTCATTCAGCAAGGGTACAGACGAACAAACTTGTGATTGTGGTCCCAAAATCAAACTCACTAAGTAAAGGATATAGAATCAGAGTCAGATAACAGGCTGTTTTTCTGGAATTCTTAGCTACAGAAAGAAGTTTCGTGTAGGGACACCTTAGTTTTGCTCTCACCTCTACCATATCAATGTGGCCTTTCTGATGCTGGGTTTGAGTCAAGATCCTGGAAATTAGGCTTAACACATACATAGATTTATGTATATAAGTACATAGATTTATCATTGCCATTTTTCCAAAAAGATAACAAAGCATGAGTATAGGAGAACAGGTACGTGGCAATAAGTTATGCAAGTCATCTGCTAGAGGACAACAGACAGCAGTGGGTCATGTTGGCAAGAAGCAGCAAGAGAAAGAGATGAAAAACTGAAATCTCTGTTCCCATTCTGGGAAAGCACTTCATTTCTATGAAACTGGGAATCTAAAGCACCTGCTTCTTACTAAAGAAATGAAAGCACGTGTAGAAAGCACCTACCTCTGTCCATCTTTCACAAAACCTTTTAAAGAGGATCCTCTATTAGTAGCAATTGCTTTTCCACCAAGACCAACTATGAGAGCTGTGAGTACTGCACTCTTCCCACCTAAAGAAACAAGTGATGAGAAATTCACAAGATAAAGGGCTGATGCAAAATGATTTCTGAGTTACTCTTACCCTGAAATAAAAGGTTATAAACTCAATTACAATTTTCTTCCAGTGCTAAAGCAGCAAACTTTAAAAAAAAGTTTATACATCATATACTGTAATGAAATAACTGCTGTTAGTACATTTCAGGAATCAAATTTTTATCACCGATGAGGAAGTAGAAAAAAATGGTTGATCCTTTCCAACCTGAAACATTTACCTATTTCAAAAAACATATGCATTCTTATCTCAAAGTACAGTCAAAAGAGGAGGGGCCAAAGCACTTACTTCCATTGTTGCCAACAACAAAATTGACATTAGAACCAAATTTGAAAGGTCCAAGCATTGAATGGCACATGAAGTTTCTTAGCTGAATACTCTCAATTATTCCAACTTCTGCTGCAGTCTATTAAAAAAAAAAAGTGGGAAAAAAACAATCAATCTGTCCAATTCTCTCATTATAAACATCCCAGCATTTATTGGCAAGAGAAAGACCAGTAGAACAACCAATGCGAAAGGTTACAGGAAGTAAATAATGCAATCTTCAATGATTAGGATGAAATTAAATGGGGAAATTAAAAGATCTAGTAAGATAGTTTTGCTACACCACTGATTCTGCACTGGGAGTGGGATAGGGTTCCCCTCCTCTAGACATTCAGCAATGTCTAGATATATTTTTGGTTGTCACAAATGGAGGGCAGGTGTGTGCCATGGGCATCTATTGAGAGAGATAAAACTAGGAATATTGCTAACTATTTTCCTGCACAGGACAGACACTTCCTCCTGTAACGAAAACTGTCTGGCCAAAAAAGTTAGTTTTGTCAATATTATGAAAGAATATTGCTAACTGTTCTCCAATGCACAGGACAGACACTTCCTCCTATAACAAAAATTGGCCAAAAAAGTTAGTTTTGTCAATATTATGAAAATCTGTGGTACTCTTACAATCCAAGGAACTAAGGACACATTCTTAAAAGCTAAATTCTATTATTTTTGTGACATTTTTTGTCATTTATGAGAGCTATGTGACTTTTGGCAATGAATAGAGTATATGATTTCCAAATCTGTAAGACAGAAAGAAACTCCTATACTATAAATATATGTCAGCATTAGAGAAAGTCTATAAACAGTTAAAGAGTTTGACACACAGTAGTCTCTTGCACTTTGTAGTTATTTAAGTATCAGAATAAATCAGCCATATTTTATCAGACCTTCCAACAATTTTTGAAGAGCACTTTAATGGCTCCAGCTATTTTAATGGTCTCTTCAGAAGTTCCATCTCTGTTCCTTTGGATACACATCTCTTTACAAAACAGAAAACATTTACCTCTCTGTATGAGTAAATTATTGGAAATCATGATTCACAAACTTTTAAAAGCACTTTTACTTTGAGATAACTGCACATTCACATGCAGTTAAGAAGAGACCCTGTGTACCCTTCAGCCAGTTTCTGCCAATGATAACATCATGTAAAACTAAAGTACAGTATCACAGCCAAAATAATGGCACCCCAAGTCTATTCTTGAAAGGTTCATTCTTGATATTAAACATTCTATGGGTTTGGAGAAAGTTATGACATATGTCTACCATGACAGTATAGTACTGAGAATTTTCACTATCCTACAAAAAAAAAAAGAAGTTCCTGTGCTCCACCTATTCATCCCCCCTTGCTCTTAACCGCCAGAAATCATTCACCTTTTGTATTGCCTCCATAGTTCTGCCTTTTCCAGACTGGAAAGTTGAAATTATATGGTATAAAGCCTTTTCATATTGGCTTCTTTCACTTAGTAATATGTATTTTCATAGTTTTGATTGCTCTTTTCTTTGTAGTGTTGAAAAACATTCCATCATCCATATGTTCTATAGCTAATTTATCAACTGGCCTATTGAAGGACATCTTGGTTGCTTCCAAGTTTCAGAAATCATGAATAAAGCTGCTATAATAATCCATGTACAGGTTTTTGTGAGGATATTATTTTTCACCTCCTTTGTGTAACACTAAGGTGTGTATTTGCTGGATTGTATATTATTTAATTTTGTAAGAAACTGCCAAACTGTCTTCCAAAATGGCTGTATCATTCATTATGAGTTCTCCAGCTGTTCCCCATTCTTGTCAGCAGTTAGTATTGTTGTCAGTCTGGATTTTTACCATTCTAACAAGTCCATAATGGTATCTCATCACTGTTTAGTTTGCGTTTCCCTCAAACTGTCCACTTTTGTGTGTGGGAGGGTGATTATAAATGGTATTGCATTTTGAATTTCACTATCCATGTGATCAGTGCAAGTACATAAAAATACAATTTTAAAAAAGTGTTTAACACATATATTGTAACTTTGCTTATTAGTTCTTAGTGGTTTTTTTGTAAATTCTTTGAGATTTTCTACATAGACAAAGGTCATCTGCATAAAGGGCCAGGTTTTTTTTTTTTCCTTTACAACTTCTGTATCTTGTTGCCTATTCCTGCTCTAAGTCTCCCAACATGATGCTGAATAAGTGTGATGAGAGCAGACACTCTTGTCTTAGTCCTTTCTTACAGGAAAAGCATTCACTGTTTCACCACTAAGTATGCTACTTACAATTTTTGTCTAAATGTTCCTTACCATGTTAAGGAAGTTCCCTCTAGTAGTATTTTTCTGAGAGTTTTAATCATGAAGAGGTATTGAACCACATAAGATATTTTTGCCACATTGAAAGATATGATAATCTTTGTTCTCTGTAACATGTAACATGTGAATTATACTGATTTTCAGACACTGAACCAAGCTTCCATGCCTAGAAAAAACCCATTTGATCATGGTATATAACTCTTTCCACAAATTGCTGTATTCTATTTTCTAACATGTTGTTAAAGTTTCCCACGTCCATATTAACAAGGCAAATGAATATGTTTGCTTTTATGGCTAGTCTGTCTAGTTTTGGTATTAAGATAATGAACTGAATAGTGTTACAGTTTGTTTTCTGGGGAAAAAAACTCATGTAAAATTCATGTTAATTCTTCTTTAAATGTGTGTTATAACTCTCCACTAAAACCACTACACCTAAATTTTTAGATATATGAATGTAGAGGTATTAACTTGCATTTCCTTATTCTTTTGATACCTGCAATCTGTGATCATGGCCCTTGTATCATTTCTGATATTGTCTTTTCCCTTTTTTTCCTTTGTTGGTCTTACTAGAGGTTTGTCAATTTTATTTATCTTTCTAAAAGCCCAGTTGTTTAATTATTTCTCTATTAATATATATATATATATATATATATATATATATTTGTGGTACTGGGGTTTGAACTCAGAACGCAAGCTTGCTAGGCAGGCACTCTACCACTTGAGTCACTCCTCCAGCCCTAATTTTTCTAATTATTAACAAACTTCAAAATCGAGTAGAAGAAATTATATTACCTCAGCTTTTTAAAAAATCTTACTGCTTTTTGCTGATTATGTATTATCATGGAATATGATATATAAAACCGACATGAGAAACAAACTAATTGAACATAATTTGTAATTTTGCACTTACCAAAGTACAGGTACCATTAGTGAAAGAAACTGCACATTCATCTTCATCACCATCTTTATCAAAATCCTCTAATAATTCTTGTCTTGGTCTTTTGGCATTTTCAGGAGAGAAGAAATTGTCTTCCTTTCTTTTGGCCATCAGGTCTGAAGAAATATTATAGTAATGATGAAGTAAATCAAATATAGGATCTACACGATTATTTAACATTTATCTTAACAAAATAAATCAAACAAAGGTTATTAAATTTTAAAGATTATATCCACCAATGTTTATTTTGTGAATTAGTCTTCCATACTGCATGTAGGAAAGCGGCATGATTCAAAAATACTAGAAAGAGTGAGAAAACAGATTTTCCCCTTACTGACACTTTAAGTCCCTCAAGAGCTGAGTTGAACTTTTCATTTCCAGAGGGTCAGACAATAAATTTGTGGTGCCTTTAAAAACATCATGTAATTCTTCTATGTTAACTGATTTTACTTCTGAGTTATTCATGGCCAAGCTTTTGTTGAAAGTAACCTACCTAAACTCACAAAAGATAATTGTGAAATGGTGGCTTCTACTGCCTAGATCTATTAATAGAGATCACATAGTGCCTGATAAAATTATTCCAGAGCAATCACTGAATTCTTACAAGTTGTAAAGTAATGGCAAATCAGATAAAATTTTTGATTTTTAAATTATTTACCCAAAGAAGCATATTTTGAAGCAGTGTTGCCTCACCTTAGTTGTTTCCCTGTTTCCTACATAGTCCAGATTATTGATTTTTTGCAAATATACTATGAAACATAAACCTAGCACGTAAAAAGTACAAAGATCTCAAAGAGCTTTTCCTTTTATATATAAATATTTACTCATACTAAAAATTAAGACTGAGAAACTTTTAAAACAACACACAAGTAGACACTCCACCAGTCAGAGCAATGACAATCATCACACATCCTGTAACCTCAGAAAACTCTACCCTACACTCATATGGAAAGAGTTTCATGGATCCCTTTACCACACTCTGCAAACCACTACTGCAGGGGATACCATAATCAAGTCCTTGATTATAATGCCACAAATTATAAGGCGTATCTAGCAAGTAACAAAGTTAGAGCAGTGGGGAAGAAAAAGAACACAGAAGGACTTATAGACTTGATATTCGCAGGGTAATCCAAGCACCAGCAAACAGCACCAACATATCCCAAGCCTAGTTAGATATTCAAAATCTCAGGCTCTATCCTAGAGTAAAGTGAATCAATATCTTTTTAAGACTTGAGCTGATACTCAAGCCCACTTTTATAAAATTTGAAAACTGGTAAATCATACTAAAGACCTTGGATTTTATTCTACACTGAAGATAATGAAGAACTACTACTTAAAAGATGTATTAACACCCAAAGGACATTTAACCTAAACAAATGCCTTCCAGACAATAATGGCATTATGGTCACAACTATATAATATTAGCATATTTTCTGCAAATGATTGCATGGTTTATTTGAAATCTCTCATAGAAGCCAAAACTTCAAGATCAAATGTTTTTCAAATTATTTAATAGCAAAAATCAAAGTATATTAACTTCAGCTTGTTAATTTAAATTTCCTAAGTAGTACCAGGCCATTATTCTCCCAACAACCTTTTTGTCTCATCCATCCTTTATTCCCTATCAATTACTTTGCAGTAATCTATTTACACAAAAGAGCAAAGGGAAACAATTACTTTTCGGGTTGCCCAACATTAAATGCCCTTTTAGGCACTGTTTCAATTAATACGTGATCTGACAGGACGCATTCAGACATCAGCGAACTGATTTCAGTATTTTATCATTAGAAAGCAGTTTTTCAAGGAAAATTAAGGGAAGGGAGATGCAGTAGGCTAACTGTACTGAGCTTCTTACAATAAATGTGAGATTCTATACAGCACAAAAGATAATACGAACATTACATGATGATGATATTTTTTATTTGCTGGATATAGCCTGAGAGCTACTTGGTTGCTAAGGCAACTTACATCTACCACACACTAAAGGAGCCACTTAAAAAGTAGGAATCACACTGGGCATGGCAGCCCAGACCTATAATCCCAGCATTGAGGGAAGGGGGAAGGGTCCTGTTGAGACAGTAGAATTGTGAGATGGAGGCCAGTCTGGGATGCATAGCAAGACCCTGTCTCAAAAAACCAAAATAATAATAATAAAAAAAAATAGGCAACACTTTGCAATTTAATGATGGATTTTCAAAAACATGAATCTGGTGAGAGTAAGTTTTACTATAAAATAGTAAAACTGTTGCCAACAGGATAGAGACATAACTAGATGCAAAAACAGTATTTTAAATATTCTGGAATAAACAAAAAAGTTCCCATGGGATTTTTCAATATATTAATAACTTAATACAGTTTTTAATATTTACTTATTTATAATAAAAAAATAAACTAAGGTACATTCTCCCTTACAGGAAGCAAACTCCATCACAGCAGGGACAGTGATGATCAGCAAGAAAAAAAATAAGTTCAAAAAACAAAATCAGTAACTAAGGGTTCATTAAAACATGTAGCTACATATTTTAACAGGATTGCAAGATTTTCACTCATTTTTATTTTATTAAGTAATAATACTTCTCATTAATACCAAAGTGAGGACTAAGAGTAGTGACAGACACAACAGAATCAGAATTATCTAATGCTATAACAGAACTAGAATGAAAGTTTTTTTAAATAAAAGCAAATTACTGCCACTCAGACGCTGTAGATTCAGAAATCTGCCGTAGACAATGTTTACCTAATCCCCAATTCCACTCTTTCCACCACAAAAGACATTCATTCTACTTTAAACAATCTCATTTTTAACATACTGATTTAATTAAACACAGTGGGATATATTATGAAATCAAATGATATTCACTAGATAAAGGAAAAAAAGAAAAGTAAAACTGGGAAGTACTGTACAAAGCACAGCATCGCAAATAAGATTTGAACACTCCAATATGTATTAAAAACATCCCTGTGGTCTCAATATAGTGGACAAAGCAGAGAGTAACAATAACACTAGATAAGATTAGTTCTAAACCATAAAAAGGCTGAACAAAAACTGTGAAAGTATCAGGGATGAAGAATTAAGATAAAGTCAAAAGATTTAAAAGACTTGGCAAAATTTCAGGTGAATACAAATAACATTTTTTGAGTAACTATGTGCTGAGCTTTTGAGATGAACTACTTTCTTTGATCTTTGACATCATTAGTAATGCCCTAAGTTTACAGTTTAGTGGCTACTAGTAGACAGCTACAACTTAGGGGAGCCCAGATTCAAATCCTGGATTGTCAAACCCAAACTTAAACTTCTTTACTGCCCAGGTTCCTAATTTACATAAACACCTGAGTTTAGTTATTCATAGGCAGTAGAAATGGCTACTCATCTGTTCTTTATTTTCTCTCATTAAAATTATAAAAAGAATTCTATTATGTGTTCCTCTAAATGTTTCTATTAAAGCCAATCAAAACTTAGGGCTTGCTTTGTAAAAATTTCATTTTGTATTTCATCTTCGCACTTAATTCTGCCATTAAAAATAGAGCAGGCTTTGCAAGGAGTTAGGATAAATAATACATTTGTTTGTTTGAAAACAACTGGGTTTGAAGCATTCCCAGGATATTGAGATAACACCTGTGAGGTAGTAACACAAACTTTGCAATAGAAGTGGATTTGAGAGTAGAGGGAAAACTACTGATAGTTTGAATATGGTGACCAAAGAAAGCATGTTGAGTGAGCAAAGAAGTAAAATGTCAACATTGATAATGCAGGACAAGTGACTACAACTACACTTGACTCTCAGCTGTACTTACTGGTTTATGTAAACAGAACTGAGGCATTTACATGTATCTTAAATATAATGCATCCTACTATAGTAATTTTTTGAGTAATGTATTACTTCCTGAAGGTAAGTACTTTTTTTTGGAGGGTTCTGGAGACTGAAACCAGGGCCTCTCACTCGCTAAGCAAGCAAAGAGCTACACCCCCAGCCATCCAAGTACAAGTTTGATTAATTTTCCTAACAATTAGGATTTAGGCAGGTTTTACACAAAATTCTACAGACTTGGCAGTTAGAAAGATAAACCTTTGGGGCATAAAACTTGGTTTTCACTGCATTAACTTTCATATGCCATTTGTATTTGCTTTTTGCCAGGCTTGCAACTAAATGCTTTACAGTAATTACAGACAGATATCACACTTACCTATATAACCCTCTCCACATATTTAAAAGTCCTGTGACTTAGGAAGTGACACAGAAAGAGGTGGTACTAATCTGCAACAGGTCAGACATTTGCTTCTGTCTGAAGAACAACGTAGTTTTAAGCGAATCAAGGCAGAAGTTCTAATGTGTCCCCTCATCACCCACAGCCCCGGGACTGTCTGCAGGCCACTGCATGCTGGTGTACATTTTAGAAGACCACATGGCAGCCCTTTAAAAGCCAGGGAATTTGGACTTTTCTTCCTTTGACTGTGCATTACAGAACAGCTTGTCTTTTTCCGTCCTCTACTCATCATTACGCAGAGTAACAACAGCTCACGCAACTTCTGTCTCCAGGCTCACACGTCAAATTCTTGCTCTTTCTAGGAATTATCACAGTTCTCCCTCAAGCCTAGACAGCCTTTTCCCTACCCTCGGGTCCTATCTCTTCTCCATCTCCGTAAGAAAAAAGGGACAGGAAACGCCATCAAAAGGAAAAAAAAAAAAAAAAACCTCTGAACATCACAATTTAATCTGTCGGGATCATCCAGTCGGCGTTCCCAAGAAGCTGGGAATTAACGGCAAATTCGGATGTCAGTGGTTTCGCATGGGTCCCCCAAACATACTCAAGCGGCTGCCTGCGAGGTGCCACGGGATTCGGGACCAGAGCCCAGTTCCGATGCGGGCCTCACTCCTGACCCAACGCCCGGGACGCCCGGGGACGCGCGAGGGCGGGCCCGGCGCCGACCGCCAAGTTTCCCGCGGCGGAGACCCGGTGCCCCGCCGAGGGCACGAAGGTGCCGCCGGCTCCGCGACCGCGGGGTCGACGCTGGGCACCCAGACCCTCGCCCTCGCATGGGGGTGCTGGGGGCGCCCGCCCGGGGAGAGGAGACCCGGGACGAGGGAAAGCGCGGCAGCGCGCCCTCACCATACCTCCAACAAGTCGCAGTGCCCCAGAGGAACCCAGCCGACGGGCTGACGCTGTACGACCGGATACGAAGAGCGCCCTGAGGGCGTCTCGGCCTCAGCTGGCGGCCGTTGGCCAGCGGGGACCTGCGCGACCACGGCTGGAGAACGTGCGAGACCCGCCGCCCCGGCGCCCACCACGGGACGGTCCGCGCCTGCGCCCCGCCCCCCCTCGCCCTCGGACTCCGCCCGCGCGTGCGCGCTTAGAGGATTTCGCGCCACTCCAGGACTAGAGGAGGGACCGGAAGTGCCCAGAGCGGGGCGGGGCGGGGCGGGGGGGGGGAAGGGAAGGGAAGGGAGGGGAGGAGGGGGCGGTAGGAAGGGAAAGTATGAGGCACGCGCGGCTCAGCGGCAGGCAGGCCATTTGCCTAAGTGAAAGCGAAGACCGCTGGGCGCCCATGGCAACAGGTCGACGCATGCGTCTGCCAATCGATACGGAACCGGGAAAGTGAGCCGAGAGAGTGGCCCCGGTGTAAGGCTATGGGGGGCGGGCTCATTTGCAGCCGTTTCCCGGAAGAGGCGGGGCCTGAGGCAAGGGCGCGGGATTCGAAAGTGGTCCCAGGCGCTTTGTGCTTTGGAGCAGAATGACCTTTCGTTTGCGAAAACTCAGAAACTTGGAGACAGCTGTAGCTAAACTTCAGCCCAAACTGGTAAATGACGAAGGGGCTTCTTCCAAAGCCAAGGAGAAAGGGCTGTCCGGGTAAGTCCCGCGAGACGGTAGAGACCCGGACCTCCCTGGTCCTTCCATCTGTTCTTCTGCAAGTCTGGGTTAGGGCCGCGTCGTGTCCGCCGGCAGCCTCCCTTCCTCTAAGAACGCCTTCAGTGGTTTCCTTTTTCTGGACAGTAGAAAATCTGAGCCACGCCGCCAGTCCTACCCGGCCCCTGCCTGCCAACCTGGTCTCGTGCCTGCCCTGTGGACACCTGAAGGTTCAACGGACCCGAGTGTCCTTTCATTCACCCCCAGGGGTTGAGTCCCACGCCTTGTTCAAGGCCATCCCAGCCAGCCTTCCTTGATGCCCATACTCATGCTTGGTGTTCTCTTTCCATGTTAAGGCTGCAGTTTGAAACCATTTCTCACATAGCAATTACTTAGGGCATTAAGGTTGTGTATTTAGTCTTTTCTTCCCTCCCGCGTCAACCTGGAGTGTCAACTCCTTGAGTACGAACTACGGAAGTTCCTTGGCTTAGGTTTCCGCTCACTTCTCAACCCGAGGCTAACGTACCCCTTCTGTCTTCACACAACCCTTTGCATAAATGTGCTGACTACCCACCCAAGTAACATACTTTCTATGCCCCCAAATCTTACTTTTTAGAATGGGAACAAATGGCATTTATCGTCATCCAACCCCCAAATTGAGGTCCAATTTCTGACCTCCAGCAATGGAATTCCTTCCTTCAAATCCACCTTTTACTTCTGAAAGCAATCAAATATGTAAAATGAGCATATGCATATATATATATATATATATATATGTATATTTGTCATGGGTTAATGAAAAATATGACAGTCAAAATAGACTTATTGGCCTGAAACAGTTGGGAGGTCCCTGCTTAGAAGTCACTTCTTTCAGTGACCAAGACTAGGTGCAGCACCTCTGTCTGTATACCCCTGTGACTTGCTCTCCTTATCTCTGTCTGTGCTGTTCACACAGTCACACTGCCCTTTTTTTTTTTTTTTTTTTTTTGCAGTCTCACCCTACCAAAGTCTTTAAATGCAGCACTTGCTTGCTATTCCTACAGCTTCTAGGAACATTCATTCCTATTATTAAGTTAAACCTCAAAGTTAATGCTAAATTCATGTGAAAGTAAAACAAAAATATTTTATAAAAAACAGCACTACTAAGTGACATTATGTAGTAAATCCCATACAATTAATCAATCTTGCACTGATATGAAGTTTACACCATTTGCCAACAATTCTATGAAATATAATTGAAATATATATTCCCATCTAAATGGGAATTGGGAAATTTAAGTGTTTTCTGCCTTTTGTCAAAATAAGTTTTCTAAATTTTGCTCAAAATTGCCTTAAATAAAATGCATGCTTTTTTTGCATAAATCAGGCCACTGACTTCTTTTTATGTTCTTTAAATTTGATTCATTAGTGAAATTAGCAAGGTACTGTGTTTTTCTCACCTCATTCAGTTTTATAATTAACCAATAAAAGCTTATTAGGTTTTAAGGAAGTTTTAGGAGCATGAATTGATTTATGGACACCATCTGGTTACATCAAAGGATTTGTTTTTGTTTTAACTTGAAGTGAATTCTTAAGCTCTTTAAGTTGAAATTTATGTGCTTGAGCTACCAGCAGTAATTTTGGAACAAGAATAATTTTTTTTTATTACAACTTACCAAAATTGGTCATACTATTCAAAGGATTTTAGGATCTTCTAATTCTTCTGATTTAATACATCTCATTTTGAAGAAAGGTTAAAAGTATTCCCAAGGTCAAACAGCTAAAATCACTGCCAAATCAAGAACCGAATCATAGACTTTCTGCATTCCAAGTTTAGTACTCTTTTCTTTTCACTAAACTAATTGAAACTAAATTGAAAGTTACTTGCTGTGTGTTGTTCTGACAATATAAGTATTCAGGTAAGTATTCTTGCGTCAACAGCTATTTTTTCAGAATTGTGAATATGTGGGGACATACATTTTATATCTAACATATATATACAAATTGACATCAGTAGTTATTACCTGATATACAATTTGAGTAGGGACTCACCAAGTCCCCACCACAAAAATTTCAAATTTCACCCTTTTAAAAAAGTAAAAAAGCAAGACAAAATTTATAGATTTCAGTGGATTTAATATTTGTAGTATTTTAAAATTTTACTTAATGTTGAGCGGTTTTCAAGTGGCCTCACGTTGATTATAACCTCATACACGAAAGACCTGTTCTTTCAGTGTAGTTCAATACCTTAAAAGTTGTTGAACTCTGCACCTTTGTAGGCAAGAGGCAAACCATGTAAAGATTTCTAGTTTTCTTTCCTACTCCTTACCTTAGAGGGCCACAGTTTTTAAACATTTTTAATTTGAAAAGTAATACATATATTTGGTAATACAAAAACTAAAATGCAAAGGAATGTACTTTTTGTTTTTTTGAAGGTTTCTAGGTGTTGAATCCAGAACCTTGTGCTTGCTAGGAAGGCACTCTACCACATGAACCATGCCTCCAGCCCTTTTTTGCCTTGGTTATTTTAAAAATAGGGTCTGCCTTTATGTCTGGGTCAGCCTGAACTGTGAACATCCTATTTATGCTCACTCGTGTAACTGGGATGACAGGCTTGAACCACAGTGTCTACCCATTGGTTGAGATGTGGTCTCGTGAACATTTTTGCCCTGGCTACCCTTGAACTGTATGATTCTTCCCATCTTCCTCCCAAGTAGCTAGGATTATAAAAGGCTTTCTCCACCACGCTCATCTACAAAGGGATACACCCTGACAAATGATTCTTCTTGCCAACCTTGAACTGTAGTCATCATTAATATAAAACCTAGATTGTACCTGTTTTCATTTTAAATCTTGGAGACTTTTTCATCAGTACATATAGTACTCTGTTGATAGACACTTGTTTCTTCTCGGTATCAATGCTACATGAGTATATAGTGTGTATAAGTCTGTACACAAGAATGTATCTTAAAATAGATTTCTAGAAAAGGTATGGCTAAAACCAGAAGACACTTGTATTTAAATTTGTGAGAGTTAAGGTCATAGCTAAATGAAATAAGATTAGCTATGCTAATGTTCCTCCAGAGAGAATTACATCATTTCCTTTAGTAGGAATGTGTGCCACTATCCAGTGAGAATCGCAACTAAAAACTAAGAATGAAAGCAAAACTAAGATTTTTGTTTCTGAGTTTTATGTGTTGGTTAATACCTTAAAAGTTTCATTTCCCTTCATAATAATGTTCTAGAAAACATGTGTCCTCACTCATTCTAAAATTTGCTACATCATTAACTCTGTATCTATGCTACAATGTTACACTCAGCCAGAACTTGATTTGAAATAGACAGTGTTATCACTTGACCACAGTAACTACTGAATGCTTCTTTGTGTTTAAATCTGTATGCTTTTCTTTGTAAACTGACATGATCTTGTATATTTGTGCACCTCATAAAAATGAGTGCACAAAAATGATACTCATGGTGGCCCTGGCAACATTGTAAAATTAAGATTCAGAAAAACACAGGGAAAATTACAGATACCAACTTCCAGGATTTATTTTCCTTGCCCAATATGAGAAAATTTATTTCTAAATTTATGGCCTCTGTTAAAGAAAAGAATACTGAAGATAATACAATAGATTTTATTCAGAAGGTTTCTACATATTTTAATGTATTTCTTGCCTCCTAGTGTTTCTGGAGTGAATTAAGTCATTCAGAGAGTAATAATCTGGATTGTATTTGTGTAGTCAGATTTATATAATCTTCATTGCAAATGCTACATAATGTCTTTGACAAATAATTATGAAGGAAAAAGGAAAACAAAAGGTATAACTGGTTAATAAGGAAAAGTCGGCCTCTAAGAAATACCAAAGTAGGTATTAGTAACAGAGTTACGACGGTAGATAGAAATGACTTAAGAGAATCCCAGCATTTTCTACCAACCTCTGCATTGTTAATTAGCGGTTGTCATCAGCTGGAACAAACCTAGTTACCACCATTTTTAATGTTTTGGGTGTTCTTGATTTATTTCAAAAAGCTGACTAATGAAAGAAATGAAGAGAACTTTCTATGAATTATCCTGTATTAACTCATAATATATTGTTTGAAATACTGTTCTGTTCTTGTTTTTTCTGACAATTTTCTATAAAGCATGTTTCAAATTATAGCAGATAATCGCCAGAATGGGAGTCAATGACTTGTGGCAAATTTTGGAGCCTGTTAAGCAGCACATACACTTGCAGGATCTTGCTGGGAAAACCATTGCAGTTGACCTGAGTCTCTGGGTGTGTGAGGCACAGTCAGTCAAAAAAATGATTGGAATTGTCATGAAGCCCCACCTCAGGTATAGGAAAAATTTTTGTAATATAAATGCATGCTTATATTAACAGTCTTGGTGCCTTGGTTTTGTTTCAAATTTAATTCTTTTTTTGCCTGTTTCGTATTTTATTTTAAAGTATATTTAACATATCTAGGACTGTCATTTTTATTGATGGCTTAGAGACTGTTACCTCTTATGTTTGAACTCCAGGCCCTCCTATCTATCTCCTAATAACCACTAGAATGCTCCCATCACTAAAAGTCAAAACTTTGAGAGACATTATCTCCCTCTTTTACCTCTCCCCCACACCCAGTCCATCAATAACTCTTTCCAGTTCTTCTCCTAAATTACACTTGGTACTCACAAACTTTTCTCAGTTTCTAGAGATAGCAACTCATTCTGTGCCAACCTCATTTCTCATCTGAACTGCTGAAAGGACATCTTCACTCATTTCCTTTCCTCTGTTCTTGGCCTCCTATTCCAAGCCAGTTTCCACATAGCAAAGTCTCCCTTGCTTAAAATACTCAGAGGTTTCCCACTCCACTTAGATAAAGTCTTAGTGTAGTCTATAAAACATTTTTGTGCATAACATTTTGATACTAGCTAGATGTTATGCTATCTGGACTTTTGCTCTCTCTCTATATATATCAATGTATTAATATATCACTAATTTATATATTTCAGGAACTTATTTTTTCGTATTTCGTGTTTAACGCAAATGGGTGTGAAATTAGTGTTTGTTATGGAAGGGGAACCACCAAAGCTGAAAGCTGATGTCATGAGCAAGAGGAATCAGATGCGTTATGGACCTTCGGGGAAAACATGGTCGCAGAAAACAGGGAGATCACAATTTAGCTCAGTCTTAAGAGAGGCAAGCATTCAGATTCAATTAATCATTTTTATTTGGATTGAAGAGTTCTTTTACTTTAATAAAGCTTGTAAACTTCAACACTCATTAACTGTACTAGGAAAAGAGTGTATGTTTTAAAGTAAAACTGACCTGAGTTCGATTCCTGGCACTGGCATTTAGAAATTCTGCCAATACTGGGCAGGACTTTTATGTGGACTTCAGTTCTTATTGGTAATACTTAACAGCAATGCAATAAAAATTCTAGAAAATATGTCTAAAATAACTAGTACATAGTAGGGACTCTATCATCTTACCTTTTGTAAAATCTGTAGTACATAAAGAATTCCAAGGATATATGAGAGCTCATTAATTCCTACTTCACACATTCAAAATTTATGATAGCTCTTATATAGAATACATATTTGGCTTCCCTTAGGGCATGTAATTTTAAAAAGTAATTGTTAAAAATCTATTATTTATTACTTGTAATATTGTACTTTATATTTTTGTAAGGAAGAAATCATCCAAAATAAGATTTTATATGTTTTTTTAATTTACTTATTTATTTTGGTGGGACTAAGGTTTGAACTCAGGGCTTCACACTTGCAAAGCAAGTGCTCTACTATTTGAGCCACACCTCCAGTCCATTTTGCCCTGGTTATTTTGGAGATGGAGTCTTAGGAACTATTTTGCCCTGACTGGCCTCAAATCAGGATCCTCTGTATCTTGGCCTCCCAAGTAGCTAGGATTACAGACATGAGCCACTGGTGCCCAGCCTCAAATGTATATTTTTAAAGTGTTTTAATAGGGCACAAACAATTTTTATTGTGGGCTTTTCACTTAGCATATCATCTGCATAGTTCCCATGAGCCATATTGTACTCAGACCATAACTTGTAGTGGTTGTGTGACATGTATGAAGCTGTGAATCAATCTCAAGATTGTGCACATCATTTGTACTTTAGTTTTTCTCCATTATACTTGAAATAATGGTTGACATTTTTTGTGCATACAGCTTTTTCTTATGATTTTGGATTTTAGATTAAATTACCCGAAGTAGAATTAATAGACTAAAGTTTGGATTTTTTTTTTTTTTTGGCTGTAGCTGATTACTTTCTAGCAGTACAGATACAATTTCTGTGCATTCACGACAACTCCAGATGTTAGATTTATCATCATGCTACACAAAAGCAATGCTATATCATTTAGTGTATAATTGTAGCAGTGAGTTAAACATTTTTACCCTCTTTAGGTAACAACCTTCATGTCCTTTACCTGCTTATCTCTTGAGGTTTTAATTTTTTGTTTTGTGCAAGCTTTTCCAATATTAACAATATAAACCTAATATTATGTTTGAATTCACTTCCCTGGTTTTCTTTATTTTGGTTAAACATTCATTTATTTTAAAAGGCACTGCATAAATTAGTAGTCGTTTTTCTCTTCTCTGAAGTGTCTCCTGTTTTCTTTTCTTAAAGTAGTTTTCAGTTACTTAATATTCCACCTTAATAACTGTCAGTAGATGAAATAAGGATCTATATTGTACTCTAATTATTTCTTGTGAAATTAGTTCCCGAAAAGTACCCATGGACCTCTTACTTGGGACATCAAGTGCCCAGTATCTCCATCTATCTTGCCTTCAGAGAATTGTTCCATTCGTATTTCTGTATTGCAGTCATTACAGTGCTTTTTGACAGTTTTGTGTCAGTTCAGTGTTGCTCATCTATTACCATTTCGGATGTCTGCACTCCCATACACCCCCATGTCCTTTTAATCTACTGCCTGTCTTTAAGTAGGAAAAGCACAAATTAGTCTTCCCGCAGCACTACCACCATCCTGTATGATAGAGACATACAGGAGGAAAAAATCAGAACCAGCTTCATCACAACTTCTGTTTAGGTTCTTTGAAAGGAGTTGTAATAACAAATGGTGCCAGAAGCTGAAATAACTTTGCTAATTATGAAAAGACACTTCTTATCTAAGGTCAAGGTAGAAGCAATGCCTGTGGCAAAACTCTCTTTAAAAACCTGGCTAGTATCCTGAGAAGTAAAACTTTGTCCTTTTTTTGGAGGAGGGGGCACTTCGAGACAAGCCCTGCTATGTAGCCCAGGCTGTCCTCAGTCTGGTAATCCTACTGCTTCTGCCTCCCACGTTTTGTGATTGCAATCATATACCTCCACACCCAGCAGTACTTTGTCTTTTTGAACCTTGTCCACCTTGGGCAACATCTGGCAGAAGTTTGTTTATGTAATCATGCAAGCAATTAATCAGTCTGATGAGAGATGTTTATTCTACCAGTTTGTAGAAAGTACTGGTGAATAGCCTCTTTTTTCCCAGCATACTCAGTATTCATCAATACAGAAAGAGTAATACATGACCAGAAAGATCAACTAGTCCTTAAAAGGTTTTCCAGAATGTGAAGCTAATAGCATTGAACAAAACAATGACAATCAAACATGGATTACTTTGTAATTGGCATTAAAAATATGAACTTTTATGACAAAACAATGGAAAGGTAATCTATTACCATTCTTAATTATCATCTCTTGATACATCTTGTTTCATCTATGTCCTTAACCACTGCTCTACTCCCACATTATTTTGAAGCAAATCCCAGTTGTAATACTGCATAATTTTCAGTTATCTCATTGTCACTCTAAAAGATGACTCTTAGAAAATAAATATAACCATAATATGATTTTTATTATCCCACCTAAAAGTTTGGCAACTGTTCCTTAGTCCCATCAAGTATTCAGTTTCAGTTTTCCAAGTGTTTCTGAAATCCTGTGATTTTTAAAATACCTAAATGGCTACTGCTAATATTTCTAATATAGAAGTAAATTAAACAACGGAGAAATTTAATTCCTTGCACCTGCTTTTTGTTTTAGTGCCTTGATATGCTCGAATGCTTGGGCATCCCCTGGGTTCAGGCTGCTGGGGAAGCTGAAGCCATGTGTGCTTACCTCAATGCGGGTGGTCATGTGGATGGCTGCCTCACCAATGATGGGGATGCTTTCCTCTATGGGGCCCACACTGTTTACAGGAATTTCACTATGAACGTCAAGGTATGTTTTTCTTTCTCGCCTCAGTATTGGTTTGCAAGTTACCTTTTGTGTTAAAGGGTTAATTAAATGAAGTATGTGTAAAATGCTTACCATAATGCCTGGCAAATAGCAATTAGTAAGTAAGTGTTTCCTGTTCCTAAAATCATTGCTGTACACTTCACGAAGCTAGAAGGGATTTTTGACAGTTTTCACCATAAATAAATGATAAATATTTTGAGATATATCAGTAACCTGAATTAAATATTATATGCACATTGTATACATTTATCAATACAAGTGATTACATGGTACCCTTCTAATAGGCACATTTTTAGTGATTTTTACATAATCAATTAAAAATAAATTTTTAGTTATTGCGACAAGGTTCACGCTCCTAAAAATGTGGATTTCTCTACTTAATACTGGGCTTATTCACATGGTTTAGTTCTAAATCACTTTCAATGGTATGTTACAAAATTGTATGTGAGTTGTAATGCCTTCACCAGAATTTTCAGTTTTACTATTTTATGCTCAAAAACACCTCTGGATACTCAAGGCAGGGTGTTCCCAGTAGCATTGTTAATAATTACAAAAATTTAGCAAAGCAACCTAAATGCTCATAGGGGAATGGTTAAATGCTTTATAGTTATGGTTCACAGCTGGAGTACTGTCAGTGGACTGGGAAAGGGAGGGAATCTATACCTAGATATTTGGTGGTTTGGGAGGAGGTTGTCTAAACCTTCTGTCAGACAATCCTCTTACCCCTCCCAAAATACTGGTAGTGCCCTCACTGAGAAATACTACCTCAAAGTCCATAAGATTCAATACTACACAGTCATTTATGTATATTGACATAAAGATATCCAGGAATATTATTGGGGGAAAATGTTATGAAATAGCATTTTTATATAGTTCTACTTTTACATAAAAATAGTAGTAAATATTAGTGTATAGCTGTCAGAGAAAAATGGGAGTTTTTTTGGAAGAATATGCACCAACCTACTAATAACAGTTAAATGTAAGTACCACAATTACAAGGAATGTTTATTTTCGGTTATATGCATTATACAGTACTATATACCTTTTTCCGTACCTAGAAGCAATCAAGGGAAAAATTGCCCACTATGGTTTATTTTCAGAGCCATTTTTTGAAACTATGACTTTATTTTCATCTATCCAAATGTCAGATTCTATGAAGATTCTGGTGATCAAGATAATTTTTTAGGAATAAGCATTTAAAGATAATTTTGACAAATTTTTCATTGTAATATCATTTAATGTGTAAAACACCTTTTGAGGATTCAACTAAATTTACTTTCTTTAGGACCCGCATGTTGACTGTTACACTATGTCATCCATCAAGAATAAACTAGGTTTGGATAGAGATGCTCTGGTTGGACTAGCAATACTTCTTGGCTGTGATTATCTTCCAAAGGCAAGCTGAAATCATATTTATTTTCTTTTCATAGTGTGTCTTTCTGGTACCTTTCATGCTGTTATATGATTAAGAATCTGAATTAAAATACAATTTTAAGCATAATAAGCCATGTGGTAACTAAAATGATCAGCATTTCAGATGGTGTTAAAAAGCTGACTTGTGATTCCAAATGTTGTAAATGAGAACAGGATAATAAGTAGAACCACAGAATAATAACCTCAGTAAACCGTTACTCTAGGTGAAGAGATTCATATTGAAGTTTGACTACCCTTTCAAAGAAACATAGGAGTTGCTCTTTTCTTGTATCATTCTGTTGTTAGTTTCTATCATTCTTTTGTCTGTTTTTTAGTTTTCAGTATCCATTATAGCTTTCCAGTTGTGCATATGCTCAGTATTATTACTGTTGCTAAGCAACATGATGATCGAGATAAACCATTCATACTTCCATGCCTTTCAGTATTGCATTGGGTTTTGTTCATTAGAACATTTTGTTAATGTCTTAGTATAAACAATATAATACTCTGCACCAAATAGGTATAACAGGGTGAGTGATAAGAATCATAAGAATAAATTTCTTAAGTACTATATATAAAAATTAAAATGACAGCTTGGTCTTACTATATAATCCTATCATTATGTCTCCACCAGTCATCTCTGTATCCTTATACTTAACCTCTATTTCCAAGAGAAGCGCAAAGAAGAATAGCATGTAATTTTCTTTATCACTTATGCCCAGGAGAAAGGAGAAAAATAGTAGGATAGTAAAATTATTAACCCTGATTATAACTTAAGTCTTCAGTAACCAAATATAGAAATCAGTGATATTTTTTTCAAGCTGGTAAAAAAAAGAAAGCAGGTACCTTTAAGTACCATAGACCATTATTTTATTGTAAGTCTCCAATAAGCCAGAAATTATGACATGTTTATGTATATGAACTTTGTGCATTAGAAATTAGCACTTTAATTTTCTTAGGATTTTACTATCAAGAGTTAACTTAGAAGTCTCCTTTTGAGGTCAGGGTCTTTAAATATTAAATGTTCATATAATTAAATAAACCTGATTTTCCTGATTATAATCATAATATAAAATTAAGACAAAATATTATCACAGCAAAGTAAGTGAACACCATCTAAAATAATATTCCTTTCTCCCCTAGAGAAAGGTTTGGTATGTAACTTTTTGTTTACATAAACTAACAGTGTAATTGTTATTTAACTTGCATGTTCAATCACACCATACACTGTTGTGAAGTTTTACATATAACATGTATCTTGCACATTTTTTTCTATCATTAAGCAGTTACCTCATTCTGTGTTTCAGCTGCACAATGTTCCATTGAATTAATGTACTGCACTTTAGCCAAATAAAGTGTAAATAAAGCTGAATAATATTTTGCCTAATTATTAATATTTGAATTTGTTTTTCCACTTTGAAAGGGAGTTCCTGGAGTTGGAAAAGAGCAAGCATTAAAACTTATACAGACTTTGAAAGGCCAAAGTTTGCTTCAGAGGTAACTAAAAATGACTTTTTCTTCCAGTATTAGACTTTTATTTTTGTTAAACTTAATAATGAATATTACAAATGGATTATGCTTTCCTAAAAAGTTTTTATATTTTTAAAGTATTTCATGTTTTCATTTAAAATATTTTTATTTTTATTAATTTTGAAGTTTTCCAAAGGAAGAAAGAAAATATGTGTTCTGAGCCACACTATATTTTAAAAAATACACTATTAGCTCACTAAACACATTAATATGGTGTCAAATGCATTTACTTATAACCAAGGGTATTTTGCCATAGGCTTATTTTATACTGTTTGATCACCAAGTAAAAGTAAACATGACATTAAAACATCTTCATAAGCTGGGCATGGTTGTTCACACCTGTAATCCCAGGTACTGAGGAGGCAGAGATCAGGAGGATCATGGTTAAGTCCAGCTGAGGCAAAAAGTTAGTGATACTCCTCTCTCAACAAACAAGCTGGATGTTGTGGCATGTCCTTGTCATCCCAGCTATGAAGGAGAATCATGGTCCAGGTCAGCCCAGGCAAATGTGTAAAACTCTATTTGAAAATAACTATAGCAAGAGCCAGGTGCCAGTGGCTCACACCTGTAATCCTAGCTACCCAGAAGGCAGAGATTAGGAGGTCACAGTTTGAAGCCAGGCTGGGCAACTAGTTCATGAGACCCTATCTCGAAAAAATCTATCACAACAGAGGGCTGGTGGAGTGGCTAAGGTGTTGGCCCTGAGTTCAAACCCCAGTACCGTTTAAAAAAAAAAAAAACCTAAAGCAAAAAGTGGCTGGGAGTGTTTGCCTAACAAGTACTAGGTCCCGAGTTCACCAAAAATAAAATAATTTTACATTTAATATCTTAATATTGTATTTACATTCTATAAATTAGATGCCTGTAGCATCTAATAATTTAAAATTATTTAAATTTATTTTAAATAAAATAAAAATTGTATTTTTTATTTAAATAAAAAATTATTATTTTTAAAATAATTTACTATTTAATAAATAATTATTATTTTTAAAATAATTTATTATTTTTTATTTGAATAAATATACAGCCAGATGTGATGGCACCCGGCTGAAACTCTAGCTGCTCTGGAGGTGGAGATCAGGAGGATTGTTTTTCAGGTTGAAATAGTAAGATCCCATTTCAACCAATAAACCAGGTGTGGTGGTATGAGCTGTGACCCTATCTGTGCAGGAGGTTTAGATAGGTGGGTCACTGCAGCTGAGGGTGGCCCCCCAAAAAATTATGAAACCCTACCTGGAAAAATAAGTAAAAAAGGGCTGCAGGGATAACTCAAGTGGTGAAGCACTTACCTAGGAAGTACAGAGCCCTGAATTTCAACCCTTATGGTGCCCCAATTTTTTTTTTAACTTCAGCCTTTGTTCTGCAGCTACACATTTTATAATACATTAATTAGAATTATATATTATGTTATATATACATAATATATAATATATATGTGTTATATAATATATTATATTATAATACATTAATACATATATTAATATGTATTAATGTATTATAATATAATACATTAATTAGAATTAGAATTAATTTGGGCTCTGAAGTTTGCATATTCAAACCAACTAAAATACAGATTATGTTGAAGTTTACAAACTATGCTGTTTACTCTCCTAAAAGCATGCGAATTATCTTTACTTGCTGAAAGCAATGGTTTATAAAAGTTAATATTGACAACAATAAGGTAGAGAATAAATCAGAAAGAAAGGAGACTAAGAGACTTAACAGCCTTGGCCCCACTAGGCTTGACATGGTGAGTGACTGCCTAATTTTTATTAGTTTAGACTAATTTTCCTTAGCTTTTAATTTTTAAGCCCTCTTATTTATCCAGAAGCAATTAATATGAATTAATATGAGTAGCAATTCTACTCAGTCTTGGTAGTAAATGAGTTAAAAGTTCCAAAAGCAAAATGATTACTCTAAGTACCATATATTACACTAAGTGGCTTAAGTGAAGGCGTGACCATAAATGATATCTCATATCAACTGTACTCTTCCCTATAATGCTTCTCTTTCAGCTATAAGCTATTTGACAGATCTAAAACTAAAATCCACTATTGATATCGGTGGTCATTGTGCCAAAGCAGGAAAGAATAGGTATACTTTGTTACAGGGTGAGTAAAAGAATCATTTGAGAATTATCAAGAATAATAAAAGAAAGAAAAGCAGGCAAATACCTGACTAATTCCAAGATGTTCTTACTGAAACAGTTTCAGCAAATATGTATTTTTGGCACTATTTCATAAGGGTTTAATACTTAAAAAAATTAGAATGGATAATTATGTTTGTTAGTCTAGACTAATTTTCCCTAGTTTTTAATTTTCAAAGCTCATTTCTTACTTATCCAGAAGCATTAACTATGAATTTTTAGGAAGTTTATACTTAGTCTTGGTAGTAAATGAGTCAGAAGTTCCAAAAGCTAAATAATTATTCTGAGTACCAGATATTACCCAGTGAACTGAAGAGATAATTTAGATTTTTATTAAAACTTTGACTTCTGTGTGTAGAGGATCATAATTCAGAATATTCAGTGCTTTATAATTAATACCTAACTACCCTTGGCAGTTTTGTATTAACCCAGAACTTTAGCCAAAAATGAAATTAACTTTATTTGCTAGTAATCTTACAGTAGCATACATTTTTCTTAAAATCTTTCATTAAATAAGCAATGTTGTTTTGCTATTTGTTATTTCAAATAATCTGAATTTTAAGAGTTTTTACCCAGCAGCTTAATGTTTTCATTGACTTTGTACATTACTCTTTACTCTTATTTCTGATACAGAAAAATGTTTGTGTACACAATTCTGTTTTGTTTTATATTTGGCACACATAGAAGAGATCAAAGACATATATTCAAATCATTTGCCCTATGTGTTAGTGCCTACCAAGCTTCTTAAAAAAGACTGAATGAATATGATTACATATACATTTATATAGATAAACACACTTCTTTTGCAGTTCTTTCACCTTTAGGGGGCACATTTAAAACTTGTGGCTGAGAACTTTCCTAGGGTAGGCCATCAAATTTATCTACCACGAAAGGGAAAATAATCTTGGCAGATAAAAGGTTATAGAGTAGAATGACATGGTATTTTCATGACCTTCTTTTTTCTCTTTTCAAACATTTTCTATTAAAGGTTTAATCAGTGGAATGAAAGACCTTGTTACTCTATTCCACAACCAGTAATACCTAAAAAACTGACTCATTGCTCTGTGTGTTCCCATCCAGGTAAGCAAACACAGGGAATATCTGTAGACTATTAGAGCCTGAAATCCACACTTTCATTTCCTTCTTAGTGTACATTTTCATGCCTGATAGCACTTTGAGGTTTTTTATGTAGTCTTCCCCTCAACATTGAGAACACCTTGTAGTCAGGAGTGAGTTACACATACTAGGCGCTCAATAAATGTTTCCTGAATGAAATAATGTGATGGAAATGATAAATATAGGATAATTACAATTTCAAACTATGATAAATTTTTGATATATGAATTCATCTCAAGAAAAATGTCAAGGGAAAATGAGACTGAAACTATGGGATCAGTAATTTGCATTTATATACTTAAATGATTCTTCGTTGTCTTATAATATGTTTTCTACTGGGCATAAGATAATGATTTAAAATTAATTTATAATGTATGCTCACTTTCATTGAATATACATTGGATCTTCGTTAGTCTTGGTGAAAAAAAGATAACGTAGTCAGAAAGGCTTTCAGTCCCAAAAGAGATTAGGAGATCATGTTAGTTCATCTCTTAAAGGAAATTCAGCTTTATCTATGTTTCTTAATATGTTTTCATTAACACTGCTAAATTTTAAGTGAAATCATGGAAGAAAATAAATGTTCTTATAAATAAAATGCCACTTATAGTCTTCTATTACTAAAAATTTTAGGTCATATCAAGTATTGTACTCTTCTATATTCCCGAACCATTGAAAGTTGTCACACTTTCCTTTTAAAGAAAACTATGACCCTGCACCTGTGCTGCATCACACTCAGCTCATGTTCTGAGAATAGTTTAAAAATAGCTCTATGTGTAACTGAGCTACACACTTGGAGAGGTCATTAAGTGACATATTCTTTTAATATATTCATTAAAGAAACCATTTCTTGAATTGTTCCACTAAGTAAATACCTTTTTTTACTACCAATTGTGTTCTACTTTTCCAGCATGTAGTTACTACAAAAGCCAGGAAGTTTGTGCATTATCGATTATTATGAATTTATAATTTCAAGGTGCAAAATTAATGCTTTCAAATAGAAGAGCAATCATTTTAATGTCATGTGATAGTAATAGCTGAAGCTCCACTTACCCCAATCCAAAGAGCATACATTGTGCAATTCAACCTAAACGTACTGAAACCTTTATGCTAGTTAGACACCGTGCTAGGAACGATTAATTTTTGAAAATTTAAACAATAGCAAAAGAATGCATCTAGAAGATAATTCCAAAAACCAGTGAAAATTATACTTCTTTGTGTCTCCATAAAGGTTCGCCTAAGGATCACGAACGTAATGGATGCAAATTTTGTGAGCGTGATAGGTACTGTGAACCACATGACTATGAGTACCACTGTCCTTGTGAATGGCATGAGAGGCAGCTACAGGGTGTGGAGAACAATATCAAAAAGTAAGCTTTCTTAAACACTCAGGTTTTTCTGGCGTGACCGGTATACACGCCTGTGGTTGAATTATTTCCATGTTAACTTCCCCCCACATGCCTGTGTAAGCCGCATCTCAAAAATACTCTTCTTAGTTCTGTTAAAAAAAAAAAAAAAAAAAAAACCATTTCAGAAGGTAGTGATTTAATAATTATTCAAAGAAATCTTAATGACTAGTTAAAATACATTGATTTTTTTCATTAAGTGAGAGGAGATTGGATAAGATTATTTTATTTTTTTTGTTTTTATTGTGCTAAGTAGGGGTACATTGTGGCATTTACAGAAATTCTTCCAATGTATCAAATATATCATACTTGAATTCAGCTCCTCCATCATTCTCCTTTATCCTCCTTCCCCCCCATTCCTAGAATAGTCTCAACAGGTCTCATTTTCTCATTTACATACACGAATAGCATAAGATTATTTTAGCATCTGTCTAAAATTGCCTGATTTTGTAGTAACATATATGTAACTTATTCTCAGGAAAGCTTGCAGTTGTGAGGGATTCCCATTCCATGAGGTAATAATTAATTCAATTATGTATTAATTTCACAATATTTTAGATGTTTCAAAATTCTGATTTCTTGCTTATTTTCTCTAGGTCATTCAAGAATTCCTTTTGAACAAGAATAAATTGGGGAAGGTCATCAGGTACCAAAGACCTGATTTATTATTATTTCAGGTATCTGAAAATAAACTGTATAATACAAAGATAGGAAGGCATAGTCACTTTGATTAGTCCTAGAGGAAGTTAAAAATTAAAACGGCTGTGGACCATCCATAAACTCAGCATTTATTTCTAATCATTGCTCCTTTGCCACTCCGTGGCCACATTATGCAGACATAAGGCAAACCACAGTTATGCTGGTTTTTAGAAGATGTCTTAAGTTACCGTCTACAGATGTGTTGTATCCAGAGATATGTGTGTGAGGAGAGGAGCTCACAACTGGAGAGCATCAGGATCAAGTATATTCACTGTGGAAGGCAATACAGTTTTCAAAAGTACTGAGATTTGAAATTAGTAACCTACATGTAAATTTGCACAGTCTTTCATTGACTGTATGACCCAGGATATGTATTATTCTCATGCAGCCACCATGAGGGTTAAATGAGATTATGTATATTGACCCTAACATAGTTAGGGGCACAGAGTGGTTCAACAAGTAGCAAATACTTGGTGTTTACCTCTACCAACAACCATAATAATACCACAGTAATGGCAGTCATCATTTATTAGACACATAAAAACTACTACATTTAATACCTTACATATATTCTCACTTAATCGTCACAGTCTGTAAACCGAATTACATTAACACCATTTTATAGATGGAGAAACTGAGCCTACAATAAGTTAATAACTTAACCAGCATCCAGCAAATACTATACCAGCATTCTGGTCAAGAACCCTTACAACTTCATTATTATCTAATACTTTTTCTTTAGGAAGCTCATTATTCTTTCTGGGAATATTTTAATTAATATTGCTTTAACATTAATTCTAAAAGAAAAAAATAATATCACCTGAGAGTACTATTTGTCTCCAAGAATTTTTTTAAGTCTTGTTTTCTTTTTATTATAATTATAGAGATTCACTCTTGAAAAAATGGAGTGGCCCAATCACTATGCATCTGAGAAATTGCTGATGCTCTTGACCCGCTATGACATGATAGAAAGGAAACTTGGAAGAAAGAATTCTAGTCAACTGCAGCCAATTCGGTAATGTAACTTAAAGAATTGTTTGATGAAGACCGTGTGTTTCCATTTGAATATTTTATGATCTAAAATGTGTTAATGTCTCCAACAGTGGGATACATAGCTCTCTGTTTTCTTAAGATTTAGGAAAGGCCACCTAGAATATTAAAATCCTATGCAGGGCTCACAGTCAAGATGATATAGTAAGTTCGTGCTTTGAAATACTTTGCAACTTCAAACACATAGTAATCATAAATTATATAAACAAATAAATATAAAAAAGAGACACCCAAGTTTAACAAAACTGTTTACTGAAACAGCAAAGGAACAAAAGCTCAAAGTGAATGGGACTGAGACTGGTTTTACAGAGCCCTAGACTAGGAACAACAGCAGCATCTAAGAGGTAAGACATCAAGAAGTAAAAGAAAGATAGGGACCAAAATTGCAAGATGGAATCAGGCTTATTTCTTAAAACCCAGCAATGAGGCTAGAATTCTCTGTTCCTGACAGGTTGGAGGTTGGGCTAAGTGATTAAAACAGTTACTAAAGCCTACTCAACAAGGACTAGAGAAAATAGAAGTGAAGACAGAGATAAAATATAAAAAAAGAAGAACAGAAGAAAAAAGCCACATCTTCTATGAAGAAATATAATAGTTCAAAACACAACAGTGTGTTGAATTCATGAATTCACTCCAGATTAGTTTTGTAAAGCAGTCACTATTCTGATAAAAGTTTTTTGAGGGTTGGGAAGGTTTTCAAAATGCTAGAAAGCTCAGTGAAATGAAGATACATATCCTTAAAAGAGATAATGAGGAAAATGGGCAGAAACAATTTTAAATAAATGAGTATAAAAAGTGAATTATTAGAAATCTTAAAAGTTAAGAAAATTAGTTGTTTAAATAAAAAGCAGTAGATGGGACTCCAGACTGAAGTTGGTCAAAGACAGTGAGGGAATTGAAACTGTTAAGTCACACAGAAGGCAGCTTGAAGACTCAGATAAAAAATATTTCAGAGTAGTTTTGTCTTGGAGACCAATTTAATTAAGAATGTCCAGTATATTTCTATAAGCTAAAAAGAAAGGTGGAGAAATAATTTTTGAAGCGATGCTATCTGAGCATTTTCTAAAATTTAAGACAGAAATTCTTAAATTATACTCTAAGTATAAGCACAATAAATGAAATAAATCCAGCATACTGTAGACATCAAATGTAAAAGAAAAAAAAAATCTTAAAATGTGCCAAACCATTGAGGAAAGAATTATCAATGAATGTCAAAAACCTTAATAAAAAAATTGCAGGAAAAAGAGAATAGTCATTGTCTGAAGTATCACTCTACAGATTATTACAAAGAAAAATGGTACCGTCAAAAGTGGACTTCAGTGTAACTGAACAAGCAAGGGTTAATAATAGGCAGTAGGGCAGAATCATGTCCCTCCTGTTATGGTAAAGTAGGAAAGACAGCATTGTCTATGTAGTATTTTTGTCAGAAATTTAGTCTGAACTTGAATCCAATCCAAAGTGAGGAACGTTCTGCTGAACTGCCGTTCTAGACTCCCTGGAAATAAAAATGTCACAACATAAAACAAAACAAAACAAAAAGCCAGAAAGGTCTTCTGGATTAAAGGGAATTAAAGAGACATGATAATTTGAGCAAAATTTAAGCATTCTGGATTTTCTTTAAGCCAGAAATTATATTTTTAAGTACAGTGGGAAAATTTTAGTATGAACTCCACATTAGATAATAGCATTATCTCAGTGCTCATTTCCTGAGCATAGGGTTGTGTCATGACTGGAGGAGGTTATTGTACGTATTCAGGGATGACATCATGAGGCATGTCTGCAGCTAACTTTCAAATGGAGAGAAGAGAAGTCAATGACCCGTGAATCCTGATGAAAGTGTGTGAGTAATCATTATACTGTTGCAACTTTTCTAAAGGTTTGAAAATGCCCAAAATAAAAAGTTTGGAAGGGAATAGGGAAGAAAAAAGAGAAAATACAAAGGAATGACAATCTGATAGCACACATCTTTCATAACAGTAACATATGCCGAAAAAAATATGGAGTAATACTTCAAAGTACTGACAAAATAACTGGAAACCTAGAAATTACTAAATGTTTTTCACAGGAAAGGCATTTTCAGACATAATTAGACTAAGATTTTGCCATTCATAGATCCTCATTAAAAGTACTATTATAGGATATAGTTAAAGAAAAAAAAAGTGAAAGCGGGGGGAAGACATGGATTATGAGAAACAGTGGTCACAGAAATTGGTATGTCTAATTTAATAAATTGACTAGAAAAATAATTATAAATATCTATGTTTAGTAATTAATAAATTACAAAGATAAACTAACATTCTAAAATATTTAGAGATTTTAAGTGATGAGTCTAAGATGTTTGATTATATACTTCACATATTCTACTGTATCATCATCATCATGTATTAATATATTTAACCGCTAGAAGTATAATCTCTGTCATCCAAACCACACAATTAAAGTAGGAAATTAAAACTGTGGAACCAAAAGAATACAAGAAGGAAGAAAGGGGAAGTAGCAAAGAAAAAGCTGATAACAGAAAACACAACATAAGGTTTATGAATGAATCCAGGTATTTCAGTAATGACGATATAAGTAGATTAAACTCATCTGTTAAACACAGTGTTCTACTGGGTAACTAAACAAAGTTCAGTAGTGTATTTACAAGAAATGTGCAGAAAAATGCTACACAAAGTTTGGAAACAGATTTAAGAAAATCTAATAGGCCAGTGTTTACCAAAGTAATATAACAAGTAAATTTTAAAACCAAAATCATTAGGGAAAAGAAGAACACTGAACAATAATGAAAGGAACAATGTACTAAGAAACTCTAACAATTATAAATCTATACACCCAGCAATGAAATTATTCTTTTGAGTAAACTGCTCAAAGACATAACTAGGCAGTAATTCCTTGTAATATTTTTATTTAAAGTAAAAATCAATGAAAGTTGAATTACTCATTCTGTACATTGAAAATTTCCAAATAACTCATGCAATTAGACCTCAATAAATGAATTTTTTTTTTTAGAATTGTTAAGCCCCGAATCAGAAATGGAATTCATTGCTTTGAAATAGAATGGGAAAAGCCTGGTATGTATCCACTGTAAGCAAATGTTTCATTTACAACTTTTGACCATATATGTATAGTAAACATTGTGCACATATAGAAAATACTTGTGAAATGTAAAGGAAAAACTTACCATCAATAATATTTTAAATAGACCTGGACTAATAGTATGATAAACTTTAAGTGATTTTATTTTAATGTATTTGACATTTGTTTTGTAATGTTTGAGAAAATAATACCAAAATAATTTTGATTTATATGTCTTAAGAAAATGCTTCTTCACATGATCTAAACATCAGATTTCATGTGTAGCTGATTCTAAAGCAATTGAAGTTGTTCAGTGGTAGATGGGTTATTCTTCCTCTCGCTTTCTTAGAATTCATGGGAATTTATAATTGTCAAAGTACCTTTTGCCACATAGAGAGATATTGTGAACTCTGAGTTAACTTCCAAAATAGAGGCAAGTACAGATAATTTAAAAAGGAAAATAATCCTTTTCCAATGTTTGGCATTGGAATCAGAATGATTATCTAAATCATTCTGATTTAGATAAATGAAAGTATAGATTTTTTCAATAAAAATTTAACTGTGGGAAACTGAAGAATAAAATCAATGAATTAGATAAACCATTCTAAGCTATTATAAGAGGATAGAAGGCTAAAGAATTTTGAAAATTATTTAGGAACAGTTCTACCAACTAATACATCTTTAGGAAAGAAAGCGATCCTAACCCAGTTTGACAGTGCATCTCCCTGTCTGAAACTGAAGATCTGGTACTCACTTTTACTCATCCTATAGGAACTATCTTTTAAGGAAGGAAATGTATCCCAAGCTAGTGTAAGACACCTGTTTTAAGATCACCTGTTTTCTGTTTTTCTGCTTTACACATTTCAATATTTTTGTTGTAATTTGGCTTTTCATACAGTTTTGCCCACATATAGAATAAACACCAAAATCTAGTCAAATATATTGTGTTGTAAATTTCCGTATGGCATTCTCTTGTATATTTATCAGCTGCTCATAAATTCAGTAAGACTGGGAATATCTTCAAGAGATTGATAAAACAGGTTTGGGGGTATAGCTCAATATTAGAGTACTGTCTAGCATTCATGAGGTCCTGGGTTCACGCTCAAAATCTTAAAGAAGTGGGAGGAGATTAATAAAATTTGAAACTGCAATCTGGAAAATCATAATATTTTTGATGACCCTTTCAATTCTATTCTTTTCAGAAGCTATCACTAAAGAAAGCTGTTGTCAAAGTCCTAGCAAACAACTATTCCCTTTCTTATCTAGAATTTCAGCACTTATTACACTTGAAATTAAAACCACCACCTTTATCCAAAGAAGGCTTTCTATACTCAAAGCTGCTGCTGCCATCGCTAAAACAAAAGAATTTAAAATTCTAATGTAAATGGAATCTCTTTCCAGTACTTGTCAGGCAAAAGAAATTCTCTATTAGTATCGATAGTTTTAGAAAAGAAATGCAACAAAGCAAGATTTGCAATGAATTATCTGCTTATGGATGACTTGGTTACCTAGAAAAATTGATTTTTACAATCTGTAATTAAGGCTGCTTTACTGTATTTTTAATCTTTTAGAATATTATGCTATGGAAGATAAACAACCTGGAGAATTGGCTGTACTTACAATCGAAGAAGAATCATTATTTGAAGAGGCCTATCCTGAGGTTGTTGCTGTTTACCAAAAACAAAAATTAGAAATTAAAGGGAAGAAACAAAAAAGTAAGTATTGGATTGGATACCTGTATGTACCACACACCAATGTTATAGATGCACCACCTGTTCTGTTTGAATCTATCTTGTCTAAATTTTATTGAAAGTATGTAAAATCAAGAGTAAGAGTAGGTATGGTATTTTTGCTTCTTTGTCTTTTTTTTTTTTTTTTTTTTGGCAGTACTATGTAAACACTATACTGTTGAGCTACATTTCCATCCCCCTCCCCTACATAATTTTTTAAAGCTGAAAGGCCAGGATTGTACCATTCAGCTCTGTGTCTACTAACTAACCAAGTGTTAATAATAATGCTTACATAAGCAATTATTATATAATATTTATATAATAAGCAATTATTATATAATATTTATATAATAAGCAATTATTATATAATTATATAAGCAAAATATGTGTATAACACATTTTGAGTTATAAATGCATTTTCTTATTTCTTAGCAGTCGTTGAGGAAAACAACTCAATCGTAACATTGTTTGCAGAGCCAAATACTTTGCATTTCCAGGAATTCACCCAGGGGAAGAAAAAAAAGGCAAAAATAGCTCATATGGAAAATTTCTTATCTGAACCCTTTTTTTTTTTTATTCAAGTTAAGGAAAAGAAAATAGATGTTGATTTTATATTTTTTTTTTCTTTTCTTTTCAGGTATGAAAATTAAGTCTATAGAAAATAATTTGCCAGAATCTGATGACGTAATGAGTTTTCAGGCACTCATGACTTCAAAACCCACATGTGAAATCTTTCCTAAGCAGAATTCCAAGTTAAATTTGGAAGTCGCTCCTCATCCTGTATTACCACAGGAATCTATTACTGCGTCACTGAATAGCTTGCTTTTACCTGAAGGTGCTTACTATTTGAATACACAAAAACAGTTAATGCCTTCTCCTAGACCTTCAACAAAAGAGCCAGTGAAGGGTATTAATAAGTCTATAGTTTCAGAATCTACTCAACCAAATACCTCATCCCATAATGTATCTATGATTGCTAATCTACACTTGAGCACCATTGACTGGGAAGGTACTTCTTTTAGTAATTCTCCAGCTATTCAAAGGAATACTTTCTCTCATGATTTACAATCAGAACTTGAATCAGAGCTATCAACCATTTCTCCTGGCTTTGAAAATACCCTAGAACAATTGTCATGTGAGCCAAAACAGTATACCATGAACAACAATGAAGTATTAGATGGGACTCTTCAAAAGATTAGTCCTGAAGAGCATCTGCTCTCTGGCATTACTGATTTATATCTTCACGATTTGTCTTTAAAGGAACGAATAAATAAAAAATTATTTCCTCAGAATAATGTACAACCAGATGTTGACCTCAAAACTTTGTCCCTATTAAGGGTAAAAGAATTGTGCCATGTTAATAGTAGTTCTGATTATCCATCACATCTTTCAGAGGACCTTCCGAGAATTCATTTGCAAAATGAATCCAGAAACTCTGAAATTCTAAAAGAAGACCAGCTGCTTCAAGGAAATTGTAAAGTGAATACTTCCATACCTTATTCTGTCAATGACTCAATAGTAAAGACCTCTAGTGCTCAAGTTGGACCACCAAGTACTATTTTCTATCATAGTAGAAAAGTTGATAAGCAATCCTCTAAGAAAATTGTCATGAATAGTGTTTGCCTTGACAGATGTTCCTCTGATGAAGAAAGTGCTCCAGTGCATGGGAAAGCTAAGGACCCAACTCAGAAAATGGAGCACTGTTCTCAGAAGTATAACCCAGTCCTATCCAGAGACAGTAACCACAGCAAATTCAGTGGACCTAAGGTGCATACTAAGGAGACCGAGCTTTCTGTGAAGTCCCATAAGACAGCTGGAAATGGAGAAAACTGCTTTCCAGATCCAACAAACAGTTCTCAGAGGTTTCTACAATATCATAAGAAGGACTGTAACCCTGGAACTTGTTTGGATAGTCCTCTTCCTTTGTGTCAAAGATTAAAACTAAGGTTCCAAAACCCTTGAAATTTAAAATACTTAAGTATAACTTACTACTCTACTACTGTCAGCATTAGCAGAAGAGGGATGGTGTCTAGAAAAATTTAATGTGGTTTTATATTTCATGAAACATGTTTTAATGAAAATTGTAATTAAAACTGTTAAAACTTTGGTTTTAAGAGATGATGTCCTGTGATGACAACTACAGATAATGTATGTTTTTAAAACACATTTTACTGTTTTTGAAATGTAATTATTGATTCTTCTTTACAGTTTTAAAATATTAGTACATTATCTGACAGAGTAAATGCTTTATTTGCTCATTTTTGCTTTTGTCTGCCACAGACCTCTAAAGCATTTGTCTGAATTTTGTGTTGTTCCCAAGAGGATCAAAACTCTTCCAAATTGTCTTGCAGTGTCTTCTTTTGTACCTTTCCTGACAGTTATCTTCCCCCAGTGTGAAGATACCATTAGTTTGCTCTTCCATTTTTAGTTACCTATTCTCAGTGAAAAGTAAAATGGAAAAGGAGAGAGTATGGCCAATACATGAAGTAAAAAATCACTGTTGTAATGATTGAATAAACTAAGAAAAGTCACTCTGTACATATTCTCAGAAGTTCACAGATACAGGAAATGAAAAAAAGATTTGAAAAATCAAATGTTTAACCAGAAGTTTAGAAACTTGCTCAGAATCACACAACTAATTAATAATATAATAGTGCTGTGGGAACTCATTTCCTTGCCTTCTAATTCTTTGGTTTTTCTGTTTCCTTTTTTTTGTGTAGCACTTTTTTCTTTCCCTTTTGTTTAAAAAAAATGAATCTATACAATATTGACTTTAAGTACTTCCACATATTGTCTTGCATAAATTCACTTAGTACTCACAAGTTCTACAGAAGCATCCAATTTTGGGGGAAAAAATAAATTACTCTCCTTGCAAATGACAAGATCTAGTATATTGAAAATCCTATGCAATCTATTAAAAATCTGCTAAAATTGATAAATGAGTTCAACAATGTAGAGCATAACATCAGTATACAAAAATCAATTATATCTCCATACATCTACAGCATATGAAAATGAAATGTCACCAAATGAAAATTCCATTTACAACATCATCAAAAAGAAGATACTTTGGAATAAATGTAGCAAAAGAAGTGCAGAATGTATACTCTTAAAAGTGTAAGAAATTGTGAACAAAATTAGAATAAGTAGAGAGACATCCTATGATCATGGATCATGGAAGAACACTTAAGGCAGCAGTACTATTCAAACTGATCTTCAGTCCCAGGGCCATCCCATCAATTCCAACTGTTTTTTGCAGAACCTGGCCTGCTGATTCTAACATTCAGATGGAAATTTAAGAGACAGAATAGTCAGACAATCTTGAAAAAAATTGGAAGACTCACCAATTCTGATTTCAAAACTCACTACAAAGCCATGATAATGAAGATAATGTGCTGGCTTACAGGTAGATGTGGAGATCATTAGAGATCAATGGGATAGAATTGACAGTCCAGAAATACGACCTCACTTTTATGATTGAGTGATTTTTTTGAGTCAATTCAATGAGAAAACAACCATCTTTCAATAAATGCTATTGGCTATTCACATGGAAAAGAATGGAGCTTAATCTCTGCCTACACCATATTCAAAAATAGATCAAAGACCAAGATGTAAAACTCTGAGAAGAAAACATAGCCATGAATCATGTGACTTGGGATTATGTAAGAGTTTCTTAGGACACCAAAAGCATAGGCAAAAAAAATAAAATTGGACTTCATCAAAACTTCTGTTTCAAGGGGAAGAGGGGATTAAAGGAGAATAGTGGAGGGGGTGAATTCAACTAAGATATATTGTAATCACCTTTGTAAACACCATAATGTGCCCCCATACAACAATAATATAAAAATATTTTGTTTCAAAGGACACCATTAAATGAAGAGTGTTGGGCATAGTGGTACACACTCCCAGCTACATAAGAGGTAGAGATTGGGAGGATTGTGGCTCAAGATCAGATCAGGCAAGAAAAAAAAAAAAACCCATTTCAGCAAATAAGCCAGGTATGGTGGTTCACTTCTTTAACCCCAGCTACATATGGGGCACAAAAAGATTGTGGTCTGAGGCTGGCCCCAGCAAAAGTCAGAAGTCCCTATCTGAGAAATAAAGCAGAAAAGACTGGGGTTGGCTCAAGTAGTAGAGCACCTCATAGCAAGCATGAGGCTCTGAGTTCAAACCTCAGTACCACCAAAAAAAAAGTGAAGCGATAACCTGTGAAATGGGAGAAAATATTTACATATCATAGGTGTGAAAAGTTTTAAATGAGCAATTATCCAAATAGACATTTCTTTAAACAAGATACATAAATGGTCAACAAGCAAATGAAGAAATTCTCAAATCAAAAGACACCAGAAGAATGCCACTTCACATCCAATAAGATAGCTAAAATTTTAAAACTAAGGATGTGAAGAAATTGGAACCCTCAACCTGCTGTGGTGGAAGGATCAAATGGGGCAGCCACTTCAGACACAGTCCTCAAATGTTTAAACATAGTTGCCTAGCTGTTCCACTCCCAGACATATTCTGGGAGAGGAAAAACATATGCCCATCTAAAAACGTGCATGAATGTTCATAACACTATCTTTCATAATACCCAAGAAGTAAAAATGCACATTGCCAAAGAAAGGAGACAACTGAAGTACTGAGTATAGCTAAGTGCACAGCTAGGTTCTTTACAAAGCTTTTATCATCTCAACAACTCTATAAGGGCTGTAGGGCAGTGTTTTGAATATTCAGGGAAAAAAAATTGTCCCATTAAAAAAGATTCTCCTAGGTATCTGTTCATCTTGATTTGTCACCCATTACTCTGGGCTATCAGTTTAGAACCATTCAGTCCAGATAAATGCAACAATATCTAGAACTGTTCTTGAGATTTTGTGAGGTGAAAGTAATAAAATGTGTAAGAAGTGACTTGTCTGGATTCATTTTGCTATAAAGTTCACATAGGCACAAATGTATATACTCTGATGCCAGCTATTACTGCTTAAAGAATTATCCAGATTAACACTTTTTAAAAACATTCTGTTTTGATTTCTTGCTGATTTGGTCATGTTAATTGTGTGTAGACTTTTACCATACATTATTTTTTACGTTTTTCATCACTTCATGGACTGTCTTACCACCTCTAGCAACTTGCATGCTGGAATTGGTTTCTTCCTCTTGCCTCCATATTGGGTCCTGTTCTGGCCTACCTACTCTAAATTCTGTAAGATCATTCATTGGCTGTTTTCTTCCAGATTTCAAGAAGCCTCTCCTTTTTTATTTTGGGTAACGTAGGTCAAGTTTTTTGTCAGACAAGCCTGGCTTCAAGTGCTTTTCTGCTACAGATTTTCTCTGTGACCTTGGAGATGTTTCCTAACTTTTCTGAGACTCTTTAATTCAAATATTGATGTAATATCTATTATGTGACAGGCATTGTGCTGGGGCCTGGAGATACAGTGGTGAATGGTATCCTGTGATAAGGCTGTTTTAATATCTAGCTATTACCATCATCACATTAAGGCATCAGTAAATGATAGCTGTGTCAGTTACCATCACTTGGAGAACTAATTTTCATATTTGATTTCAAGTGGAATATAGCCAAACACTGCCCTTTGGGTAAATGTGGACGTCATAACCCTCTACTAGGAGCCAGTGTGATGGGGTAGGGAGGAAGAGAGGAATTTTATTTTTCCCCCAAAGGAAGCTCACAACATTGTAAAAGGGAGTCTAACCAATGTGACTTTTGAGCTAAAGTTGTAATACTGGAAAAGCATATGCCTGCTGGAATATAATTTGGTAACTAATATAAATCCTAACATAGTTCTTGAACTCCTGCTTTGTGCAAAGCTCTTAGACTTTTATGAATGTAATAGCTTCTGGTGCCCCAGTGAGTTTTAAATACCTTCTCTAGGACACCCAACTAGAAAAGGCTAACTCTGAAACTAGACTCAGATTTCCTGCTTCGTAGTGAAAGCGGTTTCCTGTATTTGTGTTTCCACACTTCTTCAGTTCTTGGTTCAGACATCATTCCAGTCTTCTCTGACCTTCTAACTCTCTATTATTATCTCCTGATCCTGCTATAGTCTTCTTTACACCTAACAGTGCCTGACATAAATGTTGGGTTGTTTGGTTGGATTTTTAATTATTGTTATCATCTGTTTCCTGAACTAGAAGCAAACTTAATGCAGCCAAAGGTTTAGGTCTAATGAATTGTCCTTAGCACACAATAACTACTTCCCCCACACACACACCCTATCCTACTATGGAGTGCTAACTTTGTAGTAGGCACAATACTGTTTTAAGAATATGTCTATCTGTCCCTTCAGATAAGACAGATCCCTTTGAACAAAGGGAGCAAATCCTATTTTTGTATCCCTCAGAGCCCTGCCTGGGATTACATTGCTTCTCTGCTTCACCAGCTCTTACTCATCAAAGACTAGGTGCAGATACAATCTTTGTAACAAATTTTGTATTGCTTCTGTGGATCCCAGTTATTCCTTATAGACTTCTAAAATATTCCCTGAAGATTGTTTTGTATTGGTTTATGTTTTTTATTTCTCACACTAGATTAAGCTTCCTGAGGGCAGAGAAATCATATACTTGCAGAGGGGCTGGTACAGAAAGCATTAGGTGAGTGTATGCAGATTGATTGGTGGTAAATTCAAAGTCTTAGTTCTCCAGTTCGCCATGAGGAAAGACCAAATCCAGTGGGATGTTCCCTCCATCATCTTAATCACCTTTAGCTGTCTTAAGATACCCTGGTGAGATGCTTGCTTTCTGAAGGCAAAGGGGCTAAATTAACTGTAGTTCCTGTTGTGCTGTAACACTTAGGGTAAAACGGCTTAAATAATATCACCAAGGCAGCCTCCTTTCATCTGCAGATTAACGTGGCAATGTTTATCACCTTCTTAGCCAGGAAAAGCTTTTATCAGGCTCAGCTAACAGCTTGCATTAGCCTCTTTCAAGAACTTGCCACCTTGCCTTTAAAGGGACATGCTGCAAAGTCAGCATGTAGTACATGGCCCAGTAATAGTCCAAAAATGTGGACCTT